GTTCTGCTTCGACCTTAACCCTTCTTTTTCTTCTTTTCCTCTTCATCTCTCTTTTCTTCTTCTTCTCGGCTCCTCTTTGATATCTTGTTTTTTTTGCTCACCTTTTTCACTCTCTCGCATACCCATATCCACTGCAGCGTATCTTATCAACAAGCCTCTTCCAGCCTTTGCTTTCTTATCTCTCAAACCAACCTCTTCACTCCTACCTGCTTTCTTTGCAGCTTTTGCCTTTTCCTTTCCATTTCCATTTCCTGTTCTCTTCACTCGCTCTTTCTCGAATCCTCTTCTACCTTCCACAACTTTTGCACCCTTCCTGACATACCCAAGCTCATCCTGCGCTCTCATTCTCACCTTCTACTTGCATCCTCACTCTCACGTCCACAACTCTCACCCACTCACAACCTGCTCAACTCGTTTCCACGACCCTTTAAAACGCTTTCTTATTTGCCACTTTTTATTATTATTTGTAAATATTCACCGCTAAACACCTCATTACGGCCAGCCAACGACCAGCACCAGGCCAGCCTGTCAATCAAACACGCGCGTCGAAAAGGTAATAGTAGTAGTTCGTAGCACAAAATAATGCAAAAACTCTCTCACCCAACACCAACGCCCAAATGATAGTCCGAACAAGAAAAGGATTGAAGGAAGGGGGAAAAAAGGAAGACTGCCTGTCATTCCCGCACATGGATACCTCCAGCTGGGCGTCCTTTTTCATGTTTGTTTGTTTGTTTGTTTGCTTGCTTGCTTTGTTTGTTTGTTTCGTGTTGTTTCCTTGGCTGTGGGTGTGTTTGTGCATACTTGGATGCCAATGACATGGGTGCTCTTCTTCCTCTCTCCTCCTGTTCTCAGTTGGTCTATCTCTCGAGGCTCCTTTTCTTTCCTTGCTGCCCCGTCCTCAGCCTTAAATCAATTACACGCGCCATTCCTCCTCTTCTCTCCACCGACACCTTCAGTTCAACTTCCACATCCCATTTGCCTTCCTCTTTCACTCAAATAATCACACCATCCCATCTCTTGCCTTCTGTCATATGAGACGAGCATATTCTTTCAATCAGGCACCATGTCGTTGCCGACGCTTTATTTATTTTTCTTGTTTAGTGCGGCACATTGTATCGATCCCAAATCCAGAGTTAAATCTGTGCCTGGGACGAGGCTGACATCATGCAGATCGCACACAAAATAACGTTTTGCTGCAAGAGCGACACAAACAAGCAAAACAAAAACCAACACCACCGCCACTCTTCTCCCATGGCCTACTTTTTAATACCAACAATCTCTCACCCATTTTTCATCGTTTTCTCGCGTCTGCTCGTTTCAATTGACGCAATGATGATGATGATGATGCTTGAGATGATAGTACATGGGCGTTTGAAGACACCGAACACCACCCTTACCTTTTTGTCTTCCAGGACCCAGGACGCAGGCAAAAAAAAGAATACACACACAGTCTCTCTCTCTCTCTCTCTCGAGATCGACACCCTCCATTCGTCCCGCCATGCGAGTCTATTGAGCAACATCATGACATAGTTCTCCGCCCTCTCCCTCTGTTTCTTGCTCTCACACAAAATTACTCTGCGCCATGGATATCCTCCCCTCCCTCTTCTCTCTTTTCTGGTCTCTTCACCTCCCATCTCGCTCTCTTCTCTAATCATTGGTGACACCGAAAAATGCTATTGGAGAGCAGCAACATTTAGTACTTCAGGGCAAACGCGGTTTATGGCTAATTGGTGTGCTTATGCTGTAGGACAGAAAAAGAGGGTCCAGTTGAGTGAGAAGAGGGAGTATGCAACTATCCAATTCATTTACTCGATCATTTATTCATTTGGTTATGGACCACATAACCTAGCAAATACAGACGAAGCAGATGCCTCCTTGTTTTCTCATCCCACTTCGAAATCTTGAACTCTGTCTGTCTATCTGCATTCTGCACCGTAATCCATCGGGTTATTATTGTTGTTTTTTCCCTTGTCAATCGGAGGAAGGGAAGGAAGGATTGACAGGCACAACGAGCTGTACAGACGCACGACCCAGCTTTTGGTGTTTCTGTGATGATGATGCTCTTGTTGTTTTGGGGGATATATATATTTGGATAGATTGCTTCCCATCCCCATTGTTTTTTGTCTTTTCATGTAACGTTAACACTCCTCGACTGACAAACACTATCCTTCGCTCGTACGTTTGTATACCATTCACCCACAGCCGTAACTGACACTCGCGATTATATCGAAAACAACTTCGATCCCAAACAAGGCAAACAACAGCGACGACGACGACAACAACAACAACGACAGGAACTGTTACCGACTAAACTTTCGGTGGATTTTCATTTATCCAACTTCTGGTGAGTCTTATCAAACATACTATGCGCACAAATGAGAACACTACCGTTTTTGAAGAGTTATGCCACTATTACGTCCACTCTCTGTATTCGACATCCTTGGTTGGCTATCAGTCTCTCTGGCACCGGGGAGGGGTATCCAGTTTGTTCGAGGGGCGTGAGAAAATTGGCAAAAGAGAACAAGAAGGGCATAGGAGGTACAACTACAATGCCATTGAGCTATCACAGTTTTTTTTTTTTTTTTTTTTTTTCTCTTCTGCGGGGTTCAATTTTTGTTGCGTTGTTGGCTTGAAGAACTCAATGAAAAAAACGTCAATTGTTTGTTACTTTTTATCTCTTCTACTCGTCCCCCAGCTGTTACTCCACAGCCGCTCCCACGGCCCACAGTTGAGCCGCGTGTCAACAAAAGAAACCTTTGTTTTTTGTTTTTACGCACTTCATGACTTGTCTCCCTCTTTTGTTTCTATTCAAGCACGTATTATTCAATCCAATCAATGGCATGCGCAATTTATCATGTCGAATCAACTCATTTCTCCTACTACACACCCTTCTCACTCTCGTTCCTCCTGTCCGTGCGGACGGACCCCCTTTTGTGCTTCGTCTGATGACCTCTCTATCCTTGCAGAATACGAACATCCCATCCACCACTTGCATTGTTGTTCTCCGGTTGGTTGGTCTGCGGTTGATTTCATATCTCTCCTTCTCTCTCATCCCCTCATCGAATGCCCTGGAGGCGCTCGTTCGTTCTATCCATTCACCTTTTGCCACTCTGCTAACCAATAAAGCAAAGAAAACCGAAATAATAATACATTTTCTACCTTTATCTCCTCCCATCCTTCGGCCACTCCCAACAACCACCTTCTGTTTGTTCATACTTTCTCCTTCACCACCCCTAGCCAGCTTGACGAACACCAACTGATTCTCTTCCGACAACTTCCCCTCAACCGCTCCCACTACCACTAGCTTCACGTTTTTTCTCTCTCAAGAAAGACAGGATCTTGAAAGGTATATAATTCAGAATGATCGTTGAGCAGAAAAGTGACATGCAAAGACACAAGGAAAGGACAAGGATATATGAAGAGGAGCGGTAGGGGAAGGACAATTAATCGACTAGGTGTTGTCGTCTTAGTGGATGTACAAAGAGAATCTTATTCTGAAAGTACCATCGACATCTCGGAAAAGGGGGGTGAAGAGTGAAAAAGTAGAAGGATCGACCTCTCTCTGTCCTACCTGGCGTGGTGGTGTGTGAGTGTCTCATGTGTTGTACATGTACTATTTTACATCCTTTTGTATTTCAACCCTCGTTCCTAGTGTATGATGCTTTTATGGTCTATGCTTCAATGTTTTTGTTGGTGTTTTGGCGGGATGATAATTTTAGGAGGAAGATGAGGCAAGCAAGACGCGAGATGAAACTCACAAGGGAGGAAAGAGATGGAGGTATGGCACGACAAGACATTTGGACATTTATGAAAGACAACAGGATAGTAGGTTCATTTGTATTCATCGAGCAAGAGGAAAGAATAGAAGAAGGGCCCCCCAAATGGATGAAGGTGTATGACTCCATTGTGCATTGTCCACTGTCCATGTTCTATCCTGCATTGGTGTGTCAATTTCAATTAGAGCGTGAACTAACAACCAACTCCTCCCTCTCCTTCTATGTTGGTCTTCTTCCCCGTCTGTGGTTGTCGCTTCTTCCTCCCTTCCGCGCGCCTATTTTCTACTATGCAATTCTTATTGACCATTGCTATTGACCATTGATAACTATACTTTTCATTTCCTTTTGTTCTTGACCTGACCCTACCTACTTTCCTTCGTCTTTCTTTACCATCCATTTCTCTCACTCTTTTCTTCGTATTTTGCCCCTGACACCTTGCACCTTTTTTGTCCTTCGTCTCGTCTCGTATCGTCACCCCTTCTTCCTTTTTATGGTCGCTTCCTTCCTCCCCCTTTTTTTTTTTTTTTTTTTTGTTGTCGATGGTATTTCCTTTCGTGAACTCCTTTCCTGCTGTCGTCCTCCTATTCCTTGCTGGTTTTTTTTTCTCTCTTTCCTTCCCCTCCTTCCCCTCCTTCCCTCCGATCCTCATCCCATTGTCCTACCATCCATCCTCTATTTTCTTTTACATCGCTCGCCTGGTCAAACAACATCCATAATTTTTTCTTTCTATTCTCCCTTAAACGTGCATCTTTTGTTCCTCTTTTTCTATCCGTCATCTACTTATCATTTGGCCCTCTTTTGCCCATCCTCGTCTTCCTATTCTCACGCTGTTTTGTGTCATCCTCGTTTTGTCTTCCTCCTGTCTCCTCCTGAATTTCTTTTTTGTCCTGTCCTCATCTTCCCTTCACCTTTGCCTTTCTCTTCCTCCCTCTCTGTCCTTCCCACTTGGAATCTTGCAGCACCTCTCTCCCTCTCCCTCTTCCGTTCTCTCCCCAACAATCCTCACTTTGTGGCACTACGCCTTTTCTCTTATACTCCATTTCTCACCTTCCCTCCCTTTTCTTATCCTCCTCGATCTGTTGAGGAAGACTCTGTCCCATTGCTTTCCCATTTGGACATCCTGGATTTCTTTTAGCCTTGTCTCCTTCTCTCCCTCTCCTACTCTGCATTCGTCCACGACATCATTTTTCTCTTTAAAAGGCGTCCATAACCACAGAAAAAATAATGTCGTATTCCACTTCTTCTGCAGACACTTCCCCTCGACCCTTCGTGGTATCCAGTCCTGACCGCGTCCTCGTTCGTGCTCTTCCACATCCCCTGGCTTCAACCAACAAAAAAGTCACTCTCTCCCTTCGGCGCACCACCCCCAGTCAACCTTCCTCCTCTCAGCCCTTGTCGCCCCAACCGCCACTCACACCCGATACACCCACCAGCTCTACTACCCGTTCAGAGCCATCCCGCGCACCCCTGAATATCCAAATCCCCAACTCTCCCCGCCGCATCAACATGCTCTCGTCGTTAGCTAGCCCCAGTAGTGGTGATCAGGATTCGATGGTTTCGACCAGGCGGTTGACAAGACTTACAGGAGTATCCGTAGCAGTCTCTGCAGCAGCACAGGAGTACGGTCGGACATCGTCCTTTGCCACCGTCGCACAGACGACGACGAATCCCACCAAGAAGTTCAGTGCTCAATTTTACAAAAACGGCTTGCCTATCAAGTCTGCAATGAAGAGCCCCGCCACAACACCCGTGGATGTAAAGACCAACTCGGTTGCACTCTGCCGACCTTCGTCCATCCGCTCCTACTCGTCGCCAACACCCCTGACCAGCCCCAAATACGTCCATTTCAACACTCAACTGGAGCATGTCCGTCTCTTTCTGCAAGGTGAGACGCCTGCTTGCGTAGGCGAACGCGAGACACTAGTCGATCCTCGTCAGCACGACCGCTCAACGAGCGACATCAAAGTCGCTTTGTCCAACTGGACCCCAGTCGTGGCAGACTCGTTCCAGCCCGTTAATATTGATTCGGGCGCGGCCCCCCTGCGTGTCGAGACGGTGGTTCTCTCGGAGGACCAGACAGAGCTCCGTGGCAAGATTCTGGTTCAGAACATTGCCTTCCACAAGCATGTCTCTGTTCGGTACACGATCGACTTTTGGCAGACGCAGTGCGAGGTTGGCGCCGAGTTTGAGGAGTCCATCAAGGGTACATCCGTGGATCGGTTCTCGTTTGTGATTCCTCTCGACATGGAGCGAACGATGGTGGAAAAGACGTTTTGCTTGGCAGTGAGGTACAGGGTCATTGGACGAGAGTTCTGGGATAGCAACAACGGCATGAACTACCATATCGAGTGCAAGCGTGTTGTTGTCGTAGCGCCGCCCACAGTCTCGGACCTGTCCAAACAGATGACGAGCTTGCTCTTGGGTACACCAGTGGCCGACTACAGCAAGCCCGTCCTCAAGAAGAAGCTTGCGAGTCGCTACGATCTCACAAGCTCGCTCTCGGCCGCCTACGGCCAGCCCATCGCAATCCCCACCCGTTCTACCGCCTCCAACTTGCCTTTTGGTGCCGCCCGGACAGCCAGTCCCAACGGATTGTCGGCCATCCCTCCCAGCCAGACTGCCTACAGACCCAGCGAGTACATCACTCCTTCTCCTCCTCAAAATTACCACCACTCGCTCTATGCGTCTTCACCAAAGTTTATGAACCCTTATCTGGAAGCGGCTTCTCCTCCAGAGCATTTCCACGTTGGATTCGATATGCTCTCGCTGGATCGCCCCATGGTTAGCAAGCGAGGAACTCGCAACAGCTGGAATGTTGATGTTGGCTTCAATTCGGCCCATCCTTCGTCTGCAAACTCCGCCAACGGTACTTCTATCACTATTCCTTCCGGCCCTGCACGGTCGCAGTCATACCCTGTCAGTCTCTATGGACCCTACTCTTCATCTCCTAAGGCTTCAGCCCCCATCTCGATCCCCGCCAACCAGGTTCATCAGCAACAGCAACAACAGCAACAGGATGGCCATCGCCTTCCAGTGGATTCTTCGAGCTACTTTGATCTAGTCGATCGGTACTGCTTTTACGAGTCGAGCCCCCACACAAGTCCATACTCTAGCTACCCCAACTCTCCCCCAGCCCCTTGCATCCGAGGTTAAACTGGCTTTCCTTCTTTCTTTCATTCGTTTCTTTCTTTCCTGTACATATTTTTTTTTCTTTTCTGTGTCTGCCTTTCTCTCTTTTTTGCAGTCGATTTTTCTCTTTGCCTTTCTGTTGAACTTTAGATATGTTCCTCTTGTACAATAGCACCATAATAAAAAGTCAAAAAAAATCATGGATCCAACTAGCACTTTACTTTAACGCCTGAAAGAAAAAAGTAATTGACAAAGTGAACAGGAACAACATGAGCGGGAGAAAGTAACCCTGCATTAAGGGATGTGGTTCAAAGATTGAGGGGAAGAACAAAAAGATAAGGGAGGGAGGCCAACTAACCTGGGAGACATGCCACGCGTCAAAGTGGACGGGAACATAACAGGAAAACGGGAAGCAAAAAAAAAAAAAGTGTGGTTCAAACGACGCGTTCCCGCTTCGATTTTCGCGTTTTTTCAACACGTCCCTTCCACCCAAAAAAAGGTAGAAAAGCAAAAAGATAATTGGAGAACCTGGGCATCGATCCCAGTGCCTCTCGCATGCTAAGCGAGCGCTCTACCATTTGAGCTAGATCCCCTGTTCAGGCTTTTGCTTGATGAATAAACACTTTGGTCGGACATACATATACATAGGCTATTATCTGTAAATTGCACTTATAGAATGATACTTTTTTTTTTGGGCCAGAAAACGGCCCTACGAAAAAAAAAAAAAAAAGGATGAGAAGAATCCCCTTCATTCGTATCCAGTTTTATTTTCTTCCGTTTAACCTGTGAAGAGCAGCGACAATTGTTGTGCATAGCCAGTTCCGGACCGGACTGCAACTGGTGGATGGTGCACTGAAGAATTTGGTGTGCAGTCCCCTTTTTACTTCCAATGTCATATTATCTTTTCTTTTTTCAAGGTTTCGCTCGCGTGTGCAAACATGCATGACAATAATTTTTCACTCCTTTTCTCTGTGCAACACTACAGACAAGAACAACAAAACACAAAAGTAAACCTCAATGGTACTATGGTCGAGGCTACCAACCTGGATACTCCGAAGCTTCTCCAAAAAAACAAAAGGGGGAGGGTAGCGGTGTTTATGATCTACGCAGGGGTCGAACCTGCAATCTCCTGATTCGTAGTCAGACGCCTTTCCATTGGGCCAGCAGACCGATCGCTTTCTCTTCCTCTACGGCCAGAGACCCGGGCCCCGGGAATCTCCAGCCAAACTCAGCCAATCAGAGCGATTGGAGAGCTCATTTCTTTGATGGTAGTTGAAAGTTACAGGCCTAGGAGTATGGACGATGCTCCTTGGTGGTGATCCTGTATCTTTAAGTGCAAGCGGAGCGAGAACGAAGCTAGGCAGTCAAGAGGGCGATCCCTGACATCGAGGACGTGGAATGGAACTCGACCTTGGCGTACGTCCATAACAGGCATGCAGTCTTCACCTTTTACAGCAACAGCAAGGACACCCATCAACGAACACATCACATCAAAAAGCTGCATGGAATGCTGCCCACTCTGAACTCCATGCAGGCTCGCAAGCCCAACCTGTACCCAACATGCGTATGCCGACGATGCGAGCTCGAGAAGGAGGATAACGATCATGTCTGGAAATGCCCCTTGGCAGCTGAGACCACCACTGAGATCTGGAAGGAGGCCATGGGCAAGATTAATGAGTGGGGTGTGCAGGCGACAAACAGCTACAACGCAGCCAGGAAGCGGGAATACAAACGCGCGGTGGACAGCGGTCGTCAGGTACCAAGGCCAGTACCCATACACTGGTGGCCCCCTTCGGATGCGGATCATGTACGAGGATTTTCCTCCATCGGTGGAGCTCGAGCCGTGCACAGCGGTAGTCCTGCTCTCGATCGAGACGAGAAACCGATGTGGAACGTGTCGGATCTCCTCCGCGGCATCACCCCCTTGAGCATGTTGACTGAATGGTCCGCGGTCTTCCGGACCCCAATGTCCATCGCCAAGACAGTCCTTCACAAGTTTGTTGGCTACCTGGAGGCGCAGGCCTCGGAGCTGATCTGGAAACCTCGGTGCTCCGCGACGATCGCGTGGGAGCAGACCCAGGGTATCTCTACCAAGAACAAGACATCCAAGTACACAGGCCCCCGAGGTGACTGGAGTCAAGGATACGGTTACATCACGCACGATGGTTTCTGTCCGTGCGGCGCTTCGCTAGCCACACATGATGAAGGAGGGTGCCCTGGAGCGACCAAGGACCCACGCGCTGCTGACGAGTGGTTGTTGGAGAGTTTGTTAGGAAGGAGGAGGTTGTTAATGATGGAGAGGATGGGAAGAATCCCCTTCATTCGTATCTAGTTTTATTTTCTTCCGTTTAAGCTGTGAAGAGCAGCGACAATTGTTGCGCAGAGCCAGGTTCCGGACCGGACTGCGACTGGTGGATGGTGCACTGAAGAGTTTGGTCTGTAGTCCCCTTTTACTTCCAAATAACTTCTCTATGCTGTTTGTTAGAGAAATAAAATTGTGTACAAAAAAAAAAAAAGTGACCAAGGATCCACACGCTGCTGACGAGCGGTTGCTGGAGAGTTTGTTGGGAAGGAGGAGATTGTCAATGATGGAGAGGATGGGAAAAATCCTCTTTAGTTTTATTTTGTCTTCCATTCAACTTGTGAAGAACAACGACAATTGTTGCGCAGAGCCAGGTTCCGGAAGAGTTTGGTCGGTAGTTCCCTTTTACTCCCAAATGCCTCCTTTGCGTTGTTTGTCGGTGCAGTAAATTGTGTGTATACAAATAAAAAATAAAAGTTCTTCGGAGAGTGTGCTATGAAAGAGGATTTATACTTGATGACGAAAGAAGAATGCCAGTCTTTATTTTTACTTCGTTTTTATTGTTTATTTCTCACGAAGGTTACTTTCGGACTTGAGTTCTTTGAGGGATGGTTCGAAGGCTGCAAACAGTTTGATGGTGCTCGGGTTGGTTTTCATGAATAACAGTAGGTCTTCTAATCCCAAACGGAAGATGTAGTGTGCTAATATTGCAAATGAATGGGAGTGACGATTGATTAACCAAAAATGAGGGCGCGTGAGTGATTGTGATTTTTGTGTTCCGTTTTGTTGTTGAGTGTTTTGGGCAAAGCAATTTTTTCCCGTTGGCACACGACTCATGATGAATGTAAGATTTTCACCGAGAGGTGCGATCATGAGTCTCTCCGCTTCAGTCCAGCAGACTTCCAAAATCAGAAAAACACCAAGCAAAATGACAAGTTACCTTCGTAGTAGAGTCGTCCACGAGCCCAATCCTGCTCCATAAAAGCATTTCGAACGCTTCCAGCTCTAGATAGTCCTGCCGATCCGATCCAACAGCTCTCTTCAGAAAGACACGACAGCTTGGTGGCCATGTGGAGACAGAAATAGGCCGCTGTCAGGAACGCCTGGGTGCAAGTCTTCAGTTTGGCGAGATCGTCAGAGGTTGGCCCAGTGCCCATGCTAGTGCTTGTTCCTGCTCCTGTGCCTGTGGCGTCAGAGGAGGAAATAGAGTCATCCCGTTCACGCTCGAGTTGAGTGACGAGGTAGGAGAGTGCATCAAGTGCAAGTTGAAACTGAAAGGGTGTCTCTGTCATGGCCATTGGTCCTGCAAGGCTGAGCGGCGGATTTGTAATGTTTGTCGTCATTACCGTTGATGTCGTTGGTGTTGTTGTGGATGTTGCTGGTTTGTTAAGTTCGCTGTGGGATGAACTTCGATTCGTGAGTGGGATTGGCGAAGGTGTTGACTGGAAGCGGGTCGTGAGTGCGGCGACTATGTAGAGTTGAATTGGCGAAGCAATATAAGAGAGGAAGAGGCAAGGCAGAGGGGAAATGAAGAAGTGTTTTGATTTTGTTTTGTCTGTTAATGAAGTATTATTGTTATTTAATTTTGGCGAAGTTCAAGGCGTCATCAACGGACGACCAAGGGGGTGAGAAGGGAGGAAGAGAGAGAAGGTTGGTCTTACCTCGTTTCTGGTGCCGTTTTGCGATCCGGAGGAGTTCGTTCCTTGCAGGCGATCCCATGTCGACCGTCATAATGGCGATGGTTGTGTGTGAGAGGGAGAAGGTGTATGGTGGTGGTGGTGGTGATGGTGGTGGCGTATGGGTTTTGCAGGGGAAGGGAGGGAAGAGGGAGAAAAGAGTGGGAAGAAGAGAAGGAAGAAAAAATAAAACGATGGTGGAAAAAAGAAAGTGATCACCGACAGACACATTTTGAGTCTCAGTCGTGACGCGTGGATCCGAAACCATTCGTAAGCTAGTAAAACAATGCATGTATGCATATATGTATGAAGGTCGACTATCGAATGCAGGAGGATGAATCTACGATGGATGGACAGGATGGTTCTTCTATCTCTTCGCCTGATGAAAGTGGTTCTTTGAAAAAGAAAGTGGTTCTCTGCGTTGTTGCGATGAAAGGGGGTTCGGGGATGAGTGCTCCTTGCAGATGTGTGAATCCCTCTCGTGTTCATTATTTGTGCGACAAGGCAAATTGCTGCTGACTCAAGCACAATCTAAAATATGAATGGCTTTCTTGTACACTCGGGGTACGTTCTTCACACGAAGAGTGAAAGTTGCTACGTCGGTCCCGATCGAAAAGAGCGGGCTTGCGGTTGACGGATCAAAGAAGGGCGATGGATGGGACAGACATACGTGTAATGTACCTACCCATTCCTGAGTTGACACATCCTTTACATCCATCAGCTCTTTCTCCTCGGCCATTGACCCATGGGCCTATTCTGACGATGAACCCAATTGATCTTCCAACTGGCCTTTCGAAAAAAGTAAAGAAAAAGAGAAGGATGAATGGAAGGGGGTTGGTCCAACTCTCTCTGCTCTGCTCTGTTCAATGTCATCATACTGCCTTGGAGTCATCCGTGAGCATTGGCTTGGAGGCGGGAGATGATCCAGCCCAATCATCCAATCCGAACAGTGAGGTCAGAGCGCTTTCTCTTCCCTTTCTTATTTCTCAATTGCCTTCGCTTCTCTTTTCTTTTCTTTCCTCTCTCTCTTTCTCTCTCTTTCTCTTCACCCCTTCGCCCCTCCCCACTCTTTCTTCTCCTTCCTCCCCTCCCCTCCCCTCTCCACTCTTTTTTCTGTTTCTTTTTCTTTTTCTTTTTCTTTTTTCTTCGCCATCCTTCTCTCTTCCCTTTTCCCTTCTCCCTTTCTCCTTCCTCTCCGGACCGCGACTACACCCGACCGCACAAATGGAGAATCGTCAGCCCACCAATGGATTCTCATTCCCAAAGCAGGCAAACAGCTCGATCGCATTCCGCCTCGGCACCAGCCCGCCATTCGGACTGAACATCCCTGCATCTCCAACTGCACCTGCCCACAACCGCAAGAAATGTAAGCAATAAGGTGTTCCATATATACCGGCGTGCTGTTTGAGTGGCCAAGGGGCGAGAAGTGAGCGACGTCCCTTGCAGAAGAGGGATATCAGCCTGAAACAAATAAAGCAGGCTTCGGATACTAATCAATCCCCCCACCCCTCTTTTTTCTTATTGCTTGGTTGGTTCCTGAATATGCTTAGATATCATTGGTGTCTGTGCTATGGACGACAAGGCTCGGTCCAAGCCCATGCGGAATATCCTCGATCGGCTGTTGAACAGCGGGCCCTTCGAGGCCATCATCTTTGGCGACAAGTGTATCCTTGATGAAGGTAAATAACTCAATATGAATAATAATAACTGGAGGATGATACCCATGAGTCAGCCAAATGGTTCATTGCAACAATTGGGGGAAAAATAGTGAGCACAAACCCTTCTCCCCCCATTGACCTTATTTTTTACTTTCTCTCTCTCACGCACAGATGTGAAGGCCTGGCCAGCGTGTGACTTTTTCATCTCATTCTTTTCCAAGGGATTCCCTCTTCGCAAGGCAATGGAGTACGTCAAGCTCCGTTCGCCCTTCTGCGTGAACGAGGTCGACTTGCAGACAGTGCTTTGGGATCGACGACCTGTTTTGGAGATCCTGGAACAGATTGGCGTCCAGACACCCAGGCGACTTGTCATGGATCGAGATGGTGGTCCACGACTGGACCCTTTTGTCCGTGAGAAACTCAAGTTACGCGGTGTGAGCATTGTGGAAAACCGGACCATGCCTGAGTTTGAGGTAATTGACCAGGACACTATCAGGATTGGCGACCAGATCATGGTCAAGCCTTTTGTTGAGAAGCCCGTCTCGGGAGAGGACCACAACATCCACATCTACTACCACTCGTCCACTGGAGGAGGTGCCAGGAGACTCTTCCGCAAGGTAATGCTACCAACATATATTTTCATTAACAGGGTACTAGTCGAGATCCTGGTGTATGGTAGTACTAATATGTGGAGATCTCTTGTATAGGTTGCCAACAAGTCGAGCGAGTATGATCCAGAGTTGAACATGCCTCGCATTGATGGTTCTTACATCTACGAAGAGTTCATGGATGTTGATAATGCCGAGGATATCAAGGTGTACACCATTGGCGAGAGTTTTGTACACGCAGAAACCAGAAAGTAAGCCTGCAATACTGTTTTGTCCCTACGAAGGCTTGTGTACTTTTGAATCAATATTGGCTACAGCCAGCTGACACGGAGCATTGATTTTCCTCGAACCTTTAGGTCGCCAGTAGTAGATGGGCATGTGCGCAGGAACACGGACGGAAAGGAGATTCGGTATGTTGCCCAGCTGACCCCTGAGGAGAAAAGGATGGCATCAAACATCTGCAAGGTGTTCGGACAGCGCGTCTGTGGATTTGACTTGCTTCGTGTGGGTGGCAAATCCTACGTGATCGATGTCAACGGCTGGTCGTTTGTCAAGGGCAACAACTATTACTACAACAACTGTGCCAACATCCTCCAGGACATTTTCCTCCGAAAGGCGCGCCAGCGTAGATTGTCCGAGGTCGTCTTCCCCAAGGAGCTCAGTGCAGAGAACTCGTGGCGACTCAAGGCATTCATCTCAGTCTTCAGACATGCCGATCGTACACCCAAGCAGAAGATGAAGTTCTCCTTCAGCTCTGCACCTTTTAGAGAGTTGCTGAACGGAGGTGGTGAAGAGGTCATTATTCGACAGGCAAGGGATTTACGACTCGTTTCGGCTGCAGCTGAGCAGGCAATGGAAGAAGGTCTTGAGGATACCACCAAGCTGATGCTGCTCAAGAGCATTCTGGACAAGAAGTCAGGTTTGCCAGGAACAAAGGTCCAGGTCAAGCCTTCCATCACCAGCGACGAGGAGGGTAACCACAAGTCAGTCAAGCTGAAGATCATTGTCAAGTGGGGAGGCGAGGTAAGGACACTACGGCTATAAACGCTACGTTTACTGTATATCTGCTCAGTTTATATTGTCATTTAACAATGTTCAATTTTGATGCGATTACAATAGTTCACACATGCGGCAAAATACCAATCTAGGGATTTGGGCGACAACCTCCGCAAGGATTTGCAGATCATGAACAAGCACGTTTTGGACGATGTCAAGATCTTTACATCATCCGAGCGTCGTGTCCGCGCCACCGCCGAGTTGTTCACCCAGCGCTTCCTGGATATCCGCGAGGTCCCCAAGGACATGCTCTTGATCCGCAAGGAAATGTTGGATGACAGCAACGCTGCTAAGGAAAAGACCGATGCCGTGAAAGAGGAGCTCTACGAGCTTTTGCAACGCGACAACCCGGAGGACTTGGAAGAGTTGTGGCCAAGGGGCAAGGCTGATCCAGGAGAGTTGGTCCAGGACATCATTGTGGCGATGCGTAGACTTCGGGAGATCATGCGTAAGAACTTCAAGCAGTGCGACATTGACGCGATCCAAAAGTCATGGTGCTGCTACGAGAGTCCGTCGTTGTTTTACGAACGTTGGGAAAAGATCTTCGAGGAGTTTGCTGACGTTGAGCGCTCAGAGTTTGATCCCTCCAAGGTCTCGGAGCTCTATGACTCCTTGAAGTACGATGCATTGCACAACCGACCTTTCTTGGAGGCCATCTTTGTCGACTCGGATTCTGATGAAGGTATGGGGCCGATCAAGGATCTTTACACCAAGGCCAAGATCTTGTTTGACTTTGTGGCCCCGCTCGAGTACGGTATCAGCGAGGAAGATCGACTGGAGATTGGACTCTTGACAAGCATGCCTCTCATCAAGCAGATCGTCGAGGACCTTGAGGCTTGCAAGCGGCCCGATGCCGCACCCTGTACACGCCTTTACTTTACTAAAGGTAAGCTGACGCCTTTGTTTACGTTGAAACGCTCATCTAAGGTAGGTTATAGATCGTCAAACTAACTTGCAATTACCTGTTATGAACCACATAGAATCCCACGTTCACACGCTGCTCAACATTGTCTATCTTTCTGGCATCCCTACCAGACTTCACAAACGCGAGATCCCTGAGCTGGATTGTAAGTTCCTCCTTCAGCGCTTTCAAGCTGCTACTAGTTATGTACTCTCCTTCGAAATCTTGACATTAACATGTATTTTCATGAACTATGATAGATCTCACCCAGATTACGTTCGAATTGCACGAAAGAAGCGGGCCTACCACGCCAACATCGCCAACATTCGATAGCTCGCTGCAATCGTCGCCACCAGAGTACTCGCTCAGAATTGGATTTTCTCCTGGATCAGGGAACCCCAACATCCTTGACCTTCAAATGGATTCCAAGCATTGTCTGGCGGTGATGCAGCGTCGTAATCTAACGGACCACTTGCCCCTCGAGGCTTTTCTGCATTACTACAAGACTCAAGCTGAGAACCCCAAGTACAGGAGTGTCAACCGTCGTATCCGTGAGAGTCGCATGTTGGGGCACCGACTTGTGGTTGCCGAGAACGAGAACGAGGAGGAGGATATGATTGAAGACGAGGCGCCTCTGATGATTATTGGGTCTCCTCCTGTTGATCGTGGCGGTCTTGAGGCTTATTTCCAACGGTCAAATCTTAATGCCTGAGTGCCTTTGGACATAGGAGTAGCGCCATACATATACACTTTAGAAGTTTAGATAATATATGTGCATTGCGGAGGAGTGAGGATCAAAAATCAGGTTTGGAATGTTGGTGATTTTCTATTACTCTACAAAAAAAGTTACTGCTGCTGTTGCTGCTCTTGTTGCTCCTGTTTCTTCTTATGCTTTTCGACCTTCTTGGGCGTGCCCTGGAGGAGCATGGTGACGGTGGTGGCCTTGACCCACTCAGGCTGCTTGACATACTTGGACACGGGCTCGAACTCGTTCTTAATCCTCTCCATGATCAGCCCGCGTTCTTGAGGGGTGGTGGACTTGCCCTTCTTGCCGTTGACCTGGATCTCGAGCCGGTGACCCTTTTCGAGGAAGGCTCTGAATTTGGCGAGTTTGTGCTCGAGGTCGTGGGCGTCGGTCCCCCAGTTGAGCTGGAGTTCCTTGGTCGAGAGCTCGTTGGACTTCTTGGCCTGCTTGGCAGCCTTGGCCTTCTCGTAGAGTTCCTTCTTGCTGAAGAGCTTGCAGATGGGAGGTTGGGCGCCCGAGTCGACTTCGATCAGGAAGTATTTCGAACGGTCGAAAGTCTTTAACACACTCGAGAGACGCTTCTCGCCCTCGTTACCCTCAGGACCGACAAACTGGATCCAATGACATTCGATTTCTTCGTCGCGACGGGGTCTATCGAGGGGGGCTTGGGAGCGCTTCTCGTTGTTGGTTTTGGAGCGCGATGTGTTGTTGATAGAGGTGGAGGAAGAAGGGACGGCGGCTTTGCTGCCTGCAGCAGAGCCAGGAAGTGGACGCTTCAAAGGACCCCTGGTGTTGTTGTTGTGGTTATGGTTGGGAGAAGAGGACAGGTTGCCGCCAGCGCCAGAGAGGGGAATGTTGAGACCATCGAGGATTCCATTGATAGAGCCCGAGTTCCTGAGGAATTCACGGTTGCTGCTCTTGTTGCCGCCGTTGTTGTTGTTGGGACGGAAGTTGGAAGAGTTGGAGGGGTTGGTGGATCGGGGTTGTGATGGTGTGGGGGCGAGAAAGTCGAGGGTGTTGAGGAATGCGGCGCCGCTGGAGCGGGTGGTGTAGGGGGCGACATGTGTCTTTGTGAGGACGGTGAATGCGGTGCGGCGGAAGGGGATCATGGTCGCCATTTGGTATATGTTTATGTGAGTAGGGTGGGAGGAAGGAAGCCTTGCAAAGGCTGAACCGGGTGGAGGTTGGTTTTGTTGAGAAAAGTGAAGGGGACCCTTAAGTTCAAGGGTGGACTGCCCTTTCAGTCAAAGCCCGCGCCCAACTAACCTGGCTGGCGACACTTTTGCACACCTTTCTGCTCTTCAAAACTACCAGCAACCACACACGAAACTAATTCATCCGGATGGTCTCAAAACGGCTCAGGACAAGTGCCATTCTCAGCAGGGTTGCCATCAGTCTCGCCGCAGGTGCAGTGCATCTCCTTCGATGAGAAGCGACATTCGTTTGTTCAGTTGCCCTGCGACAGAGAGAAAGAACACCTTTGAAGCTGACCCTTAGATATTTTCTATATCGCACCTCTTTTTGAATCAATTGCTCCATGAATGGATATAGTCTGCTGTCTTGCCAGTGCTCAAGATATCTACGATACAATCTACAATGACATTGGATCCTTGCCATGTGTCCGCCTGCTGAACGCTACAGGATTCGTAGGATGCCAATGTATGTGTTGGCAGCAACTCGTCAATGGCGTTGAGGAATAAGCGTACTGATCAGACCGAGAAATTTAACATTGCCGATGTCTCCTTGTCTTTGTAGCTATGGGGGCTGCGTCAGGCGTGCTGTACAGGGCAGACACTCTGGAGGATATCAAGCAATTTGCTAGCGACGGCGGACTCGGGAACCAGTATACAGTCGTGATCCCATACTGGCTGTTGTCAAGGTAAGAAGGACACGTCTAGCATAATGATAACCATCGTTCAAAAATGTCGAGACTGATTTCCTGTTCAACGTCGGACTAAACTCTCTATCCTTTTCCTCCTCTGTAGCTCTAATGTAGACATTTTGAAGTCTTCGAAAAGGCTGGCAGCAATCCTCGCGGTGGTCAATGGGACAGACCCAGCACATGCAGTTGCGGCAAGACCCGCAGCCATCATTTCCCCCGATACAACATGTCCCAACTGCGAGTTCGGTCTCTACGCCAACACACCAAAGCAGTACCAATGGAACCCAACCGTAAAGTGGTGAAGCCCTAAGGAACTCAGCCTGCTGTGGCATTGACAAAGTACGAGGCTTCTGGACTTAACTTTTTATTTCTTCTGAAAAATGCCAAAAATAGGGCTCTGGGTTGCTTTTTGAGCAATTTGATTTCCCTATCTATGCGCTGAACACCATGGACATCCGCAACACTATGTCATATGCCTCAGTTATGCAGGCGGTGAACAGGAACCGGGATAAGGGCTATCGGGACTATCCATTGAAGTCGCTCCAGTTCCACTCGTTCATGTGGGGTGCCCAGGATACTGGCGCCTGTCTTCGCAAAGGTCAGCGGTGTGAATATTTTCCGATTGCAGTTGGTTACACTGATCTACTAGGGGTGGTGGAAACAGCAATTCACATTTATTTATTTTTCTTGATGAAAATAGGATGGTGCACGCCAGTAGGAGGAGCTTCGGTTTGGTCTACCCCTTCGACTAACATCTCTTACACGGATGAGAAACCAATTGTTGTCATCACTGCTGCGATGGATTCTAGATCACTTTTCCACGATCTCACGCTGGGCGTCGAGACTTCTGTAGCAGGAATGGTGACCGTCTTAGCGGTGGCCGAGGCATTGAGTCGCGTAAGTGTCTCCTTTGAATCTTGATTTCACAATAGGTGCAGAGAAAGCGGGAGAGGACCAAATTTAACCATCGTCTCATTTAATACTGACTAGTCTACAATCCCTCTGGATACGATGTCAAAACATATTGTATATACCCTTTTCACTGGCGAGGCATGGGGATTCAGCGGATCACAGCGTTTCGTCCAGGATATCACATCGACGCCCATTCAGTGCGAGAAACCTCCAACCTCAGGATCTGGATGTGCCTATCCATTCTACTCTGATCTTGAGTTTCAGCGCTTGAATCCTGCCAATATTGAGGCCATCCTAGAGGTCGGACAGATCGCCGGGATGGGCGGAGCAGGAGGGAGCCCAACACTTTATGCCCACGTCGACAACATCCAGGAATCAGCCTCGACCGCGCTCTTGAACCAAATCGTTCAGATCGGAGCCAACGGAAGCACTACCGTCCCTCCTGACCCCAATGCAGGAAATCCTGTACAAGCAGCCAATTCAGACGGCGTGAAGCGAGGATTGCCACCTTCAAGCTCAATGTCGTTTTTGAAGTCTCGAGGCAACATCCCTACCGTTGTGCTGACGGATTTCCAGAAGCAGATGAGTGCCCTTACAAACCATGATCAGGACGACAGCTGGAACACTCCCAACACTGTCAACTTGATCCAGCAGGCGGCTTCGGTGATCTCCAAAACGGCTTGGCTGCAGGCTCAGGGCGTTTCCGACTCTGCGGCCATGACCCCTGCACAGACGGAAGCCATTGCCAGTATTCAGGTCGATGCTGGACTTGTTCAGGATCTGTTGGAGTGTCTTTCATTCAACTATTCCTGCCCGCTTGTGGACAGATACCTCAATGGTAAGTTTTCGTATCTACAGTGCAACAGTTTGAAAAGCTGAAAGTTATGATTAAGATGCTTATTAGATCGCACTTTGCGTTGTTTTTGTTGTCGGTGATTAGTCACTGCCTCTCCCACTCCTCCAGCACGCTTGCCCCACTACTCAGGAACACTGTACAGTCAGTCCCAGCCCTTCCCTATCTTTGCTTGGAGCTTTTTGGCAAACATGACAAGCGTCAAGAACACGACATCGCCGACGCCCCGAGTAACAGGATGCAGCTCTATGCCCGCAATTGTTCAGTGTGGTCCCAAGGAGTATTGCGTGGGAGACCAGTGCCTTGTCAGTTTGACGCGATACCATGATGCGTATGGAACTGGCCTTGCCATGAACTCGAATTCTGAGTACTATATCAAAGATGCTTCCAAGCCTGTCTGGACCGAGAGCACGTAAGTCTTCGTGGGCCTCTGGAAGAATGACGATATCCTTTGAAAGCCAGTTCTTTTTTCTTCTGACACTCTTCTTTGTTTGATGTAGATGGGATCCTATCGGTCTTAGGATGTTTGATGTGACCTCGCCTGGGTCCCAGATAGCAGAGCTGATGACGGGGCTTGCGTTGACGCTTGTCAGCAGTGGCGTGGTCTGGTACTCGAGACGGTTCCTGAAGAAGACTCTGAAGGAGGACTAAGCTGAGCTGATTACACGTGACCCATGTCTTGAGCTTCTTTTTTTCGCACATCAAAATGAAATCAATTCCACCTCTTTGTTGGTTCCTGTCGTCCCTCTTCACTCTTTTGTCATCGCCTCCTTTCCTGAACCTTACATCTCCTTTCACTCCCCCTCCACCCCCACTTTGCTCCTTCTTCCTTCACACACGCCACCTTCGTTTCTTTATCCATCCCTTTGGACGCCAGTGCAATAAAACTACATCCAACACTCACAACAAAGGTTCGACTTTTTTTCATTTTCGATGGCGTTATTTTTATTTTTTCGGAGAAGGTTTCACTTCATTTTGGCGGCTTCCAAAGCAGCAGGGTGGAAGTGTGAAAAAGAGAGGTGGGGCCAAGGAGGATCTCAGGGGGTAGCATTCTGTATGTTGGTTACCGTAAGGATTGGCTTCTTATGTGTGTGTTTTGAGATGTTGGTTGCCCAAATCCCGAGAAACTACACGCGCTATTTTTTTTTCTTTTTTCTGCGAATGGTCATGCAATCAACTGAATGCTCGTTGCTGTGTGTTGTATTTCATTCTGCAAGGACCTCGCCCCTCTAACCTTACTTCTCTCTCTTTTATAATCACAGGCTGAACAAAAACAAAGCAACGCGCTCACTCTCAGACACGACCTTTCCTTTCAAATGCCAAAGATCACCTCATTTGCACTGTACGACCCAGAGGTGTCGCTCTACAGCTGCCTCAACATTTCGCAAGACGTGGACCAGGCGACGATCAAGAAAGCTTACTACAAACTCGCACTCGCCCATCACCCCGACAAACAGAGTCCCTCGAGTACTGATGCAGAGCGGGATCAGGCCACGGCGCGCTTCCAGCGGCTTGGGTTTGCGTATGCCGTCCTGGGGGATCCTCAACGACGACACGTTTATGATCAGACGGGCGATGTGTCAGAGGAAGGCATGGCAGGATTTGGAGCGCAGGGTCAGGCTGCTGGAGGGTGGGACGCTTATTTCAGGGAGCTCTGGGGAGGTGTGGTCTCGGAGGAGACTATCAGAGAGTTTGAGCGAACTTATCGGTTTTCGGACGAGGAGAAGAAGGATGTGATTCAGGCCTATGTGACCTATCGGGGTGACATGGACGGGATCTTGTCGGCAGTTCCAGTATGCAGTTTCCAGGACGAGGAGCGGTTCCGTAAGATGATCCAGAGTGGGATCGATGCCAAGGTCGTTCGCAAATATAAGGCCTTTGGCGGACCTGTGGTCGATCCCAAGGCCGCGGCGAGGAGGAAACGGGAAGCTGAGGCCGAGGCTGTTGAGGCCGAGAAGCTGTGGAAGGAACTGGGGCTTGAGCGTCTCAAGAAGCAATCGTCGACGAAACGCAAGCATAGCACAGAACCGGATGAGCCACCACCAGAGCCTGGATCGGAGCGGGAGCTGCAGTTGATGTTGATGGAGAGAAACAAGGGACGACAGAGCGCCATGGATGCTCTGCTGGAAAAGTACTCGACCCCAAACCCTAAGAAGCCAAAGAAGGAGAAGAAGCAGCCCAACAAGAAGAACGGTGCAGGAAACAACTTGCAGGAATCCTCGTCATCTTCGTCGTCATCGTCGATGGGGACACATCAACACCAATATCTCCAACAGCAAACTTACATGTACAAGGAACCGTCAGAGGAAGCATTCTTGGCAACACAGGCTCAGATTCTCAGTCGAAAGACTGCAGCAGAAACTGCGGCAGCGGTCGGGATCCACCCTTCGTTGACGACCTCGTCCCATATCCATCACCAACAACAAAATCAGACGCTTCACATACATCAGACCCCGTCTGTGCACCAGACGCATTCAGTACACCAGTTGCATACGATGCCTCAGTCGCATCATCTCAACGGCTACGCTACCAACAGCAACAACAACCAACACCTTTTGAACACTGGCATTCACCCTAACAGCACGTACCGGACAGCCCAACAGCAGCAACAACAATTGCCACAACAACAGTCGCAACAGCAACAGCAGCAACACCATGTTCATCAATATCAACAATCGCAGCAGCCGCAACACCAGCGTCAGCAACACCACCCACAGCAGCATCAACAACAGCCAATGGTTGGTGGCTCTGGAAGGAATTCTCGCCGGATGTAGAGAATAGAAGCATCCTTTCTTCGTCTTTGCTTTTATTCTTATGTTCTCGCCGTAGAACCATCTTTTTGTTTGCGATTTGCAGTCTGACAAGACTATGACACGAGCATACCACCACCACCACCACCACTACCACCATACACTCAGATCGAAAGACAGGACCTTTTTTTCTTTTACCTACTCTTTCTAATTTCGTTTCAAAACTCTGCACACCCCATTTATCGTTTCGTCGTTTTTTTTTCTTTCGCATTTTCTTTTTCCAAATTAAAGTTTTTCTTTTGCTTTGCTACTCTCGTTACCTTTTTATTCTGTGCATCTCGTTTCTTCATTACTCTCTCTTTCGCAGGTATTCTTCGGCCTACTCTTCTATGCTACTACCACCGAGCATGTCACGCTCGATGAGAGCCTCTATGAACTTTGTATCGGGTTTGGCGAGTGTGTAGGTCGTATGGTACACATACTGGGCCACATGCGACAAGAAGAACTCAAGCTCGCGGACATGTTGGATCGAGCGCATCGTCAACATGGGTCTCTTCAGAGTTCTGCTCGAACTCGATGACGACTGCTGTTGCGGTTGGAAACCTCCACGAACGACAGATTTTTCAGACTGGGGTCCCGTCAAGGTTGGAGATGCAGAGAGGGGTATCGATAGGTTGGAACCAGTAGACGAGGCAAGGTTCTGGGATCCAACTGACATTTGCTGCAAGATATCGTTCTCGGTCAACCAACGGTCTTCCTCTGAGAGCATGCTGTTGCTGTTGATGTTGGTATTGTTGTTGTTGGCGCTGGCATAGCCTTCCAGTGGCGCCTCCTCAAACAACTTCTTGCCAAGACGGTCCATCAAGGCATGGGGCATCGCTTCACCCATAGGCGAGTGCATCACCGTCTGACGGATCGCGTCCGAAATAAAGATCCATTGATGACTATGTCCAATGAGTTAACAAAAAATATGTACCCCGTTAGATCTCATGTCGTCATAACAAAGTTTTCACAATATCATAGTCGAGTGAGATAAACTTACATAAAGTACAGTCCGTTCTCAAGAACAAAAAGCAAATCCAGGAACTTGCACGCCGACAAGAAGAGACTGATCTGTTCAGGCCGATCATTCTCGTCTGTCAAGAACAAATTGAACAGTTGAATCTATTTCACATTGGAATCGTGATCGGAGTTCCAACAAGTTAGTTCATTACACGTATAGTCAAACGACTTGAAAAGGTAGCTTGAAAGCTACAAAACAAGAGACTTACAAGTTCTGTTAAGAGGACTGGCCAGAAGTTGTTCAAGTGTTGGTTGGAGATTCGGCAAAGCAAAACTCGCAAACACAGGTAGATCTACACAACACACCAAAAAAAAAAAAACGAGAAACGAGAACACACGATTAGAATCCTCTCACATATAATCAAGTCATACTCATCATACACTTTGCATGTGTTTTCTTTACCTCCGGGTGGACTTGCTCAGTGGAACTCAATTTGAGCAATTCGACCAACTTCTCTTGAATGTTGGGCAGCTGGGGCAGATACTGGTCGACAGTGCCACACCAAATGACAAATGTCAATCTGCGTAACATTAGGGCCCGGTTAAGAGATTCCTGATCTCTGCTCGTAAACAGGGCACTAGTGGGCGAAGTCGATATCCGTCCTGTTGGCCAATCGAAAATCAATGGATTAACATTTGTACAAACACAAAACACAGCCTCATTTCACTTTATGAGGTCATGCATTCCGTAAAAGAAATCCTTACCAAGAAGCTCCACCAATCGTTCTTTCTCTGAAGTCATCGCAGTTTGGATGAGCTGGCGCCATTTACGAGCAACAGCAGGACCCATGGCAAAGAAGCGGTTGTCCAAGAACACTTCCCAGACTTCCTTACGCCACGTACGATAGGCAAAGGGGATCTTGGAGATCTCGCAGAGCAGGTCCACTGACGAGTCATTGATCCCTGCACGCGACTTTAGTGATGGTGCGATCACATAGTACATCAGATTGGTGAATGCAGTCGTGACGCGGTCCTGTTCCTGCAGGATCCTGCGAAGGTTGGGAATGACAAGTTGGCACAAACTGACCAGGATCTGTTGAATCAAAACGTCCTCCTTGGTTTTTCCTGCACGTCTAGCCTGCTCCACTTCCGTCATGGCCGAAGAAGGCGGCCGCACAGATTCCCGCGAGTCATCTACAAATAAAGAGGGGTGGCAGTATTAGTAATTCATGTTGCTTCAAATCTACAATACCATTTTCAAGATAAGAGCGATAATGACAGAAACATACCACTCTCTTCCATAATCTCAAAGTCTTGAGGATTCCTGTTGCGAAGCCAAATGCCCTGGTCAAAGGATCGTCCAGCAATCAAAATACAGTAGTCTAAAACACGCTGGTAGAGATCACTGGCATCACGTCGGATTTTCTTGTCGTCAAAGTAGCTGGTATGTGAAAGTCGATCGCAGATCACAGTCATGATTCGGAGCAGCGAAGGGAAAGCGTACTTGTAGGTCGTTGCCTGAGGAAAGTACTCGCGTACAAAGTTCAAGCACATCGGCCAAAGATCGATCAACGACTCTGCCGAAGGCAAGTACGTGCAGTAAATCTCCATGAATCGCAGCAGTACAGTATCCGAACTATAGTGTAAAAACGAATCATGTGAGCGCGCAAAAAGACTTTTTTGCCATATTATTAAGTCGATGAAGTACGTTCAAAGCAGTCGATAACTTACGCTTTGCTGATTCGGAGATTAGGGCGCTTGGATCGAGTGGTCGACATGCCTTGGGTTCTAGCCCTGGTGCTCTCCAATAGGGTCAAGAAGATGGCCAGCGGCGATGCTCCTGGGATGGTGCTCAGGATATCGAGCGTCCTGTAATCAGACTCGAACTTTGAGTTCTCCAGATCGAGGACTGCGGGGTTCTCGGCAAGAAACAGCTCCACAAATGCCTCCGTCACTTCCGAAGGGTATGCTTTGTACAGTCCTGCCAAGATTCGCTTCACCCTTGCGCGAGCACGATCTCCGATAAACTGCAGTGAAATGTCATCAGTCTCTGACACGTTGATCGCCTTGCCGTCAAAAGCAGACCAGAGTTCGACGAAAATTTGAATGATACTGACGATGTTGTAAAGAACGGTGTCGCGAGCCTATAGTAGCAATAGTTAATATCAATAGATATAATGTTTGTTAGGTGGCAGCGATGCATCTTGAACTCATAGCTTGATAGCATGAAACTGTGGGCGTTACCTTGTTCTCCTGAAATGAATCGCTAGTATGAACCTCGATGCTCAAGACATTGGCAACAAGACCTTGTGTTCCACGCAAACCATCGCTCCACTCTTGTTTGTGGACAGGGTCTACCTCCTCTCCGAGTCGTGCCTCTGCCAAACTGAATGTCAGCAAGCGCTCAAGTCCCGTCAAGAAAATCATCAAGTCTTGGTCGGTCAAGTTGGGCGATCCAGTCGCGACCCTGTCATTGTCGGTGTATGCCTCGATCAAAGAGGCTCGGCTCCGCAAAATCTGGTCGCAGAGACACTGAACCACAGGCAACAGAACCCTCCTGAAATAGTTGGTCAGGAAGGGAAGCGCAAGCATCAAAAAGTCCATCCAGTGCTGAAGAATTGGCCGATTGGTTGGGACCGAGAGGGCATCAAATACTGTTTTCACAAATAAAGGTGATGACCCGACGACGCGGAACAGACCTTCGCCTGCATCCTGTGTCGATTGGTTGTGTCCAGTCGCGCCCTCGAATGTTGACATCGAGCTGTCCCGAGGCAAAGATCCGTTATGGGAGGTCGAGTTGGCGGAAGTCGGCTTCTTGACCGGTGTAGTTCCCATGAGGATTGTGGCGTGCAGCAGGTGGAGAAGGCGACTCTGTAAGTCAAGACGTTCGTGGTTGATGCAATAGAGCATCTTGTTGATAACCGTCTTGTGGATCATGGCGAGAAGGTTGGTGTCGATGTGGTCAATCTTGGAAATGATAAAGTGCAGAAAGTCGGCAGCAACCATGTGGATCTCCTCGTTGAGGTTCAGCATCGACTTGTAGTCGCTTGTAGGCTCGCTCTCGATGAACCTGTCGATCGTGGAAAATACCATGTTAACCGTCGTTTCGATATTTTAAGCTCTCTTTGACCAGTCTGGCAGGGTTTCCATAATTCCATAAAGTACAATCGTTACCTCAACGCCAATTTGACGAAGCAATCCAAGTATGTGGGCGTAGTCTTGGAATCTACAAGAACCATCGTAATAAAGTGGCAAATTGACAAGGTTGGTTATGACACTCTTCAACACAGACGTCCACCGTTTCGGTCGAATACATACCTGAAACGCCAACAATCTCAGCCACGACTGGGATCATGTCGATAGGGATGGTTGATTGCCGGATAGAGCGCAAAAATCCAAGACCGCCGAATCGAAAGACGGTCAGCAGGGTGTTGAAGACATATTGAACCTGGGCCTGGTTGAAGTTCCGGATGTAGTAATGCACAGGGAAGTACTCGTTGTGGAATGTCTCCTCTGACTTATTCCGCACGATGGTGTGGTCAAAGAGCACAAGCATGAGAGGATCAAGCAGCCTAGGGTAAGACTTTAGATTACTCCTGATCCAGGTTTCTCCTGCTCTCCTGTTGGACGGATTAGTGCTACTGAGGGAGTCCAGCATAAGCATCATAGGCCGCACAAACGCTGTAGAGTTGTGTTGAATGTCATCTAGATATTGAATGATAAAACATACTGAGGTTAATACCTGGTCTTGCTCGGATGGCTTCTTTCTCAAAGCAACCCATACATTCAGCAATCGTACCTGAAAGTCGCCAGAAGACACCAAACTTCTGAAATGCGTCGACGCGAGCCCTCGCGTTGTCTACAACCAAGTATGACGCGATGGCCGTCTCAACTTCATGGCTAAGGGAGGTCACATCCTGTAGCATCCAGATGAGCTGCGAGACCCTCAGGTGCAATTGCATGTACTCCTCTGCGAAAAACGTCCAGAGCCTGTCCACAATTGCCTTCATGTGCTCTCGATTGTCCACAAACGAGTGCTCAACAACTTTCAGATCCACAGTCAACTCTACAATTGTGGTGAGTAATGCGTCGATCATGGCAAAGTCGTCACTCTACTCGTGAAAGGAATTACAGGGATTGTCGATTAATAAACTACACCTCGTGTTAGCCAGTACGCCTGTGCGTCAGGTTTCATTCGGGAACAAATGCATACTTTGTGGCAAGCCAGGCGCATTTTGTCAAGCCAAGGTCCAGAGAAATAGTCCTGGGGTGAGCTGGGTGTCTGGTATCGAGAAAGGATCGAGAGGATCTTGCAAGACTTTTGGATCATTGTTCTCAGAGTACGGATGTTCGTCCTCGAGTCGTCAGCCATGCATGCGTCCAGAATGTTGCTGATGAAGTTCTGGATAATCGTGAGGGCCTGCTGTCGTAACGCATGACCGTTGATTCCTGCGTACTCCTTGGTTGCTAAATCCGATTCGTCCGTCTTTTGAGGCACCAGCATGAAGAACTCCTCAATGTAATCTTTGGCGCTCATTCCTGGCTCGAAGGAGATGACATTGGAGGCGGCGGCGGGTCCATTGCTCTCTCCTTTGTTAGGTGTCGGTACTGGGGTTGAAGGCTTTGACTTGGAAGCGCGTGTGGGCTGTGGTGCTTGGATAAGTTGGTTCGCTTGTGGCGCAAAGACAGATGCGGGTATATGGCGGAAGAGCATCAAGCACAGCGAAAGCGCGTTGTTGACTTGATCAGCGTACAGCAGAACTTTGTTTTCAGAGATAATTCCCTAGAAACGCGGAGTAAATTATTGTGTTAGCGGGAGCCCTCGTAAGGACCTTGTATTAGCCACTGCGGCTTGTGAAAAATTGGCCAGTGGCGGTGAATTACCTGAATCCTGGTCAGCAGGAAAAGGAGGAACATTGGGATGTGAAGGTGCTGCATTTCCTCGTCATTCAACTTGAAAGAGTTCAAAAAGAAGATAACCAGATCGAGTGCGTATGACTCCTTGCCTGACTCCGCGGGAAAGTTCTCATATATCGCCTCTGAAAGCTTCTTCCAGATTAAATATGGGTCCGTCATGTCGATCCACATGGTGGCTGTTTGAATGAGCTATGCATGACAACGATAATGGGTATACAACGATAGGAAAGTTCTGAGATGAGTCAAGGCAGAATTATATCGCATAATGTAAAGAGTTATTCGTATCAGACGCATACCTCAGCACCATGGTCGCCCACAACTACGTGTCGCTTTAGTGACACCAAGGCGTCCAAAAAGACCGCCTGAATGACCGGGTACCCAATGTCCCACTCGTCCAAAAGTGACACGAACACGCGATAAGGTTTCTGGCTCTCTTGCAGCTCTTCTCCTTCCGACAGCAATATGCTCTAGTAGGTAGCAAGAAACAAGACGTTGTTAGCTGTTGCTTCAGCGTACACTTGAGAACTACAAGTACCAAGATGTGATAATGCTATGTAACGTTTACCTGTAGTCCAACAATCAATGCAGACTTTGCTGGCCCGTCAAAGACCTTCTTCTTGCCTTCCTGCGAACCCAAGAGCCAAGCATAGAGTCTCCGGTTCAGAGACATATCCTTGCGAAGTACAACCCCGACGGCTGCCTTCACCAAAACTATCAGGTCATTCTGCTCGATTAACCTAAGTGCCAGCGAATTCCATGCGTGAGCAATGAGCAATTGGCTTCCACTTTCACCATAAACACACTCCCCTGTTTACATGCAAAGCCTCAACGTCAACTTACCCATTGCTGATGGGGAAGTGTACGACCATCAAGTCCAGCATGGCGCGCTGAACAAGAAGTTGAGAATCCCCTACGGTGGCTGAAAATGCCCTGACCATGAGTCCTGCGTCGTCGCCCAGTACAAATGCCACATCTATACAGAAAAAGTTCAATCAGAAAAAAGTTGATTAATTGGGCTTGTAATCCGCAAGTCGTACATTTTCGTAGCTCCACCTCTATTTAGCTGATTGTACCTTCTGTGTTGGTGAGCATTGGCATCCTTCTGCCGAGGTAATGGAGGGCTGGCCCGCGGTGCTGAGAGGACGTGATCAGGATGAGCCACATACACTGAAAGAAGAATGTCTCATCCACGTTCTTTCGTAGGTTATCCAGAATGTTGAGGACTCTGTCAAAGAACTCGCTGCCTTCTTCATCCAGACCTGGCAACAATCCAATCATAAAGCTCTTTAGACAGGGCTTCAGCCGCTCCTTCAGCGGCAGATAAAACTTCTCGTAGATGTCGAGTAGTTGGGGCTATGATAGAGTTATAGTAGCGAGGTTTGTATCATGTCAGATCTTTTCCTAGTCAAGGATATGCACTCCCCTTGGACCATGACACATCCAATTCGGACATTGATGATGGCCTAGCTTACTTTGACAGAGAGTGCTGCATACTGCAGGAATGGGAACAAGCCATACGACCACAGTGTGATATCCTCAGCCAATTGATCGGGCTAAATAATGCAAAGAACAATGACCAAATTCCTTGTAAGTGACAATGAGTTTTTGACAGTGCGCAAGGCCTCGCCTCCCGATGTTTGACTTTGGTGGTCCATGAAGAGTTCATACCCCAATTGTTTCTAGAATATAAGCATAAACATCCAGTGTCTTTCCGTGAACGCCAGCTGGAAGAGCAGGGTTGAGACACTGTGCCAAGCGCTTGGCTACAGTCAGACTACGTGGAATGACGGTATACTGAGGATATGCTTGAAAGGACTATAAGGTAAGTGGAGGAATTGAAGGCTGTGAGTATTTTTGTCGCCTGACTTTGTCCGCGCTCTCTTGCAGCTGCCATGACTGCCTGTGTCCATGGAGTCCTGCAAGTACTCACTCTCATGATCTTTAAGAGAAATGGGTTGACATCTGCCCACTCGTTGACATTGTCGAACGACTGCAAGTTCCTTTCTACGAGCTGGATGTATTTCTTGTACCGGGGATCATTCTGAAGGTCTATGCCATCGACAAAAGGAAGACGCTCAGGTTATTATCTGGGTGTGAGGTGTTGGAGTAAGGTCAAGCGAAGTGTTCGCCATCAAGTTGTCGACCTGTCCAGTGTATGCTGCACCTGCCTTTGTTCTTTGCGCTGGAGCCACCCCAAGAATGCGGAGGAGGTGTCTTTGGCGAGGGCGATGGAGAACGAAGCTGGCTTTGACTGACAGCGATACTCTTTGGGAATGGGGACGGAAGCTTCGGTGAGGAGGCAGCAAGGCTGGGCGATGCGTCCCTGGGTGATGAGGAGGTGTCGGGTTCAGCCATGGCAGCTGCAGAGACGATTGTTTTTTTCCTCGAGGATGAGAGAGAATGTGGAGTGAGACGAGTTGGGTATGTAATTGTGTGTGAGTGTATGAGTGTGTGTCAGAGTGTGAATGTATGTGTGTGCCCCTATGCCTTCTTCTTGTTCTCTTGAGATGACTCCGTGCTGAGCGTCGTGTCCTGTATGGCGCGGTCGGGAGGGGGGGTGTCCTGCTTTTGTCTGGGGTCGAAGGTTGGGTTTCTGGCGGAAGACACAAAGGAACGAAGGGCGAGCCTTTTCTTTTGTTCTCACTTCTCAGTCGTGGCATTTTCTGAGGGAGACGAGTGACTGTCACCACGGAGATTATATCTCACACGCCCACGGCTTGAAGTATTGCCGTCCTTTCTCTTTCTTCACCTCTCACTATAGCATTTGGCCATCTAGGGCACGTCCACCAGGAGTGCGCTTGTTGAGGCGAATGTCTGCCTGCCTGTAGGTCGAACTCGGTACATATGATGGCAGCTGCTGTACGCGTTTCAATTGATCGACGCGTCAAACCATTAATGGTGGATAAATTGTTTAATTGTACATGAACATTGGTTTCGCCCGGTAAAGGATATCTAGTTCTTGGCATTGACATCGGCCTTGACGTTAACCCGAAGTCCAGACAGCAAGTTCAAGACACCATCCAACAGAGTGTTGCTCTTCTCCTCGCAAGCAGTAGGGACCTCCTCGGCGTAAAAGTAGTCCAGGCGGGGCTTGAGCTCGTTCTCGAGGTTGACACGGAGGCTCAACACGTTCTTGGCATCCTGAGAGTCGTTGCAGCCAGACTTGCACACAAACTTGGGATCGACATTGGCAGCAACATCAATGCCAACCTTTAATCCGCTATCAGTGTTCTCAGGGACTGGAGCTGGGGTCTCTGGCACGGGAGCAGGGGTTTCAGGAGCAGGGGCAGGGGTCTCAGGAACGGTAATTGGTGCCTCAGGTGTAGGTGCAGGGGTCTCTGGGACGGGGGCAGGAGTCTCTGGGACGGGAGCAGGAGTCTCTGGGGTGGGAGCAGGAGTCTCTGGAGCAAGAGCGATCTCAGTGTTGGTCATCTTCTCGGTGCAGTCCTTGGATAGCAATTCGGCGTTGATGTTGGCCTGGATACGATCCAAGACCAACTGAGTAATCTTGACCTCCAACTCGGCCATCTTCTTCTTGAGCTCCTGGTCTTCCTGCTTGGACCAGGCAACATCCAAGTTGGCATCTGCTTCAACAGCAGACTTGATCGCAGGGACAAGCTCCTCAGAGGTGCAGGCCTTCTTGGCATTGTCGATATTGGACTGGACGGTGATAGTAAGCAGGGCCTTCTCTTTGGGGAGCTCCTCGGCGCCGCTGGTGACCTTGGCAGTGGCGATCTCGTTCATCAAGTTGTCGAGACGAGCATGGGCAATGTCGGCATAGTGATCAGCAGAGGCCTTGATGATGACTTCCAGAGCAGCGCCGTCCTTTTCGGTGCAATCGCCGCAGAGCTTGGTGAGAGGAGTGCGGGCAAAGTTGGCGTTGGCGGTGACCTGGACAGTGTTGGGGGCACCAACGTTTCCTGTGGCCTGACCGGTAATAGGGATGGCACTGGCGACGGAGGCGATGGCGGCCGAGATCAAGAGGATGGAGGAGGTGAACTTCATTTTAATTGTTGTTGGCTTTGGGTATATGGGTGTTTGGGTAAATGGGTAAGAGAGAGAGGTAGAGAGGATTGAAGGATGAGGAGATGAGGATTTTGCAACTGGAGTCAGTGAGAGTTTTATAGAGAGAAAGCAGCGACACCCGACCCTTCACCGTTCCATGTCTCCCTCAATGATTCTACAATGGGCCTGGGTAAAGGTCAGGATCCGACATGGTATCCCGATGTGTTGTTGGCCACTCGGGATGAGGCGGCACAAAAGACAAAGTAGAATATCAAATCGAGAGAAATGGAAGGGTTCAACCCCCGGATAGATCTAGAGGGAATCGTCCCGGGTCTGCCGAAATCGCGTTTTGTGGCTGTGGCAAAAAACGCGTCGTGTGTCTTATGGTATCACTAGCTAATGATAGGACTACAGCCACAAAAGAAGAATACCCTGTTCAACAGCCACAAGGTATGTCATACCCATGAATTAGTAATAAAATACTCCTGGTGGTACAAAATAACCATGACTAGTGTCCAGAATACCAGGTACCACTTTGGCTAAATCTATCGACTACAAAACAGCGACAACATGAATGTACGTAGACTACTGTATCCTCTTGTGTGCAAACCAAGAAAACGGCATTTTTCTTTTTTTATTATCTTGCGAGTTCTGTTTCACTCTGAAGGCCCGTTGGGGTCTTTATTCATGATCCGCATGGCGCGATTCGAATGCGTCCAGTAAAGATAAAGAGCACGCATTCAAGTAGAGGAGCGCACGAGTTGACGAACAGGCAGCTAGTCTAGCAGAAATGACCGGTACTCGTTCTTCTCGTTGACGAGATAGTCAGACGGGGGAGCAATAAGGGCGCAGGAGTGTTATTTACTGGGCTTAGCGAATTTAGGCCATTGCATTGGATCCTTGAGAATTACAGCCAAGCCCAGCCCACTTTTTGTCAAAGAGTGGCAGAGTCGCCTTTTGTGCGCATGTTTGAGGCTCTGAGTAGACGACTGCAGACACCATTCGTCCCTCTCTCTAAAATTTGCCACTAGCACCATCTCAATGGAATAATCCGTACCGGAGGGAGTACTAGGTGACGATGACGATGTCGAAAAGGTACTCGTTTGAGCTGAGCAATTGCCATTCTTGGGGCAAGACAAGAGCAAGAGTAGGGGCAAGGGGTCTTGATGAATGACTCCTTACTCTCCCCCTGCTCCTTGTCCCAAGTCCATCCAGACCAATTCATTCACTTCAAGGTAAAAAATAACACGCAGAAATGAGAGCAGTCAACTCCAAAGACACACATCGCGCTTCCCGGAGGATAAGGGAGAGGCGGTGTCCCTTATGCTTCATTCTCCTTCCTTTCTTTAATCTTTTTTTCTCCTCGTCCTTGTCTCTCCCTCTTCTCTTTCTTCTCTCTCTCTCTCAATTCTTCTTCTCTTCTCACCCTCACTCTCACCCTCATTCTCACACTATCCTGCCTTATCATATAAGTTCATATCAGCATACTCCTCCCTTTTTACTCCCGTTACATCTCCCACCTTTTCTTACTCCTCTTCCTTCTTCTCCTTGTCCAACCGTCTATCCATTCCTTTCCTGTCTCGCCATTGTACACAGCCCCTTTCGCCCACCCCTCCACCCTGTACCCATACCTCACACGACCAAAAGCCCCCACTCCTCCTACCTTTGTATCCCCATCGATGGACATCCTTGTCACCTCGTCCACACTACCCTCTGAAGACCCATTAGTCCTCAAGTCGGGTCGACCGGACGATGCCATGACCCCTGTCGACACTCTCAAGACTAGTGGGTCTTCAAACGTGCCAAACTTTGTCCGTGTTGACGTTGACAGCTTAAACTATTCAAAGGACGTCGGTGACACCAGAGGTTCGACCAGCAGTGTGTCACCGCAGATCCAGGCATCCGCATACATTAACGACTCGGAAACCCTAAGTGTACCGACAGGCAACACCAACAATATTGAACAAGGCCACACTGAACCACACCCCGTCAAATCGACCACTCCCCCCTCTCAAACCGAGACGAATAAGCATGCACACTCAGCCATCGTGCCAACAGCAGCACCGACAACCATCCTTTCCTTACAGCCACCATCGCCACCTTCTCAATCACAACCAGAAGCAGAGTCAACAAACCCCTCCTCGAACCTCGTCGCCTCCTCTGCGATTTCGATTCTGTCTGCCTCCGGAACGTTGGTCTCACACGAAGCCCAAGGACGTCTCTCCACCTCGACAGCCCATCCTCCTCATCCCCTCTCTCGGACTACAACAGCTCGCACACTAGCCGTGTCTTCCGCTCCCTTCGATCCACAGCAATTCAAGGCTACCCTTCAAAAGCTAACCGCCTTCACGGAGCAGTTCGAAGCCCTGAACGACCAACTGCTGGATGCCCTGACAAGTTACGACAAATCACGCTTAGGCCTGGACTTTGCATTGGAAGCTGGATCTCACTTGACTACAGAGCCCACAACTAAGGACGAATTGTCTACCGATCTGGAAATCGAGCGACGAGCGGTTGCTCAATCGCTCGTGGAACTCATTTTCTCTTCGTGGTCTAGACTCGCAGGAAATGGATCGACAACAACGGTGTACCCCACACTGAACCTCTCGATCCAGACGCCGCCTCCCCCCCAGAAAATGGTGCGCCTAAACAAACCTCAGATCAAGACCGCCACGCATCTCAAAGACATCATCGTAGCCTTTTGGAGCGCTCAGAGCAACTTTCAAGATCGCGCTCAACTCGTTCTCGAAATATTTCAGGTACAGATTGAAAGCAGACCATTCGGATTAATCGAATGGTGTTGTCCGCACTTGGTCGCACAACCAAATACTCCGAGGAGGGAAAAAAAAAAAGAATGAAAATAATCAGCGATAGATGATTAACAAATAGTGTTAACTCACTCTTTGCTCTCTTTTTTGGTTTGTCATTCTGCATTTTTCCTGTTCATAGGATCCATTAGAGTTGGAGGATGATGAACGAGTCCGGATTCTTCGGAGTCGTCACTTGAACTACCTCCTCTCAACCTCTCTCACCCCGATAGAAGCAGATCGACTGAGTGGCAAGGTGGAGAGTGACCAGAACAGGATGACACAGATCACGGAACAGCTCCAGGGACTCTGGCTCGAGATTCTGCTTGTGCTCTCCAAGCCTAGTTCGACGGCAAACAACAACAGCAGTAGCAATTCAGGCGATGATTCTGCGGAGAGCGAAGAGGGTGACAATGGTTCATTTGGAAAACGGTTCTTCCGTATCAGCAAGGGCAAGCGGCAGGCCTTCAAGGTAAGCATTTTATCCTCGCGTCTTTGCAGTGCGCTCCGTTGATGATACATATTAGTAGCACAATCAGTTAAGCTCGTTTACTTCCTCTTTGCGCATCATAGAACTTTCTCAGGTGGTGAATCCACCCATCAGCAGCATCAACAGCACCATCAACACCAGTATCAACCATGTACCATACCTTCTTGAAATAAATGATTCCTTCAATTCAGTTTGATCAGTTGTGTGACTTGAAAATTGTGGAAATCACCAAAACGACCATTTGTGAAACTTTGATCTTTTTCTTTTTCTTTACTTTGACATCACGACATCGGTTCATAACAGCATGGCATGGATTCCTCGATGGACCAAGGCTGGAATCAATGGCACCAATGCGATCTTCCCCATGGTTTCATGTGCAGGAGCATCTAGGAAACCCTTTCATATCTGTCACTCCTTGCGTGCTGCCACGGCTCAAGGACGACCTACAGAGCTGCGATACACCGAAACTCACCTCGATACCATCTTTGCCCTCTCAACTCATCCTGGCAAAGCTGGCATTGCTGTCGTCCGTGTCTCTGGACCTCAGGCCAAATCGGTATGTACCTCGACTCTCATCAAGCGGATAGGCAGAAAACTCTATCAAACAGAACACCCACATGGGCTTTCATTAATCATGATTGGCTACAATGGTATGACTACAGGTCTTGAGGAGCATGACACTTGCAAAGTCGCCGTTTCCAAAGCCAAGGCAGGCTGTCACCAGGAGATTGTTGTGCCCTCAGTCAAACGAGCTCCTGGACAAAGGAATGGTTGTCTGGTTCCCAGGTAACGTGAGCGAGATGGATCAAGTGCATCGTATCCTCTGGAAATGGATTAGGGGTAAACCTATCTAGCGAAAACCTGATCATTGTTACCCTTGGCTTTCACTATAGGTCCAAGGAGCTTCACAGGCGAAGACAGTGTCGAGTTTCATTGTCATGGAGGCAAAGCTGTTGTTGACGGGATTCTTCGAGGAATAGGAAACACAGGGCCGTATGTCCGCCTGGCTGAGCCAGGAGAGTTCTCGCGAAGGTAATTAATTATTTGTGTTTTTGGGTGATCCTATGCTCTTCATGCAATCGAATTGAAAACTCGGCGCGCAAACTTAACCGCGTTTTATGACTTTGATTCCATAGAGCGTTTGAAAACAACAAACTGGACTTGACAGAGGTCGAAGGACTCGCTGATCTTCTCAATGCAGAGACAGAGGCTCAGAGGCGTTTGGCATTAAGGCAGGCGGATGTAAGCATTTCATTGGATGGGTGCGAGTTGACGCTTGGATGGTCTGGTCGCAAGCATTGACCACGAAACTGACCCCATTGCCTCTACACTCAATTAGGGAGGACTGAAGAACCTGTATGAGACATGGCGGACACAGTTGATTAAGAGCATGGCCCTGATTGAGGCACTCATCGACTTTGGCGAAGATGAAAACATCGAGGACGACGTCTACGACAATGGTACGGTGCGATACCACCATTTACTTCATCTTATTGGGTAACTGTGAGCAATCTCTAACTCTAATCCTCATCTCTATCCTCAGTTGTCGTCAAAGTGAAGTCACTCTGTAGAGATATCAAGAAGCACACGGATGACGATCGATGTGGTGAAATCCTACGCGACGGTATCCATGTCACTATCCTTGGCCCACCCAATGCTGGCAAGAGTAGTTTCTTGAACTTTGTTAGTAAGTAGCATGCCATGGTTTTGACGGTACACTCCATCGCGATATGCAGTCAGCCTTTAATCCACTATACTTGTCAACGTCTGTGATATAGCAAAAAGGCAGGCGGCGATCGTGTCTCCTATTCCAGGAACAACACGCGATGTGGTGGAAGTGTCGTTGGACATTGGCGGTTATCCTATCTTGATTGGTGACACAGCGGGACTGAGGTCGTCACAGGATGAGATTGAGATGGAGGGTGTCAGGAGAGCGCAGGATCGGATCCAGCTAGCGGATATCAACATTGCGATCCTTCCAGTGACAGACTTCATGAGCTCAGACAAAGTTAGTGGCGGCAATGGAACCGGTGTGGACCCCATTGTACTTGAGGCTGTGAGGAAGAATCCAAAGACCATGGTTTTGATCAACAAGATGGACCTCCCCGGACTTGACAATGAAAAGGCCATGGCAGCAGTCAAGTCTGAATTATGGGGCGACTCGCACCAAAGTCTAGATGATGAGGGTGAGGGTGAGGATCAACGCAGACTATGGGCTATCTCCTGCCAGACAGGGGATGGTATTGGACAGTTCCTCCAAGACTTTATCAAGATCCTTAAAGACAGGTACACCACCAAAATCACGACTGCAGGTTTGAAGCATACGGGCGAGAATGAAGACATTGTTGTTCTAACGATCGCCTTGCTTTGATACTTTTTTTATATAGATTCGAAAGCAGCGTGTCAAGCAGCACGTCTATCACCCAGTACAGGCACCGTAAGCACCTGGAGAACTGTATCCAGTCTCTTGACGCGTTTCTAGGTACCGTTCTTCTTTTGAGCTCAATTGTTGTGTTCGCCACTCCTTTTTTTCTACAGTCGAAAACTTACATTTTCCTTGTTGCATCCTCTCTCGACACGATGATATGATAGACCTTGGTGCAGATGACATTGTTCTGGGCGCAGAGGAACTTCGCCATGCTGCATCAGACCTAGGCAGGATCACCGGCAGAGTGGATGTGGAGGAGGTGCTCGATGTCGTCTTTCGTGAGTTCTGCATAGGCAAATAAGAATAATAAAAAATCGTTCACAAGCAGAAGCCGTAGATCCGATCAAGCAAAACACACAACATCCACACTATCATCGTTCGTCGTCGTGTGGTTCAATGTCGAAAAGGCGAAAGTAGTAACAGTAGGCGATGGTTCTTCTTTTGTTTGTTGCTTCTTACTTCTTTCTTTCCCTTTATGGCTTTTACTCCGGACAGCAACAGACAACTGACCCCCCTTGACAAAGAGAGAAAAGGGTCGGATTGACACTTGACCGTTTCGCTGCACTCCAACGGTGTCAACACAACACAATGGCCTTTCATGATCTCAATCTGCATGGTTCTCTCGCTCATCGACAGATCCAATCATCCCTCCTGTAAGAAGAAGAGGAAAGAGTCAGCTATGTCTTCGTTCTTGAGTAACCCTGTTACCGTTGCCTCTTCTCTCGTTCTTCTTTTCTTTCCCTTTCTCCATTTATGTCACTTTCTTTTCTTCTACCTCTCTCTTTCTTTTTCTTGTTCGCCTTTCACCTCATCACGCCTTTGACAAGACACAACCCTTAGTCCACTCTTCCTTTCTATTCGACTTCCTCTCCCTCCGCTCACCACACAGCATCTCTATATACCCTTAGCCCTATCACTTACTCACGCCCTCCCTATTGCAGTCTCAACTTGCACCACCCCTTTATTTCATCGCCGCAAAACACATAAAAACAATAACAAAATCGGAATGGCAGATCGCCCTTCAAACGAACCTTCGTTGGATAGACGACTCCCCTTCAACATCACGCGTACCCGGAGTGGGCAGCGTATGTGGTCGGATCCCGTCGTACCAGCAACAAATCGACATGACCTCACTCAGCAGCAGTATCGCTCCCACCACGCCTTTGCCCCCGCCCATTTCCCTCGATATTCTCCACAAGGGATTGCGAGCGATCGAACAGTCATTGCCCCGGTTGCAGCTGCTGTCTGCGGGGATATCCCTCTGCGACCTCTACCTTCGGCGCTCATGGCTCATTACAAAAATGGAGGAGCACATCCTATTACACATACCAGCAGTACAAGTCATCTTGGCAGACACCATAACAGCAACATCATCAGTAGTATACATGACCTTGATCTCTATGAGGACGATCCACATGGATATGATGCATACGCTACTCACTCGGTTCCGCGGTTGATGAGACAAGCGCCCAGGTTGCTCAGCCTCGATGACTATAACCTCATTTCACTTGGATACAAGCCGGTATGTTGACATTGTTTCGGTGACAGCCTTTCTCGAAGATAAGGCCAACCAACTAAATATTTTATCGTTAACACCTACATAGGTCATGGCGAGAAAGCTACCATGGATGACAGTGGCCGGAGTAGCTCTCACGGCGACCAATGTCTTCACTGGAGTCATTCCATTGTACGGACTAGCCCTGACGAATGGAGGACCTGCCTGGGCGACCTGGAGCTTTCTCGTTATTGGATTGATGTCTATTGCTGTGACACTGTGTCTCTCGGAACTTGCATCGGCCTATCCAACCACAGCAGGAGTGCACCATTGGGTGTATCAATTAGGATCCGCAAAGAGGAGGGCGTATCTGTCGTGGATGGTCGGATGGTTCACCATTGTCAGCGCTGTAAGGATTATGCGAGACGAGATAGATGTAGCCATATACCGTTTTATTCCACTCCATATCTTATGTTAATTGTGTGAACAGGGGGTGGTGAATTCGCCGTTTTTTATACTACAGGCTAACAGCTCTTTTGTTTTTCCTTCCCTCCCTTTCCCCGCTCTTCTTTCTCTCTCCTTACTTGTGGGACTGACTCCTTCGATAGGTGACCGTAACGGCTTCGATCGCGTTCTATTTCTCCTCGGTGCTGGGGCAGCTATTACTGTCGCTGCACAAGTCTTCGCTCACGCCTGCAACTCTGGTGATGTTCCATTTGGGTGTTCTTTTCGCTTGGCAGACCATCAACTTGATGCCTATCCGCCCGATAGGTTATCTCTCCATCGTCTCGGGTAAGCATCCCCAACCCCTCTTCTTTGGCCTGTCTCACGCCTCTCTTTCTCTCTCTCTCTCGCTCCTGCCAAAACCTAACCGCTTCATTATGCATATGCATTTTTTTTCTTGTCTATGTGGAACAAAAGGTCTGTTTATGGTTGCGTTGGCAGTAGCGTTGATCAGCGCGATGTTGTCATTGTCAGGAATCGAGCCGTCGATGGCCCAAGTCCCCTTTACTGCCGTTCTGAACTATTCTGGAAGTTCCAATGCTGTCTACGCAGCATTGAGCAGCACACTCATGGCCTCGTTTGTCTTTTGTCCTCAAGACACCATAATTCGCATGGTAAGAACTTCTCTTTTTATTCATGTGTTATTTTTTTTGGTAAACTTGCGGCATGATAAACAAACTAACAAAGAACTGTATTTGTAGGCGGAGGAGAGTAGGCGGCCAGAGAGGGCGTTGCCCAAGCTGATGGTGGGGTCGACAGTGTCAAGTCTGTTAGTTGGTCTCCCTCTTGTCATTGTCCTGAACTACGGGATCGTCAAGACCATCAGGGGTCTCCTGGATGAGTCTGTTCCCGGCATCAAAATCATCCTCGTAAGTCAAACAATCAGATAAGATATTCTATTTACGCAGCATTAATTGATTGAGGTGAAACAGCACATGCAATTAACCTTGATTTATTTATTTACCTGCATTGCATACAAGTCGACGATTGGCGATTCGACAGGGACAGTGTTTGTGGTCTTTGTGCTGACAGCCATCTTCTTCACCGGCCTGATGCGCCTCTCGACCGCAACCAGGACAGTTTACTCATTTGCGCGCGATGGAGGAGTCCCTCACTCGTCCTACTGGAACCACCTTCACCCACGACGAAAGATCCCTCAGCGCGTGTCCTGGTTGGTCACCATCGCCTGCATGTGCTGTATTTTCCCTTTTTTCTGGGGGAATTCTGTCGCCTTTCAGTGGATCTCGAGTCTTGGCTGCATCACCGCCAACATTAGCTTTCGTGAGTGCACACATACACACTTTCGCGCTCCATTGATTATTTTTCTTGGAGGAGCGAAAGAAGAGAACATTAACATTCGGCTATACTGCTTCACCATATTCTTCTAGTTGTCCCTCTTTGTATGAGATTGACACGCGAAGGAAGTCTCCACTTCATCCCAGGAAACTTCACCCTCGGCCGCTTCTCAAAACCCCTCCACATCATCTCCATTATCTGGCTCACCTTTCTCTCCCTCACCCTCGCCCTCCCCTCCACCATCCCCGTCACAAAGAACAACTTCAACTATGCCCCCGTCGTCCTCGCAATCCTCACCATCATCTTCGCAGTCTCATGGTTCAAGGCCAGGACGGATTTCACGGGTGGTGCCAAGGATATCAGTCGTGCCTCACATCGAAACCCTGCCCGTCGGTCGCTAGAGGATATTTATCCGCACAAGTCGCCTGCACATTCGCAGTTAGGTCCTGGGTTGGCGGCATTTCCGCCTGCGCCTCGGGCTTTGCCGCCGTTTCATCACACACCTTCGGAGGAGACTATTCAGAGGTTCAAGACTCCTCTTGGCAACAAGACGAGGAATGGGATAGCAGCTAATGGGCATAACAGGGTTCTTCCTGAACAAGTCACCTTTCCACGGCCCGGTTATCCTACATCGCTGACCCCACCCAAAAGGAGCAACCCCATGACCTCATCCTCATCGTCCAGGAAACAGCAGAAGCACCAAGGTCAAGCTGCAGGAGGAGGAGAGGGATCAACCTTAAGATCAAGCCCAAGAGACCATCCTCGTGGACAAGCACCCAACCTGACCATGAACACTATAACCTCTGTCCAAAGCCATCCAGACTCGATCCTGGGGATTCCTTTCTCCGAATCACCAGAGATGATGCATCGAGAACTCACAGTCCAGAACTTCAGCAGTAGCATCAGCGCCAGCCCATCCTCGTCTCCATCACCACCAACGGCACTACCGTCAACTCGCACCCTTGCGACTGGTGGCTCTCAGAGTCCTGACAGTTCTGAAGTAGCTTCTTCGGGGTTGTTTCTGACACGACCATTTGGACCTGTAACGACAACCACCGACGCTATTATCCCCAAAATCTCGATTGCTCCTCCAACAACCAACAGCAGCACGATTGAAAGCGCCAGAGTCACACTTCGTCGCGAAAGTCCTCTTATCCGAAAGGCAACAACCACTCGTGCTGCTGCTGATGGTCCTAGCGAGAACAGGACCGTATTGGCTTTGAGTCAACAGCTTGCTACCTTGGAGACCACCAGCCACCCCCTGAACGCGATCGATAGTATCTTTAAGCTCGGACATGGATTGAGCAATATGTTCACATCAGGCAAGAACAAGGTCACGGCCAGCATGAACACCAGCTCTGAAACCAACAGCCATCTCCGAACTGGAAAAAATCGACCGCCAACGCCTTACCCTGGGAGTCTAGTGGATCAAACCGAGGACTCTGCAGTGTCAGATTATGCCGCCTCGATGAAGGACGACTCTCACACACCCAAGACTATCTTGAAATTCTCTCCACCCTCACCACCACTTCATCCACACAACCAAGGTGGGCATGGAAGAAACGGATACACGATCGAGGAGATTGTCAACAACACCATCGTAGTTTTTCCGTCCATCTCCCAGTTCCCGACTCTGGATGGGTACCCTTTGATCAAATCCTCTTCGACTATGGATTTCGGGGCCGAGTTGTCTGGAAGTGACGTCGCCGCTGGTGGTGGTGATCGAAGACCGTCCAACACTACGACCATCCGTCCTCTGATGCTCCCCATGAGTCGCACGCCCACCATCCAGGCCACCAGTCAAGCTTATACCTACACATCATCTCTCAACGATGACCATGGCGGAGACTTGGAAGGACAGCTCGCAGAAGCAGACGAATTCTACGAGAATGAGTATCATCACGACTACCCCATCATCTCCATCTCCAAGAACCGTCTCAACTCTCTCTCTCCGACCTCTGGTGTTGCTGGTGCTGCTGTCAGTGGTAATGGTCTCTTCCGTCTCCCCAACTGTAATATCAGAGTTCCTTCTACCTCCACGCTGGCATTGACACCATCTGGTAGAAATAATAGTGGTGGTGGTATGATTCAATCATCAACCTTGTTGACTCACTCCACCGGCCCGGCAGCAACTCCAACCACCGTCATGGCACCCACCAGTCCAAATCGTCAACAACAGTTCACCCCTCACAACCACAACGAAACCAAACCGCACCGCCAGTTATCCTACACCGAACGACACGATCCCATCGAGCGCCTCCTCCGCCACAAAGCCCAGCAGCAACAACAATCAAACTCCATCACCCCTAACGACTCAAAAACCTCCTCCTCCCACCAACACCTCGAATCTGCCACAAACCCAGCCTTCCAATCCCTTCAACGCACCCGAACAGTCGCCAACTGGGCCCAAGAACAATCTCGAATCCAAGAAAAACGCGCTCGACATTACGCACGGACCCGGGCATTGAAGGAGTTGCGGAAACAAAACCCCACTGCGACGCTTTCGATGGGTTCGAGTTCTGGGTCGTCATTCACAGACTTTTCAGAATTGTCGTCTTTCTCGACTTCGACTTCTTCTTCTGCGTCCGGATCGGCGTCGGGTGCGGGTGCTTCGGCGTCAAAGTTTTTCCCACAATCTCCTCAACAGCACCGTCATCAACAACCCTCGATCCAGGCAAGACCTACACCTCCGCCATCATCCTCTTCCCTCACTCGGGAAAAACTAGTCATCAACACCAACTTTGGCCAAGACAAGATGCCGTCCTTCCCACGCCACTTTGCCAACAGTAACGGAAGCGGGGGAGGAGGACTGGACATCGATTCGATGATGATGGAGGATATTCAACTGGACCACCCGACGCGTCTCGAGATGCTTATCCAAGAAGAGGACGAAGACGAAGAAGAGGAACCGGGCTTGTATATCGATACGGATGATATTTTGAGCCCTTCGATGGAGATTGAGAGTCTTGGAGCTGGTGTTGGACGACTCTGAATAATAGCAAAAGGGGGTGTCATTCGCTTAAATCTTGTTGCATTTTTTTTTAATCTAGTCTTTTCATACCCTTGTTTTGTAATAATAATGCCCGCTTCTTTTTTTTTCCTGCTACCCCATTGATGACACGAATGTTACTATGAACGTCCTTGTTAAAGACTCCCAGGTATATGGACGAAAACAGTAGTTGAATAACGGCGTTGTCCAAAAAACTAAACGGAAGTGCTTGTAGCAGAGCGCGTCCCTTTCTTTCGCGCAAAAAAAAGGTAAGGCAAGGAAAACAAAAATATTGGAGAACCTGGGCATCGATCCCAGTGCCTCTCGCATGCTAAGCGAGCGCTCTACCATTTGAGCTAGATCCCCTATGAAGCTTATATAGCTTATATACAGGCAGCATTTGGCAAACATTGTTATACATGTGGCATAAACTGCAACATGCACTTAGAGAATATTAAGGGGCTTATATTGAAGAATTTCGCTTAATGAAAAAATGTACAAAAATAACTCGGATAAGAGACCGAGCCAGGAAGCGAGAATACAAACGCGCGGTGGACAGAGGTCGTCAGGTACCGAGGCCAGTACCCATACACTGGTGGCCCCCTTCGGATGCGGATCATGTGCGAGGATTTTCCTCCATCGGTGGAGCTCGAGCCGTGCACAGCGGTAGTCCAGCTCTCGATCGAGACGAGAAACCGATGTGGAATGTGTCGGATCTCCTCCGCGGCATCACCCCCTTGAGCATGTTGACTGAATGGTCCGCGGTTTTCCGGACCCCAATGTCCATCGCCAAGACAGTCCTTCACAAGTTTGTTGGCTACCTGGAGGCGCAGGCCTCGGAGCTGATCTGGAAACCTCGGTGCTCCGCGACAATCGCATGGGAACAAAGCCAGGGCATCTCTGCCAAGGATAAGACATCCAAATATACAGGCCCCCGAGGTGATTGGAGTCAAGGATACGGTTACATCACGCACGATGGTTTCTGTCCGTGTGGCGCTTCGCTAGCCACACATTGTGAAGGAAGGTGCCCTGGGGCGACCAAGGACCCACGCGCTGCTGACGAGCGGTTGTCGGAGAGTTTGTTAGGAAGGAGGAGGTTGTCAATGATGGAGAGGATGGGAAGAATCCCCTTCATTCGTATCTAGTTTTATTTTCTTCCGTTTAAGCTGTGAAGAGCAGCGACAATTGTTGCGCAGAGCCAGGTTCTGGACCGGACTGCGACTGGCGGATGGTGCACTGAAGAGTTTGGTCTGTAGTCCCCTTTTACTTCCAAATAACTTCTCTATGCTGTTTGTTAGAGAAATAAAATTGTGTACAAAAAAAAAAAAAGGATAAGAGACCGATGGCATCTCAAAAGGAGATACGTTTTGTTGAACAAAGGATCACAATGCTTAGACAGGATGTGAAAGGCATGAGGTACGATAAAGCTGTTTTATTTTTTTTACAAGTCATTCTTTTGTGTTGTGTCTGTGCATTTGTGTGTTTATATGCGGGGGTTCTTAGAGGTGCATGTATCAATTTTATCTACTCCAAAACCAACAACTCGCCAACGCGGCCCATGAATTCCTGGAGGGCCACACGGACATCTTGACGCTCAACACCAATAAGGCGGATGGCCAATCGGAAATAGTCAGGGAGCTCCTTGCGGAGGCCCTGGTATTTTCGCTTGTCAGACTCCAAGCTCGATGGGTGATGGATGTGGGGTTGCTGGCTGTTTCCATTGGTATGTTGAGCTTGGTGACCGGTGGGCGAAGGCGACATCACGGGTGATGCCCGGTTAGAGAGCGACGAGGACGACGATTGAGGAGATGCGCTGCCAGGGACAGATGAGGTCATGGCTGCGTTGGGCCACCAGATGGATGTCCTCTGAAGCTCGCGCAGGATCATAATTGTCAATTGAGACTGATTCACAATGACATCCTTGGGGTACCTGTTGGGCTCGCTTAACATGCCCAGGTAGCGCGCAATGATCAACTTGGATTCCTGAACCAAGGGCTCCAACACTGCTTGGATCTCATCCTCTGCGTCATAGCCCTCTCCATCTCCAAACTGGCGGTAGAAATCAAACAAGACCGAGACGTAGGTCGTCAATGCCAAGTTTTCCTGCTTGAACATGTTGGGCAACTGCTGGATCTGGCCCGACTTGTAGAGGTAATGACGGAGCTCATAGTTGTCGTTGAAAGCTCTCACAAAGCGGTAAGACTTGCGCAGACACTCCAGCCAGCGATGACGAAGGCCGGTGGGCATGTTATGCAAGTAACGAGGCTTGATGGCAGGTCCCTGAAGAGCTCCAGCATGGTCCGTTCCCGAAGGCACCGAGAACGATGACGAGCGTGATCCCGATGTCGATTCCTTGTCAGTGTGAGGTCCGGGTTGACCAGGGTTGGGCGAGACAGAAACATGGTGTCCTGTGAATGGCGACGAGGACGAAGGCCAGAGTGACAAATCGACAAGGGCCATGTCCTTGACAAACGTGATGGCCACCAGGTGGATGGCGCACTTGGTGACAGTTTCCTGGAAATCAAACTTGGCCGCAGGCGCAGCGGCTGCGGTTCCTGTTGTCTCGGTGGCCGGTGATCCATCGGTAGGCTGGGTAGGGGTGTTTGAGGCAGTATCCACGACCATGACCTCGTGTGGCGTTGTCATCTCAAAGATTGTCTCGAGTGTCCCGGTGATGAGCTCCCATCGCTCCTCGTCAAACATGGATCCGTTTTTGGTGACCAACTGGCTCAAGCAGATGATACCCATCTGACCCAAGTGTTCGCTCTTCTTGCTGACCAGCAGTGTGATGAGCTCCAAAAGACCCTTCAAGAAATCTGTCTGCGCATAGAACACCTGGTGGTATTGGCGAGAGTAGAGGTTGATCATCAAACGAAGAGCCTGGATCCAGATTGTAGTCGTCGAGTCACGTCGCTTGTAGTCAGGGTCCTTGAGGTCCTCGAAGATGGGCATCAGGACGACACGGTAAATCTTGGACCAGTACTGCGACTCGAAAATCTCTCCCGATCCGTTCAAAATCTCAAACAAGCTGACCAGAGCCTTGGAACGGACAGTGTGGAGGTCAGAGTCGATAACGACACGGGAGAGACCATAGACGATGGGGAACCACTTCAAGAAGAAGGTATCCTCGTCCTCCTCCACCACGGCGGCCTCCGTCTCCTTGGCCTTGCCCTCCTCGAGGATCAACTGCTTCTCAGGGTGGGGGGTGTCGTCCTTGGTGCCAACTGCTGCCTTTGCCTCGAGCCAGAGTCCACGAGCGCACTTTCTGAGCAAGACCATCGCGCCATTGACCACATTCTCGTCATAGTTGAAGCAAAACTCGACCAGACAGTTGACATAGTCGACAAAGCTGGTCTCAATCACTTCGAAGCTGTTCTCGTAGATCATCTCGACAATTCCAAACGCGTTCTCGACCAAGGCTCCGTTACCGTGGGTGGCTGTGCGGCCAAAGACTCCAAACATGGGCTTCCATCCTGAACGAATGTTGCTTGCGCGGGCGGTGATCATCTGACGAAGACTCTGAATGATCAAGTCGTGGATAGCAACCGAAGGGTTGTTCTTGTAGATGTGCTCGAAGGGCCTCAAGAGCTCGTTCTGGGTGTTGAAATGAGCCAACTCGTCGCGGGCCAAGAACTTCATCGCAAGCTGGCGCAAGGAGTCAATGGCAAAGGTGGACACGTTGGCGTTAGAGCTGCATCCGACGGCGTTGAAATACGACTGAAGAATACGCCAGATCTGGGTCCACTCGAAACGGATACGGACCATGTTGTAGTCAGCTGGGACACGGTAGCAATAATAACAATAGCAATAATAACAACGAGGAATCACCATTAGTACTTGAGGACTTCGTCGGCATCGTGCCCAAAAAAAAATGGACATACAATAATACAGCGGGCAAACATACCAATCTCGATAATCCTCTGAAGCATGTACATGCGGGGGGCACCGCGTGAGCCATCAACTTCTTCCAGTGAGACGGCGCAAATCGACTTGAAAAGGTGAACAACGGCATCACCACTCAGCGATGTGCTGTTGACGAAAATCTTGTCGATTGCAATGATGGTGTCTTGAGACTGGAACTCGTTCATCATGGCCGAGAGCGCGACCTTGCGTCTGGAAGAGGCCTGAGGCGTCTGGGGAACGCTTCCGGGCGAGTTTGCTGATCCAGTATGCTGATAATCTACTCCGTTGAAACCCTCGTTCGATACCCTTCCGCCCTGCGGAATCAGCTGAAGCTGTTCCATTGCGCTGATAGTCTTCAGAACAAGATTCCAGTTACCCTCGAGATACTCTCCCATCGTGTTGGCGACCTTGAGGAGGGTGCGGATGGCCAGGACGTTCTTGGGCTGCATCTCGCTCACGTGGTTCATGCCAGTCAACTTGGCCAAAGAAGAGATAAAAGCGTCGCGCTCAACCTCCATGTGAAAGATGCTGGCGATACGGATGGCGTTGGTGATACCGCGAAGGCAGAGCTCGATCGCCTCGGCGTTGATTGCGGAGAACTCGCGGGTCTTGGGATCTGTCTTGTTCGCAAAGATGCTGGGATCAATCGCCTCCTCGAATGCCAGACTGAGGGTCGCCATGGCTGGCCAGCAGGCCACGGCAAACATGGGCTTGACATGCTCCGCATGGGTGGCGTTCCTCCACGCGGCGGTGCTCTTGACACGTCCTTCGTTGCCAGTAAGGAGCGCACGGGCGTTCTTTTGCATCTGAGAAATGGCCATGTCGTACAGTTCCTGACGTTGCTTGTTGTTGCTCACAGTGGAGGCGGTCGCCTTGGAGGCCTCTCTGGCCTGCTCGTCCTCCAGCACAATCTCGTTGTTGGAAATGTTGTTGAAAATCTCAGTTAGGTACTCGTCCGGTAAGTTGGCGTTGTCGTTGATGCCTCTGTTGTTCTTGATGAAGTCCTTGACATCCATCCTGCGCTTGACGTTGTCTGAGTGCTGGTCAGTATTGAGCATAATGACGGAGAAGGCGAGAATGTAGGCGGGTTCGGCATTGGCGAAGACTTTGGGGTTGGTGTCGCAATACCGGTCAGCAAACTTCTCCATCAAACGATCGATCTTTTGCGACTCTCCAGGGAGACGGAAATTCTGCAAGAACATGCGCAGGGCATCGACGAATCCGACACCGGTGAAGTTGAGGCGGTCCACAAACGCGTGCATGACCTTGATCGCCTTCTTGTCGCCTTCACCAATGTACTCTCCGATGGCAGCCTTGTCCAGACCAGGAGTCGTCATCAGGTAGGCGGCGAGAGCTTGGAGGTCGTCCTGAACAAAGCCCTGCTTGATGAAAAAGTCGATACCCTTCATAGGTTTGGCGTTGAAGAGACTGACACCTTTCAGGAAGAGACGCTTCCTGGTCATGTTCTCCTCAAACTCTGCTGGATGGTCGTCTCCCAAGGAATCAGCTGATCCGACGGTGTTGACGGAGGTTGACGACATGTTAGAGCTAGTACTTTGTTGGGTGCGCATAGACATGGCGAGCAGAGGGTTCTTGGAAACAATGACGGGATGCGACATTTTGTTGTACTGGTTTGCCGAGTGCGATGACCGCGACGAGATAATGGATCCTGATCCATTGTCGTTATTGTGGTTGGCATCCTGCTGAGGTGACATAGGAAGTGCGTTTGAAGAGCCAAAATCAGCCGAAGCTTCGGCAGAGTGACCGTTGGTAACCGTGTTGACAGCAGATGCGATGGCCTCTGGCAAAGTCGAAACGGCTCCTACATCCTTGGACCAATCAACGAGAGAATCTAAAACCGAGACCATGCACCGTAACCCTTGCACAGCAAGACGTCGATCCTGAATCAGCGCCCACGCGTCCTTCTCATTCAATAGAAGCTGCTTGCCCATCATGTTTCCGACAGTGGCCGAAGCATTGACCTTTCCACGACCCTGAGCGATGCGGGACAGCGAGTTGACAATGTGCTCAAAGATCGAGGCCATCGTAAAGTCGCAGTCAAAGTTGAGGTAGATATCGACGAGAGACTGAGGGTTGGAACAGATCTTGTGGAGGCCCTGGAGAACCATTTCCTTCTGTCGCAAAGTGGCGTTCGACATGTCCAAGAACTTCAAGTAGAACTCATTGAACAGGACCTCGATCTCGGCCTTGAGCTGAGCGCGGTAGTAACCCAGGAGAGTCAGGAAGAGGGAGAGAGAGAACTCGAACAGAGTCTCGTTGGCTGACACTCCGTTCTGCGAGAGGGAGACGCAGAGGTATTGACGGACGGCGCTCACAAATAGCTCGTCGGATTGGAAGACGGGTCCAGAGTTGTTCATCATTGATAAGATGAGCTCGAGAACCAAGGCGCGGCCACGGACAGACAGTTCCTCCTGTTGTGAGTTACTGAGGATTTCAGTTCTGAGCGATAGTTTGCAGAGGAGTCGGAACGTGAGGTAAGCATCCTGGCGGGAAACTCTACATTTGGCGACGGCGGCCTCGTGAGGAGTCTGTTCCTGAGGCTGGGCAGGTGCAGGGACAGGTGGTGCGGCGGTAGTAGCAGCTGATACAGAAGAAGGCGATCTCTCAAGGATAGGCGATGCAGGTAATGGGATGTCGCTTGGAGATGTTGATGCTGGAGTGTTGTTGCTGTCGTTATCCAGTGGCAATTCCTGATCCTGGTTGTCCTTGTTCTCCTGATCATCTGCTGGGGTCTGTGTGCTTGTCTCAACCTCGACCTCGACCACCTCAACTTCAACATCAGCCTGGGTCTCTTCGATGTCTGTTTCAATCTTGACCGGCTGTCCAAATGTGTCATCCTGGGCTTCCAAGGTGGCAGGCTGTAGCACTATTGAATGTCGTCTGAGGGTTTTCTCAATGTTCCTGAGAGTGTGGGCGTCTGTCTCCATTTTTGAGATGACCAAGTTGACCATTTGGGTGAGTCCTGCCTTGGCGGTGGCCTGCAGGATGGGCGACTTTGCCCAGCAAAAGATGTTGCAGCTGGTCTGGATAATCTTTAAGAGCGAGGCGTGGTGGACTTCACACGTTGATGTGGTCACCAGAGTGAGTAAAATCTATGTTTGTATACAACAGGAGAAGTGGAGGTCGTGCAGCAGAGGATCCAATTGTCAGTAAAACGAGTATTATGAAGAAGAAGAAGAGAAAGAGGAAGAACAAGCAAAAATGTTCCTCGCTGGCTCTCCATGAACCGCGATCAAGAAGTTGGTTTACCTTGATGATTTGAAGCTGAACATTGTCATCGGCACTTCCGGGCCCACGGTAGGTCATACAAACGGTGTGGACGATTTCGTCAATCAGCCGTGGGGGTGAGGGGTAGTGATCGGGACCAACGGTGTTGGCTCCTGGCAGGTTGGGGACGAGATGGTCTGTTGGGTCGGAGCAGTCGATATGGCTGAGGTCGTTGGCTTCGCTGAAGACGGCGAACTTTGGACGGTTGACAGCAGAGGAAGGGATGGGGGTGGTTCTGGTGGTCGGGGGCAAGGTCAGGGGAGTGTTGCCAGTGAGTTTTCCGTGGGCGATGAGCTTGTGGAGTGCATCGAGAGCGAGGACCTTGACCTTGCTGGAGACAGATGGGGCACATGCGAGTTTGAAGACGACCCAGTACTCTTCAGCGTCGAGCGAGTCGAATTCGATAGAGGATGATGCCTTAATAGGGACGGGTTCGGGTGTGGAGGGTGCCCTGGGTTCGTCGAGCGAAGGCTGGGCGGTGGTGTCGACAGACTGTTTGGGGATAGAGGCGGAGGCGAGCTTGGCGGCGTTGAGGCGCTCGAGGGCACCCTGGGTGGCCTCGACAAGGTCGCGCTCCTTGCGTGGATGGGCCTCTGCCAAGAGTCGCTGCAGGGCGAGTTCTAAGCTCGACATTGGCAGTGGCTATTGGGAAAGTGATGATGTGCTAAGGAAGCGTGAGAGGGATGAATTTTTTTATGGATGATGACGACAAAAAGACGGAGAGGAGGAGGAGGAGGAGATGGGAGGGGGAGAAGGGGAAGATGGTGGCGGAGGGGAGAGAAAGAAGAGAGGGATGATGACAGAGAGAAGAAGTATGAAGGGAAGAAAGAAGAAAGGGGAGAGAGAGAGAGAGAGAGTACAAATAGAACAAAAGCAACGTGTAGAGGAGGGGAAAGATGGCTCACTGTGGGTAAGACACGTCTCCGCTCTGGTGGCCGCATTTGAGGGATAGGGGTTTCTTGTTCTTGTCCCTCGTCGCTCTCTATTCATAGGAGGTTATGAAGGTAGAGGAGAACAGGGAGGCAGATCCATGCACTGCAGTGGATAGAGTAGAGGGAGCAGATCGAACGAACGGACATGCAAGCAAAGAGTGATTTCTGAAGTGGGAGGGGGACACCTCCTACGTGGGACACCCTACAGCGCGCGTTTGTGTTGTTTTTTTTGTTCAAGTCAAAAGAGATGGGCGCCACTTTTCCCCTTCCTTCTCCGGCTGATCTCCTTTGCCGGTGGATTTAGCGTGTTTCTCGAAAGGAAGACGGTGAAGGGTGAAGAGGCAGCCAAACAACAGCATCGACAAGCGAAGAAGGTGCGTGCGAGGGAAGCAGTGGTCGTTTGTACTTTGTAGTGTAAGTGAAGAAGGAGTGTTTTGCCATAATGAATGATGATGGATGATGGTCCATGGATGGATATCACCGACCTTCTTCCTTCACGGCTCTCGACTATTTTTTCTTCTTCCTCCTCCCCCACACACACCCGACGCAGGGCTGTTTGTCTATCCTTCTCTCCTCCTTCCTTCCTTCCTTCCCTTCCTTCCTTTCCTTCCTTCCCTTCCCTTCCTTCTCTTCTCCTCCTTCCTTCTCTTCCTTCTCCTCTCCTTCCTTCTCCTCTCCTTCCTTCTCCTCTCCTTCCTTCCCTTCCCTTCCCTTCCCTTCCCTTTCCTTCGCACCCCACCCCTGCCTTCTTTCCACCATCCATCCATCCATCCATTCATCCATTCATTCATCCACCAGCCACCTTCCTTTCTTCCCTCTCCTCTGCTCCGCCCTGTTCCTTGGCTCTTTCTTTTATTCTTGTTGCACTGGCCTCATCACCAACCACTACACTTCAACAGCCGACGACTGTCAACAGAAAACGGAGAAAAAAAATATAACCTTGGAGTACCAGGGACACTCTCTTTCCTCTCGCTTCATCCCTACTTGCAACATACTCACCCTTCGCACCTTCGCGCCTTCGCACCAACACACCGACTATACGACAAAAATGATGTACAGGGGACGGAAAGCCCCAACCCTGGGTTCACTCTACACCACGGTCCTCCTCCTCGTCCTTGTGGCGCTCTCGCTCTCCTCCAACAGCCTGACCCACGCAGCACTCGGCACTGTCATGACGCTCAACTATGATTTCGTGTCTGTCGAGAACAGGCCCGAGACGGCTGCCGGTGCCGCTCTCATCGCCTCCATGCCGGGATTTAGCCAGGCGAGGTATATCGAGCAGACTGGTGGAATCCCCAAGGATGGCTTCTCTGTAAGTTCGTTAGTAACATGCAGTGTTCTTTGTCTCCTTACGTCAGTGAGAAAAGCATGCTGCCGTTTTACAGTCAAACATGATGATTTTCTTTTCAGTTCAACTCAACTCAACTTTTCTTTTGTACGCTGCTGCAATGTAACAACTGACATGTGTCATGGTGAATTGTTATTTATCGGATGATAGGGTATCTTGTTCGATATGGGCTATGGCTGTACGGATCTCTACCAGAATTATACCCTCAACCAGACAGAATCCTTTGTGCCCCAGAGGGTTGCCTTGATAAAACGAGCGGGGCCTCCAGGAGAGAAAGGCTGTACCTTCCGGGAGAAAATGCTCAGTGCCATGAGCCAAAACGCCATTGCCTTCTTGGTCTACAACAACGAAACCTACGATGAACTTCAAAGAGTCGACGCTGGCGGCGACGGGGATGTTCCCAACGCCATCCCTGGCATTCTCCTCCTTAATAGTGATGGAATGATGCTCCGTACTTGGCTGGCGAATCAAACATTTCTCGCCAAGGACCTTCCTACAAGTCCACAGTTCTACAACCGAATCAGAATCAATCTCACTGTCTCCCAGAGAATGTCTGTGATTTGGGAAGTCGTCTTGGTCGTAGTCGTAATTCTCCTGGCTGTCTCCCTCGCAATCTCTGGTACGTTACTTTGGCGAACGGGCCGTTGTTGTTCTGTTATCCGTAGAATGATCATTGTCCAGATCGATATCCCTTGCTCCTCCTGTTCCTTTCTCTGTTATGTCAGCATCAGCAATGGCCATGTACTCGCACCCTTGTTGTGCCTATTGCGCTTGTTTGGATCGAAGGCGCAGAGTGCTATTGAAACTCGAAATCCCAAGTTCAATTGCGAAGCTGCGCATGTGCCTCGTGCAATTTATGCTATTCAAGCACAGCATTGACTAATCAAACACCCTTTTATTCATAGTTATTCTGCATTGTCGATTGTATGCCTTGAGACAGCGAATCAGGATGGACGCCTTGGCTAGAGGCGCCGATGTGCTACCTAACGGAACTATCAGGATGAGAAAGGTCACTATCAACAAGGACATCCTCGACACTCTCCCCGTCAGAACCCATGGACAAACACCACCTGCTCCTACAGCAGCAGTGCCTGTCGTTGCTCAAGAGGTCACACCAACAACGACACAAGAAGGAACCAGTAATGGTAGCAGCACAGTCGTTCACGTGGAGAACTCTCAGGATTCTGGTGTGGAGAACGCAAACAATCCTACTGCTGCCAATGCCACCCGCACCTCGACTTCAGCTTCGCGTGCCAATTCGATCAGACAGTCCATCTCAGGAAGGTCCGTCTCGGGAAGGTCCATCTCTGGCCATTCTGTTCGGTCGCAGAATGCGATCGCTGCAGCAACAGCCTTGGAGTCTTCTACTGCAGTTACTACTACTCAGGCTGCTGGATCGCCTTCAACCGCCCATATCGACGACGACGACAGTGAAGACACCTGCGCCATCTGTCTGGACGAGTTTGAGGACGGTGATGAGATTCGATCGCTTCCTTGTCACCACGAGTTCCATTGCGATTGTATCGACCCATGGCTGGTTCGCAAGAGTTCAACCTGCCCACTCTGCAAATTTGACTGTCTCCCCCAGACCGAGGAAGAGGCGCAGGGCCGTGGCGAGGATGCAAACATTGTCTTGCCTCACGATCGACTGATTGAGTTTATCATGGGTCCGGATTGGGTGGAAGCCCGGACGATGCGCGGCCATAACGGAACAAGCATCACTGACCGCATTGGACACTTTTTCGATACTGTCTGGGACCGTATGCGCGGGCGACCGCCTCGACCAATGCCTGGGGCCACTGTTCAGTCGACTCCACGACCGCCCTATTCTCGGTCGGTGGCGACTTCAACAGTCCAACTCGACGAGCATGGACAAGTCCCGCTGCAGTTGATTACACCAAGAGGGTTTTCTTCTGCGCCTGCAGCTTCCTCCACCAGAACGTCCTTACCCTTGACCACGCCGCCAATACCAGCACCAGGACCAGCATCAGTGGAGGAGACTCGTCGCGGCGTGGCTGAAACACCAGCGGAACCTGTGTCGCCACAGACTACTGCGACCCCTTCAGTGATTGTTGAGATCCCCGCCTCGTCCCAATCTTCAGACAACGACGACAGTAGCATTGCGAAATAGGCTGTTTTGCTTGCACCTTTTCACAAATAATAAACACTTGCCCAGATACCATCATTCAAACATACTTACTGTAGCCGCATTGACACATTTTTAGTCACCATCACAGTCCACACGCAGCAAGTGGCCTCGTTTTTTTTATCGCCCTCCATTCTCTCCCACCAATTGTTCCACAATATCGAGTCAAAGGTCAACGACTGAGAAAGAGGAAAGAGGGGGGGGGAGGGGGGAGGCGCCAGACTCAACAACGAGTCCTGCAACTGATCAAGACTTTTGACGACCGATGCTCCTCCGAAACGGTTCTGTATCCGCTTTCCCTGAACTGGCAAAAGTGTTTTTTCCTTCAAGAACACGACTCGTCGTGATCAAGACGATACTTGTCGGCAATGGTCAACACCGGCTGCCATAAGATCGACATGGGGACCATATTTTCGGGGAAGGTTGACCTGGACTCGGGGGAGGTGGTGGGGAGAAATAACTACCTCCGTCAGTGGATAAGGATCGATCTCGAGAAAAGTGAGTTCCAGGAGGAAGACGAAGAAGGGGAGGTTGGTGGGGATTGAGTCTTTTTTGTTTTTGTTTTGGGCATTTGAAGTAGCCCTAATGAGACGTTTTACTTGCTTGTTTATTCCGACGTGGTCGTTGACGACGGTCGATCCAGTAGTGGCTTCGATTGGGGGCCGTTGGATTACTTGCAGCGGGCGTTGTAAGGCCTTTTTTTTTTTTTTTTTTTTTTTTGGCTCTGATCTTATCAGATCGGGACCACCTTGAGCTGAATGAATAGGGCAAAAATGAATGCCATTCCCCCATTTTTCGTTGCTATCAAAACACATTCACTATTAAAGTTGCTTCAAGGGCAAGGTACAGCGAGAGTTTATTCGCGGCAAAAGTCTAACGAATCTCGTGCTTTGACAGTTTGCCTGACTGATACGGCGAAGACATGCTCCTCTGCCTACCCTCACCAATACTTCCTCTCCGCGTATGGTTGTGCTTCGGTGGAAGGAAAGACCCCCGACTATAAGACCTGGACAGGGACGACGACCGCGACCTGCGCAACCCCGATCTCTGTCGACTACCGCCAGCTCGTGCTTGACTTGATTCCGCCGCTAGCTCTCGCCAGTGGACCTGCCCCTCTGCACCATCCTCATCTGCCGTATCCATCCAACTGCTCCTGTTGCTGTTGTCCCTGGATTGTCGAGAATAATCGCCACGGACAGGAGTATCATCCTCGTCCTCGTCGTCGCGATAGGTATATTTGATGATGCGCCTGCGCACTTTAGAGTTCTTTGCCTCATCCGACCGGTTCCCTGCACCGTACCCACTATCATTCTCGCCCGACAACGAATCCGACAAGATACCTCCCCGTCCCATAGCTTTCCCACCAAAACTGACTGCTCTCCTTCTAGATCCCAGACTGCAATCTGCTTTGCCGTTTTCTTGCACTCCCCCACTGGTCTCTGGAAGAACAACTTGAGCTGGCTTGGAATCGGCAGCCTTGCTAACTTTCCGTCTAAAGAACGAAAAGTATCCGCGCTGAGCAGCCTTGCTGGTCTCTGTCTCATCAACGCCACCATAGTGAGCCGTATCCTGAACCACAATCTCAATCTTTCCCTCGGCCAGCGCCTTGACATAGTCTCCTGGGAAATGGTCATTCATGAAGAAAGGCAGGACAATTCGCTCCAGGAGACGGAGCCAAGACTCCTGTCGCATCCTCATAATGACACGGACGTTCAGGATACCAGAAAGATGCATAAAGGAGATGCCTCGGACAGGGACCGGCATGAGTGTGACTGGGTCGGGTGGGTATAAAGTCAGATTGCGGGAGGAGTCGATAAAGACCAGTGTACCAGGAGGTGTCTCGTACGTGCCCCAGAATGGTACGCGCGGAAAGACATCATTGTTGTGGACATGGTGGAACATCTTGCAAGCCAACCGTTGTCCGAATGCGTGACTGAAGTCCTTGTCTCCCAGCCTTGGACAACCAAACCTATGGTATGCCACAAACGAAATATGAGTATGTCGTCCTACAATATGAAAACTTGTAACTACATTCGTCCGTTCCTGAACTTACGTGTAGAGGCCAGAAAAGATATCCAAGAGCGGCGAGTTACATTCGACCATCTTGGCCAAGAAGATGGTCGCGAGTGCTCCTCCCAGACTGTGACCGCAGATATAGAACCGAAGCTTTTTGCGCTTGTAGTCACCGTCCTGCTCGTTGCGGTACTGGTTGTTGTAAATGTCCAGAATAGAGTTGCCAATGTCTCTCCACGATTCCATCGATTGGAAGGGATCCTTGTTATCTGACGCTTGACCTGAAAGTCGTCTCCGGTGATGCGACTGACCAACGGTGTGGGCGTTCGTCAAGGAAAGTCGTCTTGTCGAGGCTCTGATAGATCCTTGACTTCCTGAAAGACTAGGTCTGCGCCTCCGCCCGGCGTCGCAACCATCAACATCCTGCAGATAGTCCAGCTCGTCCTGCGAGTAATGACCGCCCAGACTGTTGCTTCTGCTTATCCGCCTCGAACCTGACGAGTGTCCTCGGGGATGCGATCCCCTTGGCTTTTGCATCTTCTTGTATTCTCTCTCCGCATGCTCGAGCCTCAATCCGTCCACCCATCGGCAGGCCTGAGCAAATGCGCCCAGATCTCTGATCTCGCCTGCAAACCGATAGTCGACAGGGTCTGCAACGTGCGTAAAGAGTCCGACGACCAGGAACTTAATGAGGATATAGGCTGCGCGAATAGATGTAACGATGGTCTGGTAGACCGACTGGTTCGAAAGTTCCAGGTTGAGAGTGTTGGTCCGTGTGGCTTCCGAACGGAAAGATGAGGCTGGGCTGGTGGTTGAGTGATGCGCAGGCAAAGACTCGTCCAAATGCAAGGGGTAGCCGTGCTCGTCCAAATCTGTGTCGCTGTACCGACGGCGGCCCAGGCGACTCTCCTCTCGTTGTTGCTGTGCCAATTGCTCTGAAGGTAAAAGAAAGTCGTCTGCCTTCCCCAGTGCGTTGTACATGCCTTTGTGACATTTCCCCAGCGGCACGGGTGGATCCTGTAGTGTCTGAATAGGGACGAGGCGAGATTGCAGGTCGGTCCATGCGTTTTGGAGGTTGAGAGGGTCGGTTCCGCGGAAAACTAGAACAATGTTGCGTCCCTTTTGCACAATAAATCCGCAGGTGTTCTACAATTATTCATGCAAAAAAAAAGTGGACATCGTTTATGTTCAGTTGTTGGTTGTTGGGTAAGCTTATGCAAAGGACATGCATTGATCCATTTCATTACCCTGTATGCAATAGCACGGAACGAGTGCAGGTCGTATCCTGATCTTGCGAGCTCGTGTCGGATGATGGGTACATCCTCGTAGACGAGCTTTGCTACCATGGCGAGGGTAGTAGCAATGGGCTGGGAGTAACGTGGGCGATCGCCTCCTTGCTTGGCCTGGGAGGAGTCTGCTGAGGGGAGATGACCGTCGTCGTCGAACCCTTGTTCGCTGCCGTACCGAGCCTTGTCGATGTTGGCCATCTGGAGCACCTGGGCCCAGTCTGCGCTCGACATTGATGCGAGGTCGGAACCATCCTTTCCTGAAATCTTGTACTTGAAATCCATGTGCATGGACTTTGGTCGCTCCTTTGATTTCCTGCTGCCATTGTTGTTGGTATTGTTCCGTGGTCGGAGGGCGATTTTGCGCTCGTCATAGTCGTGATCGTTTTCAAAGTTGCGTCCGCCCTCCTCGATCCGCTTGACTTTTTCCTTGTCGAGAACTTTACCGAATTCTCCACATGGCTGAAAGTTAGTGTCACACGCATTGACGGTCGAATACTGCCCGGCACTTGGTTCGTGAAGGCCGACAAAGCCCTTGAGCAGCTTGCGGACGAGGACGTCGGAGAACATGAGGATGACGAACCAGGACCAGAAGATCAGCTTAATAGAGCCATTGACAACGTTGCTGAGCACAGGGATGTTCCTGAGGATGTTGACGAGAGGCGAGAGGGCGTAGGATATGCCATGGAGGACCTGGAGGATGATGGGTGTCGAAAACTTGAAGGTCTTCCAGGAGACAAAGGTGCAGGTCGAGAGGAGGAGACATATCACGAAGACGACGAAGGAGAGAATCGTTAGCCATCGACGGTCGCTGTGGATGCCATAGAAGGTGACGGCGAGGGGTATTGATGCGATGGCCAGACTGGTCAGCCAGAACAACCTGTTCTTTCCATTGGCCATCTGATCGGGAGAGGAGGGGAATGGGGAATTGTAGGGAGGGAGTGCCGACGGTGGAGAAGGAGGAGGAGGAGGAGGAGGAAGAGAGCGGTGATGACAGATGAACGAGGAAGAGGTGAAGGGGAAAGGGACGAGTCGGCTAGGGGTTTGGTTGTTGAATGAGAAGAAAAGAAAGAAAAAAGGAGTAGGATGGGTGGGGGTGTGAAACAAACACAGGGTATGGACTTTCAAAGAGGGCCTTGTTTTGGTCGTGTGTTCACTTTGAAAAAATATTTCGAGCGACAAGGTTGATAAGCTCGGACAGTCAATCATCCTCCTACTCCTCCTCCTCTTCCTTGTTGCCCCACAACTATTTTCTTTGCATACTCATTATTGATTACTGTAGAAAGACCATGCCCGGGTGACTTGACTCTATTACTTCTACAGCTACACCTTTGTTCCTTCTCCTTTCTTCTGCTACTACTTCGCCTACTTTGCCTTCTTGTTCTCTCGTTTGTTTGGTGAACCATTGTTGCTACCTCCATGCATCGTCATCATTAGCAACGGGGGGCAAGGGATCTGCCAAGGGATCTGCCAAGAACCACGCGCCGATTGATTGAAACATCAATCAATGTGCTCTGTTTCGCCACCAATTTTATTATCCCTCACAGATCAAACAGCGGTTGCCTGTGTTCTCTCTGTGGCATGTTCGTTGTGTTGTGCTCTGTATGTGTGTGTGCGTGCGTCTGCGTGTGCGCGTGAGAGCGCGTGTGTTTTGCAAAGAATAAGGGATGGGGAAGTAAACAAACAACAAGCATGTGCGCTGGTTGATGGTATTTTATTATTACATGGATGCTCCCTTTTGTCTGCAACATGACAAGAAACGCCAACACCCAAAAACAAGAAAAGTGTATTACGTGAAGGGATGTCCATACCGGGGTGCATGTCAGCCGCGCAAAGACATGAGAACAGACAGAAACGTTGGACCTGAGACCCAATTTGAGCACTTCACATGCTGGAGGATATAACATGGACTTGTGCTCTCATGGTCTGTCATTGGGCATTATGGAGACGTAAAACTCAAAATCAACAGCCAAAGCAACAGAAACGTGCAAGACTGAACTCGTTTTCCGTAGGATTATGACAGTACTACATTGGTAGAAAGAGCCCTCACGGATTTTTCATCTGTCACAGCAAGGCTGACAAACATAATTATCACTGTAATGGTTCAGATAGGATAGATGGGAACCATCCAAACCTAACGCGCGTCCCTCTTTGTCCTGGCTGTGCTTCTTTTTCCTATATTATTCGTCGTCTCCAGTGAAAATAGAAAGGCGTGCCATGACATGTCTTGCCGGGCCATGCCATCATAGCAACGCGTACCACGCCATACCAATGCCATGCGGCGGGATGTCAACACGGCCACGCTCTCCTCCTTGCCGGACCTCCTAGAGTAAAAGATGGTGAGTAGAACTTCTTGATCGATCTAGCATAGCAGCCATTGCTAGGCCACAATGCACTGTGGCCTGTGAAGTAACAATATAAACACCTGCGCTCGCCATGATGACAATATCCCTTCATTGCTTTTTTGTTTACTCTTGTTATTTACATTCCGAATGTCTGTAGTGGAAGAAATGTAGGAGAAGACTGAGAGGGACAAAAAGAGATAAAAAAAGAAAAAATGAAGGACCACATGAAGTAAAAGGCCGACATCATGAATTAGACAACCATCCGTTTTTTATTGTTTATTTTGAGTGTGTATTTTCCCATGAGAAAATGCGCCTCCTGGAGATTGGTATGGAAATGCTGCATGGTTCCCCGTCGCGACTTGTCGTCGCCACCTCCTTTTCTGCCTTTGTCTGTTCCCTCTTTATCTCGTACTTCTTCCTCCTCTTTGTACTTCTGTACATCCCCATCCCTTCGATTTTATGTTGATCCACACAAAGGCACTCTTACCATTCGACTCTCCTTGCCTGCCAGCTCCATCTGGCTTGAGCGTGGTCTGAAGTTTGATGTAGACATGAACCCTTTTCCTCAATTCATTCCTCTATTCACCCATCGAGTCAAACAAAAAAAAACCAAATATCGGGCGGCTCTTCTTCCGGCCTCTTTTCCTTTGACTCCTCGAAATCCAATCTCTACTGTGCCACAGCTTCGTGGCTCCACAATCCTTGGTATTTACCTTTTAGTCTCTCTCAATCCGCTCGATCATGTCCATCACGGAAAAACGGGGCTAATTCGAAGGAGACAGCAACCAGAGGAAAAAAGGGAAAAGGCCATCTGGTTGTATGTATTATCGTAATAAAGCAAAACGAGGCTCACATGCAGCTCTGATCGTCATGGCAATGGTATTGCTATTGTTGATGGTGCTATTTTCTTTCGTTTTTGCTGTTCTTTTTGTTTGTTTTGCTCGTTTCTAACTTGCGTTTTTGCTTTTCAATTCTTTTTTTCTCCTTCATTGTCTTTGTCATCCCCCAAGAGCCGTCGGACAGTACCTCCTCCTCATTCACTTCCTCCTTCTCCGCCCTCAATAGCAACGAAGACGAAACAGCTCCTTTTCCCAACACTCTTTTGCACCTATACTCGTTCTCTGTTTCCTTCATCCCAATCGGTGCGGGGCTCACGGTTCATCTCCCTTTCTGTTCTCTCCCTTTCTCTCTCTCTTCTCTCTTCTCTCTTATTCTCTCTCTCTCTCTCCTAGTACCTCCCTTCTCTTTCTCGTTCACCTTCACTCTCAGCCTTCGCCCTCATTCTCCCCCCAACAGTTTCGACTCTTTCACCGCTCTTTCCGCGACTCACCAACCCCTCTCTCTTCGTTACTCATCGACTCAGTTCAACCAACCTTCACCCCGTTACACCGTTAACAATCGCCGATCCTCACACCCCTCATCCTTTCTTCATTCTTTATATTTGTCTGTGCTTGTGTCCGTGCTGGATCAACATTCCCAACCTAACGCAACGGAAGTGTCATCTAGCTCAGTCACAGCCACCCCCTTTCAACCACCACCACTAGCTAATTCGCTATTCAATTCAGCTGGGCGCAGCAAAGAGTGAAGGACCGTTTCAAACGTGTCAATTTCAATCTAGAAACATGCCTAGCGATACCACGGTCAACCTCAGGACCTCTGCTGCTGCAGCTTTCTTTGCTAGGCTCCTTGTCCATCCCTGTAAGCCCTTCGTCCCCTCTCTCTACCTCGCTCATACCAACACCGCACAGCCGGAAACCAGAGGGCTCATCACGTTTTGGCCACGACACTTACATCTACCATTGGAAACTTTGATCTGGACTATTAGTGGACAATCTCAAGGTTTCGATCCAGTACTCGAAAGGTGTCCCTGAAGGCATTGTTCCACGACTGGAGCATCTTCTCTCCACCTGTAAGCGACAACTCAACACCCAGCACGAAAAGTCATGGCAGGGTCGTAGCATTGCTCTTGGGCGACGTTCAGGGGCTGCTTTTACCAAGGACAGGATTTCATTCTGCCGAGGCGTCTACCAAGGCGTTTCATTTGCACTTGCCTTTCAAGTCCCAGCACTTGCACTCTTCCTTTCGACATACGATGGCACCAAACATGCACTCGCTCACATCGCTGATTCCGAGAACATGTCGACTTTTCACATTCACCACTTTGAAACACACTTGGTCAGTGGCTTGATGGCCAAGATGGCTGGAACAACCTTGTGGGCACCCATGAACAAGATCCAGAGTATGGCAGCACATCCAGCCATACCATTGACGCTCAAAGAGGCGCTCCGAATTGGCAAGCAAGTGTGCCGATCGGAAGGACTTTCGGGACTTTGGTCAGGATACGGGACTACCCTGTCATCCCTGCTGCCTTACACGATGCTGTATTTTGCATCGTACGAGCAGTTCAAGCAAATGGCTCGTTGGATGGTCGTCGAAAAGGCCAAATATCAGGGCGGGACCTGGAGCTACCTGGATGGATTTCAGGAGTACTGGTCTGTGCTCGGACAGCCAGGTCGCGTGCCTGTCCAAGCGGATCTGTCTCCAGAGACTTTCATGATGTGCATCACAGGGGCAGTCATCCTTTCGTCTTCTATCTGTCAAACTGCCACTGCAATCCGCACTTTGACATGGGATCGACCATCAGTCGCAGCTTCGGAGATCGAGAAGGTCTCGTCTCTGCGAAGACCACACTCGCTGCCCAACTTGCTCCAGCCTTTCCAGATCCAGCCATCGTCTCTGCCCTTGTCGCCTCTGTCGCCTCTATCGCCTCTGTCGCCCCATTCACCCTCAGGGTTCATGCCGCCATCTGGATTGTCCGCGGCAGGAGCCGCTGGATTCAAATACCACCCAGTAGTACCATCCCAGTTCAAAACATTGATGTCGAGCACTACCACAGCCCCCAGCCAGGCGCTTGCGGGGCTTCCCTGGCAGCAGAGCCAGCACGCTACCTTGACTACCGCCAGTCTTCGCCACTTCAGGAGCTCAATCACTCACCAGCACAACTTATCAAGCATGCCCATGAAGGGACATGTTCATCCAATCTCGGCCCTTTCATTCATGCCTGCCTCTTCCTTTGCCGTTCCCTCCCCTACTTACACCACCCCTATCAGCAATAACAGCAACAGAGGAGGACCCTCAGCCTCCTACAAACCCAGCCATATGATGACCATGATGACAGCACCCTTGCAGCAGGCCAACCTCAACATGCCTGGGTTTAATGATAATGAATCGACAAGAAAAATCAGCAACACGACTTCCGCCGTGGCGCCTCGCACAAACAGCAGCAGCAGCAGCATCAGCAACGGTACTACGCCAGGACTCCTTCGAACAATCACTCGAGGGTTGGGTCCCCGTATCATGTGGACTATCCCGGGAGTGACTTTGACGACCGCTGGGTTTGAAGTCCTCCGCATCCTCGCCTCGTAAATCAAGCTCAATGGTTTACTTTTGTTTTTTGTTTCCATATCCCATGGACTTTTTTTGTTGCTGCTGCTTGCTTTTCGCTTTTGCATTTTTTTCTAGTCTTAATGTCCCCCTCCTTTTATATGCTTATGTATCTTATGAGCCCATACGACCCCCTCCCCCCTCTAATCCACCCTCATGCACCTTTTAACGACCTTTCTATTCTACATAATACCCTTGCACGCGTTAAATAAACTCTTGCCATTCATTGGAGTACAGCCCAAACAGTCACAGGCACTGCTGAGCCGCCCAACTGCATTGAAGAATGACCTCCAACCAACCTCCACGCAGAGTAGACTTTCAACACATTCAAGAGCTCCAGCAAAAGAACCATCGGCACATCAGGACACCTTCAAGAAGAAACTCTGGAACTGGCCATGGCGACATTTGCAACCTGTCCTGACCTGCATCGACACCCTTCGACACACCTCGCAGGGTTGGCTGCCATCTCTTTCTGTGCAAAGGACAATGTCGATGACGAACTACATGGCGTCCCGCCGGCGACTTCTTATATCTTTGGTCAAAGCCAGTTTCTGAAGGTATGCACGACCTCAGGAACGAACGAGGAGTCTGTGATTCGAAGATATGAGATGCTCAGCGCAAAGGGAGGGAGAGGGGTGGGGGTATTAACGCGAATACGACCAAACTAACCTCTACTTCGCCAAATACTTGCTGTCACGCGTGTAGAGTCTTTCTCACCCAAATCTGTGCGAGTACCTGGATGTCATCAAAGGGAAACGAGGTATGGTGCTAAGACTTGATGTGAATATGTCCTTGTCATAAATGTACATTCGGGGTCCTGACAAATTGTCCTTCTAATCACTCGACTAGACCGATTGTTCGTCATTCAGGAACACTACAATAACTCGCTGGGACTCATTCGAAGCACACAGGAGAGCGACGAAAAGGAAGGTGCACTCAAAGGGTAAATGTTTCCTTACCTCGTGCCTGGATGCATGAAGTCAACCTTTCTGCCGCCCAAAGAACGCGTACTCATACATGACCATATCATCTTGACAATCGCAAACAGACAAGGCCTATCACAGATTCGGTCATGGGCAGCGCAGATTCTGGACGGACTCGTGTACCTCAACACCCACGGAATAGCACATCGGACCCTCACCCTGTCTAACGTCCTGCTGAACGAAAGCGGAACCATCAAACTCTCCAACCATGGACTCTACAACATGACCAAGGGAGGCTCGCTTGTCCAATTCTCGATCGGGGATCCTCATTATCTCTCGCCAAATACCCTCGGACAAAATTATACCTCTGGCCTACAGGATTACTCGGTAGGGTGCATTGTTATAACATGTTCGTCATATATCTTGCTGTGAAGAGGATGAGACGACCCAAGGTTGTTACCCTTACTCACATGGCTTTATTACTACAATGTTATTAGGCTGATGTTTGGTCTGTCGGTGTGGTATTGACAGAGATGTTTCTAGGAGAGTCGTTCTGGCGCAAGGATCGTCTTGACTTGGACGAGTTAATCAGCTCTCTCTTCGCAATTCGGCGGCTGTCGACAAAGTCTAGATCCTGGATCCTGGATTGTCCCGAGAGCATAGGCGTCAACCCTGTGGTCCTATCGTTCCTCCAGTCTGGAAGTCTAGCGCATCAGGAGGGAGCAAGCTTTAAGGAAGAAGAGAGCGAACTCCAGAACTTTGCGACTTTTCTACGGGAATGCCTCAGTCTCGGAGAGTCCAACAGCCGGGAAGCGGGGCAGATGAGACGCCACGACTTTTTCAAGTCATACGACTTGGCGCATGGAATTTCAGAGCCACTCTCAGAGCCAGCGCTCAAGCTATGGCACGAGAAACCCTACATCCAATCCTCTTTCCTCCCCGACTATGAAGGCGAAGTGGAGCGGCTACGCAAGGTCATATCAGAGGGCAAGGATCTGGCGGATGACCTTGAAGCGGACGGACAGGTACCCAACCCCTGCGGTATATTGTCCAAGCTCCCACTTTCCCAAGTCTTCTACCTCTGGAAACTGGCTGGAGGAGACGTCGAGGCGCAGTTCAGGAGGAATGGCCGATTGGTCGGAACTCCAGCTATCCAGTTACTACCCAAGGTGGTCCAGATCGCGGAATCAAGTGCTGGAGGCAGTCGGGAAGAGCGCAGTTCTGTCAGAGATATTGCTGACTTGTTCTCGGATATGACGTGCGTCTTGCCTTTGGAGAATCTGGAGGCAGAGATTCTAAAGTCGATTCATGAGCCCAACAAAGACCAGTTCTCGTGGGACACGGATTATTTCCTCTTTTCAGATCCAGACGAAATGAACTTTTTGCAGGGCACCATGGGAGAGAACATGAGCAAGGGCAAGGGTGCAGGAAGCAGCAGCAGCAACAGCGGTGAAGACGGATTTCTCTATCCAGATTCAATGCGGTTCACACCCGGAACGCCCAACGGAGCTGCATCGAAGCTCTCGTCTGGCCTGGCGACAGGATTTCAACCATTGGCTCAGCAGCCTACCAAGACGCGCGTGAAGGTTCCATTATCGATTCGGGAGAAGGACCTCGGCTATCAGTACCAGCGGCTGGCGATGTTCACGGACCTGTTGCTGCAGTACCCTGCCTCGCGAGCAGAGATCTTGCATCATTCAAAGATCGACATCCCACCGCTGCTCCGCGGCAAAGTCTGGGCTGCTATTTTGGGCGTTGTGGGAGATTATCAGCAAGTCTACAGCGACTTTGACAAGTACACAGAGAAGTCGACTGACCATCAGATCGAACTCGGTAAGGACGCTTACATGCGCAAATATACATTATGGAGATGACGAGATTTTGAAGTCAATATTAACGTTCGTTTTATTGTAATGTCACAGATGTACCAAGGTGTCATCAATACAACCAGCTCATGTTTTCTCCGTCAGGACACGAAAAGATGAAGCGTCTGCTTAAGTGCTGGGTCGAGGCAAACGAGCATCTTGTCTATTGGCAAGGTAATAGTGCATTCTCATATCCAACTGTTTCATGAGCCCTAGCAGTCCATTAATTAATGCGCTATTTATTTCTCGTTATATAACGTCCCAGGGTTGGACTCCTGCTGTGCTCCATTCTTGACGCTCAATTTCAACAATGAGGCGCTGGCGTTCTCTTGCATCCAAAAGTTCCTGCCAAAGTACCTGAAGGACATGTTCTTGCATGACAACTCCAAGGTGATCCATGAATACTTGGCAGTGTTCCGGCACTTGTTGTCGTATCATGACCCGGAGCTTTCAAGTCATTTGGACCACATTCGGTTTATTCCACAGCTTTATGCCATCTCCTGGTTCATGACCCTCTTCACTCGTAAGTTTTCTCGTTCGTTTTTTGTGGTGTCGATGGATTATCTTTTGTTTTTGCTACGCATTTTTTTGTTTTTGCTGACGCGCTCTGTTACTGTGGTTATTAGACATTTTTCCGCTGGACAAGATATACCATCTTTGGGACAAGATCTTGGTCGGCCCATCGTCATTACCGTTGTTTGTCGGTATTGCGATCTTGCAACAGTTTCGCCAGGAGTTACTTCGGTCCGAGTTCAACGAGGCGATCGGAATCTTTTCGGAATCCTTCCCGGAGATGGATATTGAAAAGTGTATCGAGACCGCATTGGCGATGTGTAGAGTCACCCCACCTTCGACCTGCTGGCTTTCATACGATCAAGAATCGAGAAAGATGAGGCGGCAGTTGTCATCTGGAGGCGAGGGTGGAGCAGGAGCTACAGTTGGAGCGGCGAATGGCGAGACGATGCCTTTTAGTCAAAATGGATCCCTCGTTCATGGAGAAGCCCCCAGTTCTACCAACGCTACCAGCAACAAGACAACAGATCAACAGCAGCCTCAACAAGAGTCCAGCAGGAGATCAAGGGATCTGGAGTTAGAGAAACGGCTTTCAGGAGGACTGGGTCTTGGACAAGGCCCTCATGGTGGTGTCAACTGGTGGGAGGAGCCGCTCTCGATCGAGACCATGAATGAAGAGCTGGCACCCCGAATCCACCGCTCTGATTTCGTCCGCTTGCGACAGCAGGCCTTGGTCATTGATATTCGACCCGAGTCCGAGTAAGTGTCTCTTGTGTACGATGATGAGGGTTTCCTGTGCTGCAGGCGATATGATGGCAATGACGGAACAAGCTTATGTATTGACATTTTTTTGGCCTGTTCCGTAAACCCTGGGATGTCTCTAGGTTCCGTAATGGACATTACCCATTGTCGATTCATATGGTCGACGGTCAACTCGAGCTGTTGGTCCACATCTTGAAGAAGCTGAAGAAGAACTATCTCGTCGTGATTGCCGGTCGAGGCGAGTCTGGATCCGAGGTAAGAATAACGCGAGGTTTACGTCAATCCTGAAACATGTTAATAGCTTGTACCTTGTACATGTACAGTAACATCTTTAGTACCCCCCTCCCCCACCTAACTTATTTTTTTTCATCATGAATCATCGTGCATAGTTTGCGTCATCTTTGGTCAGGGAGGGCTTTTCGAGAGTAGCGCTCTTGGTGGGAGGCATTGACGCCCTACGGAACGCAGAGTCATCACCATCATCGGCTGCTTCCTCAGCCGTTGCTTCTGGTGGTGCTGCACCTTTGTCGCCCTCATTGGCAGCCACTACTACTACTAGCGCCTCAAGCGCAACGATTCCTGCGATCTGTTCTTGTAGAGCGATCAGGCAGGTGATTTCGGTGCACAGCAAGGTCAAGGAAGAGGTTGTTGTTCATAAGTGCAAGACGCCCTTTGCTCCACGGTCGACTGTTCGACGACAGGCTATCGTCCGATCTACCGCTGCTTCGCAGAATTAGAAGCTGGTTTGCCCCACTCGTGAATAAAAACAAGTATATGAATAGATTCTTTTATTTGCGATAGTGTGTAATGTACAAGTTGATGGGGGAGGGGGAATAGAGGGTAATGTCGTTGTGGGGGGGGTGATAAATATGCCTATCTTGTCTTATCTACATGGATGTTGAAAGAAATGCTGGTGGAAAAAATGACAAGAAACGATAAAGGAGGTGTAAGATAGTATAACCATGTTTTACATGGTAGTGGTGGGACCGGCAGGGCCGATCGGGGAGGAGACGGGGACGGTCTGAATCTGAGCAAGCTCCTTCTGGGCGACAAATCTGGACCGGAGCTCTTCCCACAACAAGTTGCGCTCAACAGTAACACCACCCAACACTGAGGCGTTTTCTTGTGCGCGGCTAAAAAGGTTGTCAGTGAAATGAGAAGTGAGGGGGTGTGAGAGTGGGTTCTTGTGGGATTCAAAGAGTTCCTGAATACACCGAAAGCATAGCAAAAAGGGAGGGAGAGAGAGAGAGAGAGAGAGAGAGAGAGAGAGAGAGAGAGGAAAAACTTACCGAATCAAGTACGGGATGACGTGGTGGATGGGTCCGTAGGGGACATACTTGAAGATGCCGTAGCCGTGCTGGCCAAGGGTGTACGAGATCTGATCGCACATGCCCATGAGCTGACCAAACATGACCAGTCCAGACTGCGGTTCCAAGTCGAGTTCTTGCATACGCTCACAGGTACGGATGACAGAGTCCTTGTTATGCGAGGCGACAAAAAGAGCCACGGGCGAGGTCTTCAACGACAACGAGGATGCATCCTCATCGGAACCTGAGGCCTTGTTCTCGATCAACTTTTGCTTCTGGTGGGTCATGGCGCCTAACATAAAGTCGACTCCAGCGTTGTAGGAGGTATGGGTAGCCTCGATTCCATCACAGATAGGATCGTTCAATCCAAACTCCTGAGCCCTCCTGCGCTCGCTGACCATGTAAGCGCCACGGACCAACTTGGCAGCCAAAACGTATCCGTTACGCTGGGCACGGACATAATCCTGCTGAAGACGGCCCAGGGCGTCCTTGAGGTACATCTGGTAGGTGTTGAAGATGAGGGGTCCCTCGACCTGGTGCTTGTTGTAGTTCTCCATGAGGTGAATAGCGACGCTGTCGATGGCGAGCTGGAAGTAGGACTGTTCAGCGTCGATCATGAGACGGGTCTGGGTCTTGGATGCCTGGTCGCAAAGTTTCTCCATGCGGACGAGGACACGCTTGTAATCATCCAGATCCTCCTTCTCCAAACCGGGAACCTCGACAGCACCTTCGGTGGCGCCCAAGAACAAGGCGCGGGTCTCATCCCTGTTCAAAGAGATGGTCGAAGCGAAGTCCACCCAGCCAACCTGTCCGTCCTGGTCCCTGTCAGCCTCCTCGAAGAGCTGGTCAACAACAGCATCCAGCGACTGATCCTTGTTCAAAGTAGGGCTGGGCAGCATCTCGATCAACTGTCTAAACTCCTCCTTGGTAACCTTGCCATCCTTATCCTGATCCATATGCTTGAACTGACACTCAAGAGCATTCAAAGTCGACGAGACCTTCTGCAACAGAAGTGGGGAACTCATGGCAGTGATCTTGATGGCCGCAAAGGACTTGGACATCTTGGAGGCGGTATCGATACAGTTGCTGATCTGGTCCGCAATATGGTCGGCGCTCTTGTTGAACTGGGAGCGGATCTCTGCGGGTGTTTGGTTCTTCAGGTCCAGCCCGTCCAGGTCGGCCTCGATCGAGAGATCCAGAATAGAGTTGATGCCTGCGCTGCGAAGGGCGGTCATAGTTCCGATGCAATCCTCTGCCGACTCTCCTCTATTATCATGTGTAGAAAAGGTGGAATAACATATGGTTCAGCATGTGTGTATGTGTATATGTTTCCTATCTAACCATCTGATTGTGTGTATGACCTGTCATCCGCCTTGTCTCCCCTCGCTCTTGAGCCCAGGTGGGTTGTGCACAGCCTTATTTTTTGTTAGAATGAAAACGAAGCAGTGTTTTCAATCCAAGTAGCAGTATGAATAATCCCTGCATCATTTAGTGTATGCATGTCTGTCAATAATCCCTATGGATGTGTGTGAGTGAGCCCTCGAGACTAAAACTCCAGGCAGGGTCGTGTGTGTCAGTACTCAGTAGTAGTAAACCCTGAGTATGGTTTGCTTCCCCACGCACTAAGCACCCCTGTTGTTGTGTGCTGTTGTGCATGGCATCGTCGGGTGTTGAAAATGAGGGGCTGTTTGGCTGTTTAGCGTCAAACCCAAAAAGACAGTTGGAAATGGTGCCTATATTTGGTGCTAGTCGCCGTTCGTTGGAGTCGGGTCGCGAGAGGGTGGCGGCTGATTCATTCCCGTGTGGTGAACATTCCAATGGAAACGAGGGGGAGTCATTCAACCTCAGTGCCGTCCAAGAATAAAAAACAAACAAAACGGCCTTTTCTCCTTTCCTTCTCGTTGACTCCCACCGGTCCGTATATGGTTGTGTGTAAGAATATATGGTGTATGGAGCATAGTAATGTTACACCTCATGATATTGTCCCTCTCGTTCTATTTTTTCACTCTCTCCTTCATTTCTTCCGCCCTGCCAATTCATCCCTCGTTCTACTCTCCCTTCCTTTCCTCTTGCCAATTTGACATATCATCATGACGCCAACAGCAGAAAAAGAAAGACTTACCCACAGAACTGGGCAAAGAAGGTCTTGCGGACGAACCAGTAGACGGGAGGTGTAAGATGAACCATCTCGGCCAGCGAGATCAAATGAGGGGCCAGGTCAACCAAAAGGCTAAACGTGCACATCTTGTACACCAACATCGACAACATCAACTCTGGGGTCGACTTCTTCTCAACGCCAATACGGCTATGCTCGTCCTTGAGGCCGTCAACAACGTTGTTACCATTGGGGGATGTTCCGGCGGCAGCGGCGTCGCGGATGGCAGCCTCCATTTGAGGGGACTTTGCGATCTGGTTCAGGAGGGTGGCAGAGGTAGCCAAGGCGATAGTGCCTCCGATGGCAACCTTTTTCCAGAGGGGGGTTTTGGAGACAGGAATGGCTGCGGCGATGACTTTGGGAGGAGGAGAGGAGTGGAAGGGGGAAGTTGAATGGTGGCGGCGAGTAAGGTTGGACGGCCTAGCGTGGGAGAGTAAACTGGGCTTGGCCGAGAAAGGGGGGCTGCAACGCATGGGCGAGACGAACCGCAAGGGGGACTGGCGGGCCAAGGTGGACGCAAGGACGCGGGAAGTCATTGCGCTTATGTGTTCTTGTAGTAGGAGAAGTTCTTGAAAGAGGGAGGGAGGATTGAAGTGTGGTTGAGAGAGGGAGAAAGGCGAAGAAAGGGGATGGGGAGGGTTGCTGGTGCTTGTAGGTGGAGGTGGGAGTGTGAGTGAAAAAAGAGGTTTTGTTGAGTAGGAAGAAGAGAAAATCTGGCCGAGGGCAATGGTGGGGAAGGCGGCTTAAATAGGGGGAAAAAATCTTTTTTGGACCAATGGCATTACCGCCCTTGCGGGGTGTCCTGAAAGAGGAAAGAAACGAGATTATCAGGTTATGTATGAAGGAGTACGGTGAGAAACAAGATGGCTACAAGATGTTTGTGAAGACTGTGAAGGAAAGCAATGGGCAATATTTAAACTTGTTTTGATTCGTTCGTTTGTGTTTGCCCTTCCGTCCTGGCAGTGGCATCCTTACAAGACATGGACAAAGATATTTTCTTTGGGGAACAAGGGGCGAAGAAGAAGGCGCAGAGAGAATAAAAAAGAGAAACGATGCTTAAGGCGTCGAAATCTTGTTTATGTTTATTGTTTTTTGTGGGGAAGAAAGGGCGAGCGAGCCAGAACAAAAAAAAAATACCAAGCAAGTGCATTCCCTCCTTTGCCGCATGACCCTGGCGCTTGACCCTGACAGAAAACAAAAAGTGCGCGAGTAAGAGAAGATCAGAGAAACGCGGAGAGCTAAAATAAAAAAGCGAACCCTTCTTCGTTATTCCTCCTGATCGAGGAACAACAACAGGCATACGCCCAAAAAATGGCTAGTGACAGGATGATAACGATGATTTAAGAACTGACAGAAGAACCCTGTCAGGAATGATCTTCTGTGTCCTTCATCTTTCGTGTTTGTCTTCTCGCCTGTTTGTGTGTGCCATTGAAATCTGGCGGGTTTTTTGGGAACACGGGAGGCGACAACAAATCAAACATTAAAAGAGGGGAGCATGAAACGCGCCACACTGTGCATTCAGTGCGACCATGACCATGCTATCGATGTCAACATCCGCAACCTTGTTGCCTTCCCTCTTCGCGACATGTGTTCAGTTGAGCAAAATCGAAGCTTCCCACTGGGCAAAAATGAACACTGCCCATTGGGTTTTCAGGGGGACATCGCAGCAAGCAAGGCATGAATGAGGGATTGAGTGTCGAATTACACCATGGCTGAAAAAGATGGGTCGTGAGAAAACTAAACAAAATAAAAAAAAAAAAGAGAAAAAAGAGAGAGAGAGCCTGCCGTCTCGCCTCCTGCCCTTTCATTTTTCCATTCTTCCACTCTTTCAACCTCTCCTGAATCCCCTCCCTAGTCCCTACATTTCAATTTGAAGCCCTGCTTCTCGGATCAACCCAGTTTTGACTTGACCCACCGTCGAGTCATATATTTTCTGGCTATTATTTTTGTACTCCCGATCACAGTACCGGCAACAAGAGCCAACCAGCCAGCCAGTGAGCCAGTGACCTGGAAGCCAAGCCAGCCTTTGCACGGGATTTGTTTGTTCTGCGGGTGGATCCCATAAACGGCCAAATGGTTCGAGTCGGGGTTCACATTTTGGCGACAAAAAGAAAAAAAAGGGAGAGACATGAATACTGCACAAGAAACGGCATTAACAAGCAAAAGGGCGTGCCTGAAAACTATCAATTGCTCGGCCGCCGCCCGACTGGGTGTCTCATCCCTTTCTATTCTGATCTCCGTCGCCTTTCCTCGCTTTTAATTGACCCATTACTCTCCGAAGATCGACCTCTGGATGGACTACCTGAAAACCCGGAAAGCAGCCAACTATGAATGGCAATGGCCTTGTTGAAAAAGAGGAGAACCGTTTGTGTTTGCAAGTTTGTTGTTACAGTCAAACCTGTGTTTGCATCCTCCCAAAATGCATAACCTCTCAATTTTTTTTTCGGACCCAACCTTCAGAGTTGCAGGCGAATCTTCGTGATCTCCACTGTCAAATCGGACAACCTCTCCAAATGCATAGCAATATCGTCGGCCTGGGGTCATGCATTTAGACACATCTGTTTGCTTACTTTTGAGCAAAACGTGTTTAGCTTGTAATCCAATCCACTACCACAAAAATGCCCCAGATAAAAAAAAAACCATCAGATCAAAACAAACACGCCTTACAGGCATACAAAAGAACAGCCAACCAACCAACCACACCCTTCTCATTTCTCAGGCAGGAGGACACGGTGAGGAAAAAAATACAACAACCACAACTACAACAACAACAAATAAACAAACGAACGTGAGCAACTTACTTGATATTCGTTTCTAAATCCGGAGCAGTTTTCTTTTCGTCCATGGACCAACTAAACGAGGGCAAGAGCCGTGCATCTTTTTTTTTTTTTGTCTTTCATCTATTTATTTCTCCTCTTTCCGATGAGATTTGATTGTGGAACGACTCAGAACTCAACTCAACTCAACTCAGAAAAAAATCACGACAAAAACCCTCTTAGTCAGAACACCCTGACCCTCTTGTACATCCTCACAAATAAATAAACATGGTTGCCCACGGAAAAGTAGGAAGCTCTTTCACCTTGCCGAGCTTGTCGTCTTTAGTACCAGTGACCGACTCACCTTCGCCACTCGAATAAATCCCTCCAATGTTTCGAATATGAACACAAAGTGGGGGGTGGTGGGAGGTGGAGCATGTCTCTCACTGTGTTCCCCATTTCCACTTCCACGGATCACAAGGCAAGGCAGCTGTGCATGTTGGAGAAAGGGAGAAAGTTGGGGCGGAAGAACTCGAAAACATAGAGCGGAGTAAAGAAAGGTAGAGAGATAGAGCTTCTTTGGCTGGCTGCCTGCCCTGCGTGTCTACCTGTGCTGCATTTGCACCATGCCCTCCTTCCCCTTGACTCACGAAGTAGCCTATCCAATCCGGCCCTCACTCCCCACAACGGCGACAGGGGCAATAGGGAGGGATCACTCTCCGCTTCAACCTTGTTAACTATTTAGATAAATGGCTGACAACCCAAGGTTAAAAGTAACCAAGAAACGTCTACCCTTCCTTCCCTCATCCCAGGCCAAAATCACAAAAAGCGCGACATGTCGACAAATGGCTAACTTTTCTTACCTAGACACTCTTCATAGGTTATATCGTGCTTGAACAAACAAGTGGGCATCGGAGAGATAGATGAAATAGAAGGGAGAGAGACTTTTTATGAAGCAATCTATGTGCTATGGTTATCGACCTCCAAAGGGTCCCATCATTGTGTTACCAACTCCACCTCCTCCCATGGACACTATACATATCAGCAAAGAGAGAAAAACATTAGCAAGTATACTCTCATAACATAACGCCAATTGACCAAAGCGAACACTGCATCATACAAAGACAACATAGACGAAAGCACTTACAGAAGCTGGTGTCCATGAGTTTTTGAATAACCTCCTTCTTGGCTGCCTCGTCCGGCTTCTTCTTGTCTCCCATATCAGATCCAGATCCGCTTTTACCACTCTTGACACTGCCCGTATCCGAATGGACTCCAGTGATGGGAGCTACGCCCATACTGGCAAAGGCTGGGATTCCTCTCTTTGTACTCGTACTGGAGCCAGACCGTGTGCTTGCGCCAGAGCTTGCCGCATTCGACGACTTGTTCTTGGATCCAGGGAAGGAGAAGAACGATGACTTTGTGGTCGTTGGAGGCGTTGACGGCACTGCTGCCGCTGGAGGAGGAGGCGACACCGGTGGTGGTGTCAGAGGCTCCGTATTCCAGTGTTGAGGAGGCATCGTACCAATGACCGAACCTCGATTCCTGAGCATAGGGTGAGGCAAAGCCGTCGAGCCCTGCATCGAAAGGCGGCTGTAATCGGGTGAGGGGGGTCCAGTGGTTGAAGTGGGTGAAAGTGGTGGGGGTGGGTTGGGTTGGAACAGTCCGTGGATGTTGTGCTGTTGTGACATATATGGAATATGTCCGTTGACGCTACTGCTGCTGTAAGGGCTGTAGTGGGATTGATCCTCGCCTCCTGTTCCTCCATTCGGGTGATAGGGCTCAGATGAGCTCCAGGCATTGTTGGCAGAGACACTCTGGCTAATCGCCTGTTGTTGCTGGAGTTTGAGTTGTTGTTGCTGTAGCATCTTCTTGGCCGCAATCATGACCTTAAGAGACCGGATTTGAAGTCCAATCTGCTGTGAAAGTGCTGCTGTTTCGTAAACCATGGCCGCCGTCGACATGTTGAGCATCTGGTGAAGCGCATGTGTCGCCAAGTCCCTGAGACGGTCCAGTCCATACATATCTGCGAGAAGCAGGAGCTGCGACAGGACTTGCGCGTGGTGCTGTTGTGCCGTGACCAAGTGATCCGTGTAAAGGTACTGCAGGAACGCCAAAACAACAGTGTACGGCTCTGGGAGGGAGAGCGTCTTTTTGGTTGAAAGAGTTGGGTCGTGTTCGGTGTTATCGGTTTTGCATTGTGCTGCCTCCTTTTCCTCCTGTTCTCGCATCAGTGCTCCAAAATAGGGCCAGCGAGCCGAGAGGATGGCCGAGTTGACGGGGATCCTCTGCTCGTCCTGAGTTAAGATCTCAAAGTCGGCCATCGAAGGATCGTTCAGCAGGCTGAGACCGAGCTCCTGAGCTGTCTGGGTCATGGTGGTAGGAGGGTGTTGATAGATGCCAAAGGCCTCTAGATCGACGATCGAGACATGCTCAAAGTTGGTCTGACGGTTCTGGTAGTCATCCGCGAGACTACGTGACTTGTTACCAAAGACTAGGTAGGCGTTCGAGTTCTCCAACAACAGACCTCGGTTCCAAGATCCAGTGCTGAAGACAGTGCCCGTGTCAATGCGAGTCCAGGCCAAACTGGAGAGGTTCAGAGACCAAATGCTGAACGACTGGTGAGCGTTGGTGAGATAGGTTCCGGACAGGAGGAGATGCTGTCCAGCAATGGCTCCTGTGGGGAATCGCAGGCCAGGAGGAAGGACATTGCCCGTCATTGAGTGAGAGTGGTCCTGAGTGACAAAGCCAGGAGGAGTCAAGACCTGGAGCTCACGCTTGACATCGGTAAAGTTGAAGTTGGAGTAAATATATACAGGGTTCTCCTCCTGCTGGACAGGGGGACCGGACGTCATCGACTGGGACAGTCGGTAGACAGATGTACGCTGGTCGTTTGTAGGAGGCGAGGCTGCCAAGCCTCCAGATCCGATCGACAAACGCGACATGTGGGAACCCTTTTTGGAGAGGGCAAGGTTGGATGAGCTGCGGCGGAGCGACGGAGTGTAGTGGAGGGAGGTGTTGGAGGGGGTCTTGCGCAGGTACGACGTTGGGAATCCATCCGAAGTGACCGACGTGGGCGAAAGGGTAGGCGACAGCGATTCAGCCTCGCTTCCGATGAGGGGCATGAACGAGCCCTTGCCACTGCCGCTGACGGCAATGGAACGATAAGAACCGCAGTGCTTCTCAAAGGGCATTGAGGCGACCCATTGGAGGCAGTCGAGGTCGAGGACACTCACTTCCTCGATGTACTGGTTGTTGATGTCCTGACCTCCAATAATGACCAACTTATTGCCGGAGACACTGCTGAGATGCGCATAACGGGGCTTTGGTGCGTGTGGTGAGGATGGGATACGGACTTGGCGCCACTGAAGAAGCTCGAGGTCCAAGACGTTGATATCGTCAAAAACGACGAGGTCCTGGGGCTGACCCTCTGCAGATCCTGAGGATGAAGGGCCCATACCACCAAAGATGACGATGGTGTTCTTGTAGGCATTGGCCGAGTGGAAATAGCGCTCGGTTGGAGGGGTACCCATCTCGTTCTCATCCTCTGCTCCGGGGTCACCAATGGCTCGTTTTGGGGTGACGTTGACGATCTCCGAGACGTTCTGCCAATGAAAGTCACTGAGGTTGAGGACAAAAAGCGAGTTTGTCATTTGCCTGTTCTGGATGAGTCTGCCGCCAAAGAGGAAGAGTTTGTCGTCGACGATGGTCATTGTTGCGCCGACCAAGGGCGGGGGGATGTCGCCGGTGGTGATACGCGAGGTTGTGGTCAAGTCCGAGATGGACTGGAGGCCGGGAGTCGGAGCTGGCATCCTGAAATTGAGTGCGCCTACTCTTGTGCAGTTTTAATTTTTTTTGATTGTTGTGTTGTTGCCGTACTGGTTCCTGATGAAAACGATGCAGCAATGATTGTCGGCTGATGTCACACCCTGCCGAAATAAATATCTTGAGGAAGGAGGGAGTGGCAGATCTAAAGAGTTGACAAACAAAGAAGTGAGCGAAGGGGGCATAAGGTGAAGAAGAAGCAAGGAAAATTAATTCGCTCATTAGTCATTTGTTGAACCGATGGGTGTCCGAAAGACGAAGACACAAACAACCTTTGGCAGGTGTGAAAAATGAAGTAACCTTGAGCCCCGCTCGCACAAACACAAACACACACTCATGAACCCTACTTCATCATGCAATTGGACAATTGGCAATTGCAACCCACAGATACACTTAAAAATTACAGAGACAGACAAGAAAAAAACAATAATAATCCCAACCCAGCCCGCCCTTGCTTTCAGCTTCAGCTCCAGCTTCAACTTCAGCTCAGCACTAAGAACGAACGAGCAGCAGTACTGTAAATAGCCCGCGCTCGCTGGTAAGGTAAGTCTGCAGTGGATTATGAGTCTCCACTCCCTCCCCCCTAATAAGAGTAATAACCCGCTGCTGCTCGTTGATGTGTAATATTTGTAAGAGAGCTCAAGAGAGAGATGGAAGGTGTAAATAAAGGAGAGAGAGAGAGCGCGCGCAGATGATATATATGATGTGGTGAAAATGAATGAGGTGGTTGTACTAGCTGCAAGGGGGTGATAGACAAGAAAGACAGGACGGAAAGTAAAGATGGCCACAAGGCCATGGTGTAGCAAAGGAGAAAAGCGTCCAAGCCGAGTCGAGCTTAGAAGGAAACAAGGGTTGGATTAATAGATGGAAAGAAAGATAAAGTCCAAAAGGAAGCAAAGAAGCAGTAACCTTGTCGAGTTAGAAGTAAGTCAAGGGTGTATTTGGGCGGAAGTTCACGGGTAACTCAAAGCAAGGCAGGCGTGTATTCAAGGACAACGTCGAAGATGGGGATTGTATGAAAGGGGTGCGCAAAGAAATTGACGGAAGGAGGAGTGTAGAGAGTATCACACCTTCCCTGAGGCAGAAGAAGAAGAGTGCAAGTCCAAGTGAAGTGTATTTACAGTTAAGGTCGCCCTTTGGGTATATGGAGTGTAATGTGTAGGGGTGTGATGGCGTGTAGATGAGAGAGAAGGAGGAAGTGGATGTATAAAGGAAGAAAGAGAGTGGAGGGGGATGAGTAAGAGAGGAAGAGGAGGAGAAGGTAGGTGGAGGAGAGAGGATGGAGGGGGTGAAAGAGAAGGGAGGAGACGGACGAGGGTAAAGAGGAGAAGAGGAAGAAGAGAGACGAGGCGGGGAAGGCAGCAAGAGTGAACAGGCGAGGCGGGTGTGTTGAGAGGCACAAGGAAAAAATATTTCGTGGCCAAATGTTCATCCCTCTGACGATCATCGATTTATCCACTTTGACAAAGGGCAAAGGAGAAGGAAAAGGGAGAGGCGTGCTAGGGTCTTAGGCCCTACATGCACATGCATACATCTTTTTTGTGTTGTGGCTCTCTTTTGTTGTTATTGTTATTGTTGTTGATGTTTGTTTGCCATTGCCTTTTGCTTCGCTTTTGCCTGCCTCTTTGTTTGCTTTTTTATTTTTTGAGTTTGTGAACCTTGCAGCACAATCCATCACTCCATCAACCATCAAAACCATCAAAACCATCATCGGCCATCTCAACTTTGTTATCAACCACGCCAGTTCTTGTTTTTGACTGGTATCTCTCATTTTCTTTCTCTTCTTTCTCTTCTTTTCTTTTCCATTTTCTTCTCTTCCCCTCCCTTCCTTTCCTTTCCTTTCCTTTCCTTTCGTTCTGCACTTCCCTTTTCTCCGATCTCCATCGTCCATATCCATCTTGCTGACTGTCGATCGAAAAACAGGTAGAGAGACCGGGAGTGTCACTCGTTCTCTCCCCTTCTTTTCTTACACATCAAAAACAAACAACGTCAACAAAAAAAAACTCACTAAGGACCCTGCTATTTTGGGCCCCAGGAATAGGCGTTGTTGTCTTTCTATCACTCGCAAGTGTCGAGTCATCTCCGTCCTGCTCAACAGAGATGCATGGGTTTATTTTTTTCTTGAACAAGATACGCTCTGGTTTGTTTTGGTTTTTTTCCTCTTCTTGTTCTTGTTGTTGTTCTTGTTCTCGTAGTTGTTGTTGTAGACTCTGTCTACTCTTGCAAACCATTGGTTTATTACTCGCTCACAAAGTAACACGATGATAGTACTTTATTCTATTGACCATCGCACATCTGTAGCGTTATTGTTGTTGTTGTTTTCTTGTGTTTGTGTGTATGTTTCGTCTTTTCCTCTCGGCCTCTTTTTTAATTGATGGCGGTGGGAACGAAAGCGATGGTGCCTTTTCTACGCTTCTTGTTTATTTAAATACATGCTCAACAACACATGCCACCCCACCCACTCCCAAGTGACTTGGGCGAGATGATTATTTTTGTGGCTCCGGATAAAAGTCGGACATGACCATAGGCAGGTTGTGTTTTCTTCTCGAGTGTTCAGTTCAACCCTATCAGCTCTTCATAGGACCAACTTGTTTCTATTCTCAAAGGGAAATCAGGGGTGTCATCATGAGAGCGAGAACCAACGAATCAAAACAACAAAAGGACCAAACATACAGCCAACAAGCACCAACGAAGGAAAAGTAAACAACCATCGAAACACATGAGCTCTAAAGAAGAAAAGAAGACGACAGGTCTTGTTTCTCTGCTCCTCTCTCTGTCTCTTCTCAGGCCCATCTCGACCTGATTTTGCTTCTTTCGAATTTGCCATGTGCTTGGCTTTGTCACCAAACAAGAGAGAGTTGGTGAGTGCAGGGCACTACGCGCGGGATCTAACGATCTGTCTTTGCTGTTGTTTTTTCTTTCTTTTTGCAGGACAAATAATATGCGTGTGTGTGTGCATGCTCAGAGGGCCGGTACAGACGAGAAAAGATCGGGGAGAACTTCCGTTTTTCACACCCCTGTGCCATGATGAAATCAGATAGGGAAAGTGTTCCCTCACAGCGTCGTCCCTTCTGCAAAATAGTAAGGCTAACGGTAATGTTACTGTGCACTGGCCCCCTCCTTTTTTCTTCGCTTTTGGCGTTTGGTAATTAAGAACGGGTACGTTAAGCAATGTAAGAGAACCAACGAGGACAAAAGCAAGGGAAAGGGCTGGTGAAGGTGGCCCGTTTCATTCTATGCTGCCGTTGGTTTTGCTGGTGGAATAAAGTTAATTTTTTTGATGTTAGGGACCTAATGTACCTCAGAGATGACGGTGAAGGAGAGAGACGATGTTATGTTACCATCCTCTCATACTTACCTCTCCGTCTTCTTCCTCGGACTTATCGATGGGTCAAAAAAGAGTTTACAGCCCATTATGCAAAAGCTTGAGCCAAGGACCTTCGATTTAACCTGTAGAGTAGCTAGCCAAAAACATCGTAAGAAATGGTTGTTTGTACGCCGATGGATGGCGGAGCTGGAATCTCATTCCACGCCAAAGTCTTCAGACACCCACACGACCTCACAAGTTAAAAATACACAACTCCATCTGTCACCTTTCCGTATGTTTTGTGTGATGCGATCGTCGGATTTTATTTGAGTTCGCAATGCTGATAAAATTACATGGTGTCGATGCGATAGAGGGTAGAGAAAAGGATATGAAAGAAAGACAAAAGTGTCTAGAACTTGGGGCGACGCTTGCGAGCTGTGAATTTAGAGTCGTTGGCTGTCTTGTCACCCTTGGCGCGCAACTGCTCCTTCTTCTTGAGAACCCAGTTCTTGTCCTTGCCAGGCTTGCGCTTGCCGGAGCGAATGCGAGAATCGTTTCTCCTAGTAATCCATGAAATAAGAATGAGAATGGGTGTCAGTACTATTCACTTGAAACCTTCTAAAACAACAGTTCTCGTTGATATCCACAGAACAAGGGTTCAATGACTTACTTCTTGGAGGTATACTGGACGCCGTTCTCGCCTGGCTCGCCTTCCTCGTCCTCTCCCAAACCAGCAGGAAGCTGCTGCTTGACGCCATTGACTTCCTGGCCTGCAAAAAGACAGAGATAGAACTTCTTGGCCTTCTTCGAGTTGGGGTAATCGACCACAAGACCACCCTCAAAACCACAGCGGACAGCACATCCCATGATCAACTGGACCTGGTCATCGTTCTCGGGATAAAACTGGAAGATGGCGCGAGCACCACGTCGGAGTGAAGAATAAAGGGTCGAGAAGAAGCGCATCAAGCGGGCTTTGGGATGATGCGAGGTCTTGTCGGCGTTGCAGAGCCACTGAAGGACCGAAATCGAGATACAGCCGTCGAATGTACCGGGGCGGAAAGCCATTCCTTGTCCTGCATCCTGAAGGAACAGATCGCCGGAGGCCTCTTGCTCCAACGCGACCTCCAACATGGCGGGGGCAATGTCAAATCCGACCCAGACGTGGCCCTCCTCCTCCAAGACTTCACCACTGAGTCCTGATCCACAGCCGACATCGAGAATGAATCCTGGGTATCCCTCGGGCAAGTGGAGCAACTCTACAGCACGTCCGGCCATCTCTGCCTGAATAGCGGCAATGCGAGAGCTAGATTAAAGGAAAGGCAAGATTATTATTTTCTTAGTGATCTAGCTTCTCCATGTCTTCCAGCAAAACGAGTTGGTCGAAGCACGCACAAGTCCTGTCTGTCGATGATATCCTGATCCAAATTTTCTTACTTTCCGGTGTACTTGGCTGCCTCGTCGCCTCCATAGACCTAGTATTGAAAAGGTAGCAGCTTCATTCGGTTAGGATGTTTTTCAACGACCAAGTCCAAGTGGTGAAAGGTACTGTTTCCAATATGCCTCTACGAGTGTCTTGTGAGCGTACGATTTCTGGGGGTGCTTGGTGCTCTGGTCGTGACATGTTGAAGTGCGATGGAGGAGTTGTTTCTTCGACCTGATCACCTTCACTTTTTGACAGCTTCGCCTAAAAAGAAAAAAATAATGAAAAACAATGTGACGTCACATTGAAATTTTTAAGCAGTCCGCTTAAAACTCTCTCAAAGCCCTTTTTGTTTCGAACAAACGCATTTCATTTCATTTCATTCCTTCAAGACACTTTGCCGCGATGCCGCCCAAGACCCCAATGAATGAGGTTCCCAGGCGAGCAAGGTAAACAGAATGTGCAACTAAGAATAAAAGCCAGCTGCCCTTTGCAAACACCCGGTATCATTTACATACTTGCAAGAAAACTCACGCTGTTATTGTTTCAAAAACATCACGTTGATAAACTAGTCGTGTGGACGAGGATGCTCAGGAACAAAGGCCACGGGCGCGACGGAGACTGACCACAGGATCGGCAGGTGACTCGGAGCAAGAATACAATACGAGTGAGGCGCTGGGTTCAAGTGTGGAGCTAGAAGTCAGAGCAAACAGTACGCCAGAGAAGGCACCAGCTGCGGAGGCTCCGCCCAAAAACACTGCCGCGAAACAGTATCAAGTCGATCTCGTCCCCGCCTGGGTCGCAAAGCGATACTCACAATCATCTGTCCGGCCTCCGCTACCGTCCGTGATGGCGCGAAAGTACGAACTCTGGAAGGACGATCTGGACTTTGTGGCGGAACGAGAAACATATTGGGGGACGGTAGCACCTCGCCTGGCTGATCTGAGATTAGAGTCACGCCAATCGGCAGAGGACGGAGAGGAGCAGGAAGAGCACCGCCTGAGCTGTACGCCATGTCTCGATCAAGGACGGGAGTGCTCCAAAGAGATGCCTATCTGCGCTCAGTGCAGGTCCGAGGAAGCCCCGGCTATGTGCTCATACCATGTCGACAGAGCATATGTGCCTGACTCCAAGCGTCAAGGCGCGACGAAGAAGAAGAGACGGATCTTGGACGCGAACCTGGCGGTGGCGTTGGAGTACCTGGACGGCGCAATGGATGATATCGAGGACGAAGATCTGTCCAACAATGACCCGTCGAATGATGATGCGTGGAAGGTGGGAGTACAGGGTGAGCGCGACCCTCATGAGGGGGCAGATTCAGCGGTCAAAGAGTCAGCAAAATCCGATTGGCTCGCGAAGGCGCTGTTTGCAGATGACGAGGGCCGGGGGTATCACGGCCCCGCCAAGGTACCTAGGAAGCGTGGGCGTCCGTGGAAGTTACCGCCGGGAGAAAAGCAGCCGGTCAAAATCAAAAGATCTGTAGGTCGTCCACGGAAGGATCCAACGGAAGAGGAGCCTGTCAAAATCAAACGGTCATGGAATGTGGGGATGAAAGACGAAGAACTTCTCGAGCCGGCCAGGTCTGTGAGCCGAGAAAAAGTGGCCGTGAAAATGGCCATTCTCAAGGCCGAGCGCAAAGGCAAGAACGAGGACAAAAACAGAGGCAAGGGCAAGGGCAAGCTCAAGGACATGGCCAAGGCTGCGCCGCAAAGACGGGGATTCAACGGCCGCGTGATGGAGAGATACTTGAAGGATACCACACGGAAACTCAACGCCCTTGGTACATGGACTGAAGCCCACAAATCCCCGACAGGAGATCAAGGGCAGGAGAGGAGCGAGGTGATTGCTGAATCCGGCGTGAAAGATGAGAGCGACGGAGAGACAGCGACACCGGTAGTAACCAAGTACAAGGAGCAGATTGCGAACACTTTCCGACCATGGGTCGCTCAGAAAGACGAAAAAGTCATCCCCTCTGCCTGTGGTAAGTACCTCTTCGCATCATCATGCCCATTTCTCTTAAGACGTCTTTGTGTTGTGTGTGTGCTGCTGACGTTTCTTTCGTTTGTTTTTACTAGGCCTTCCCGACACGAGTTTGCTGCAGGCTCTCCACTACTATGCTTCTTACTACTACACCCATGTCAGTCCTAGTCCGGATATGTTCGAGGCCATGGATATGACATCCCATGTCGCACTCGGGATGATTGTTCAGGAGATCATTTCAGACTTTGCATTCAAGCTCGGGAAGGATTCACAGCTCGAGGATATCCAAGTCAAGGTCGACAAGTTGGTTGCCGCTCAGTACGGCGACAAGTGGGACAAGGACTTTTTGGGATACCTGGAGAGCCGGACCGCAGATCGATCTTTGCCGCTCAACCAACCCGCCAAGAAACGGCGACATTCAGGATTGGTGGACAGGTCGGTGGAAAGTGCAGACGATGGTGGCCCCGACACGGACATAGGCGAGGACGACGACATGAGTCATGATTCGCGAACCTGGGATGAATTGGAAGAGCTGAGGAGGACAACAATATCGCTTGGTGTTGGTACGGTGAAGGAGCTTGTCAACCGTACGAGGTTCGACATTAGCGTGGAGGAAACCTTAGAGATGGGTTTGGATGGTGAAGAGACAGGTCGCCGATCCGCGTCTCCGCTCCGCGTGGACTCCGACTTGGACAGCTCTGATGACTTGGATACCGGTTCAACCAGTGCAGGAAATGGTGGATGGTTGACGCAGTCCACGTTAACGTCGTCCAAGGAGACTCCTTTCAAGATAGCTCTCGGTAATGATTCCGAGGTCAGTTTGTCGGGCGAGGAGGATACAGAGATGCCTGTGAGGGACTCGACGCGTGGTACGACTCATGGATCCGAAGTAGCCACTCTGGACCAAGGCGACTACGACATGCCAGAGATCGACTTTTCTCCGTCTATTTTGACCCAGTTGAGCAACAACAGGTTCAGATCTCAGCCTGCGTTTGGCTTGGACGATTCATCGTCGGACGATGATGATGGCTCCGATGAGCTGGATGGCCCTACTCTGGTTCGCTCTCAGAGTCTTCTGGAAGACAGTTACGAGTCGTCTGAGGTTGAAAGTGGCAGCTCCGAATCGGATTCTGAACAAGAGGAGAAGGCCACGGATGAGAAGGACAAGGAGGCGAAGGACAAGGCGACGGGAGAGGAGGATGACAAGAAGGAAGAGAGCGAGAAGGACGTTGATTCAGACAAGGGCGGGCACATACAGGAGGACTATGACGATGCTTATGGCGCTTCCAATGACGACAGTATTTCGCCTTCTGTGTTGACCCAGGTCAGCGCGACTCGGTTTGGATCTGCGTTCAAGTTGAGTCAGGATGAGTTGGTCAGTGAGGAGGACGATATTTACAACCCCTCCGGTGGTCGTTTCGTTGTTCAGTCGCAGGTTGTCCAAGACGATAGTGACAATGACTCGTCTGAGGTCAGCTCCGATTCCGATTCCGGGCAGGAGGAGCAGGACGAGGAGAGTGAAGAAAAGGACACCATCGCGGCGAAGGACGCAGGGGATAACAAACCCACCAAGGAGGACCATCTCGAGGATCATATCGCAGCGGAGACCAAGGAGGATAGCGCACCCATCAAGAAGGATCACGCTGAGGACGACGACGAGGTGGAGGAGGAGGAGGAGGTAGTGTCCGAGATCGCGAGAGCGAGCAACCACGAGGAGGGTGATGCAGAGCCGATCGAGCTGCCAAAGCGCCTATCAGGACGGGCAATTGAAGAGTTTAGTGTGGAGATGGAGACCGCGGAAGTAACAACTGCGGCTGGAACCGTCGACGAGACAAGTACCAGGGAGCAGTCGAGAGCTGGGTCTGAGGCCGATGTGGATATGCCATCTGGCGAGGAGTACAAGACGCGCGAGTTCCTCACGAAAAAAGACGATAGACTCCACGAAGAGGAGGAGGAGGAGGAGATGGAGGAGGAGCACAATATACGCGAGACCCTCATGGAGAAAGATGATAGATCTAATGAGAAGGAGCAGGAGGAAGACGAAGCGAAAGTGGAGGAGGATAAAGGCGACCCGTCCCAGCCGGTGTACATGGTGGTGAGCGCAACCCGATTTGGGTCGCGCTTCAGTGCCAGCTACAACGCAGACGATGGCGACGAGTCTGAGGAGGAAGGAACAGCCTACAGTTTTGGCACGCAGTCCCAGGTGGTCTATGACGACAGCACCACCTCTGAGGAGGAGAACGTTCAATCCTCGTCTGAATCGGACTCGGACTGAATGTATGTAAAAATAACCTGTATCATAAGCACTAAAAAATGAAAGTACTAGACCACCATGTCGAGTCCTGCTTTTCCTTTCCAGTGTGGGATTCTCCTCCGAAGAATCCGCCTGTGCTCCGGTGGTCTCTGAACTCTGTGAGTTGTGTCCGGTGGGCTGCTTGGAGAAGGAATGGCGGCTGTACTGAACCCGGCGGTGTCCATCGTCTGCTTCTTGACTGTGGAGGTTCGAGACGTGAACCTGCTCGCTCGATTTTTCGACCCCGCAGTAGATGCTGTGCTGCTGCCGGCTGTACCGCCGATATCGCTCGTATTCCTGCTGCTCGTACTCTATACCCTCGGCATCCATTGGCGTATTTTCCATCCCCAAAGCGAGCAGATCACGTGTAGGAAGGACTGCGGCAGAACGCTCACCTTTTTTTTTCTCCAGTCGGTCCAAGAGGCGTTCCTCTCGCAACGATAAAACCTTCTGTGATCTTTCTTTTCGTTTCTTGTTTGCATCCGCCTCTTCACCACCCATACTTTCACTCCTTTAATGCCACCAAAAACCACACCCCGCGTCAAGGGAAATGTGCGTGCCGCTAACAGCAGGTACATTCATGCACACCCACTCCAGTCCTTAGGATCAGCTCACACCATGCACAACTCGACTGATCTGTTGAAGGGAAATCGTGAAAAAATGTTCAAGCCAAGGAGACTAACCGTTGACCTACACTCTTTTTCCTTTATTGACGCCTCCAGTCGCGCCGCCGAGCTCTCAAGCGCTAGCTCGACAGGATCCTCTCTTTCCATGTCACAGCTCGGAGGATTCGCTCAATTCGCCACCCCCGCTTTCTCAGCTTCGTCGACCTATGTCGCCTCTAGCGCCCCTCGAAGCGCTCCACCCAACAGATCAGGATCGTCCAGCCCATCGCTTTCATCATCAGGATCGCCCGCGTTCGGAGGATTGGATACAGACGTCGTGAATGTCATCTCCAACGGCGAGCTGTCCATGATTATCAAGCGACTCATGTCTAAGCGTGACACGACCACAAAAGTGAGGGCACTGGAGGATTTGGAAAAGTGGGTCAGGGCTCAGACAGAGGATGACGAGACTGGGTCGTCGGCAGCATGCCAGGAGGCTATTGGACCCTGGATCAAGCTTTACATCAAGCTGACGACTGATGTAGATCGACGAGTCCGCCTCATGACCAACAATGTCCACTTGCTCTTGGTCAAGCGTGTGAAGAAGAAGCTGGCACCGTATCTGAAGGAGGTGATCGCCGCCTGGATCGGCACCTTTTTCGACCCCACCAGGGACGTTGCTCGTGTGGCCGTGGAGGCGTTCAAGGTGCGCTGCTCCCTTCTTTTTGCTTTTGCGACAACTTATATTAATATCGTTCGGCGTTTGGCGGTAGAGCTATTGCCTTCTTTGTGCTTACCTTATCATTTTCATCTTCGATGCTTAGAGCGCTTTCCCTGACAATAAGCGAGAGCAAGTGATTTCGTTCTGCTTGCAGGATATCATCTATTACATCTCAGAGATCCTTCTAAACAAGACGCCAGAGACTCTGAGCGATCCTCGATTCAGCACTAAAGAAGAGATGGACACACGCTATGCCAGAGTTGCCTCGAGCTCGCTTTATACCCTTGGATACATCATTGGTATGTCGCGCATTCTCTATGCCACTGCATTGGCACATTTGCCGATTCCGCAATGATACTAACTGTATCATTTCAATTGTTCGCCGACTACAGATACTCTTTCACCCGAGGCACTAGAGGAACATGCCGACGACATTGGACAGTTCCTTGATGAAGCCAAACTCTGGGCATTCTTTGGTCATGGAAACCCACTTGTCAGGAGAGCTAGCTATAACATGTTGCGGACAGTCACCACGAAGGCTCCTAGCTTGGCCAAGGAGAGACTGAGCATTGTGAGCAAACACTTGTTCCCTGCAGCATTCTCAGACAAGGACACTACTACTCACGGAGACATGTGGGACGCTGTTCTTGTGTTCACCAAAGCCTTCCCCGAGTCATGGACGATTGTTGCCGATAAGAAGCCCACTATGTCACTCTTTGCAGGATTTCTCAAGGCTGCAGGATATGGCTCCGCCACTGCAACGTACCGGAGTATTCTCCCTCTTATTGCCAGCTGGGGCGACGAGTCCGTCCTGGGCAAGAATGGCACAGGATTCCCTTTCGCCAAGGATTTTTTCGATCACTTTTGGAAGGGTCTCGAGAGCCCCAATATCGACAAGGAGACCGGGTCGACTCTGCTGTTTATCGAGGCTTACTTGGAGTGCTTGGTCTATTTCACTGTGAGATTCGGGTATGTGAACCAAGTCATAGTAGCACTTTTTCGCACTAACGTTTGCGACCTAATCTCGCCACGATAGTAACTCGCGACTAACATTGTATTTGTTGCACCTATAGTAAATCCGAGACGACAAAGCAAGGACAGGACGCTGCTCTTGCAGCATTTGTGGCGCTCAACAAGACCTTTATGACCTTGGCAGACAACGGAAAGATCTCGGCCAAGTTCACCCAGTCTGAGCAGGGTATTGCCAAGAAGATCAGCACCCACCTTGTTCGCTTGCTCACCATTCCTTCGGTCTCGGAGCGTGCTTCTGTGGATATTTGGCAGCCGACAGTCGAAGCAATGAGCGAAATCGTTTCAGGCGAGACAAACGATGTCTACGTGAAGCGTGGCAAGCGCGCCATCCTGCTTCTGGGACAAATTGCCTCTCTTGCTCACGAGAAGCAGGACAAGGCTCTGATCGAGTTGACCGAGAAAGCCGCAGACCAGCTTGTGCAGATTGTGGCTACCCAGTGCTCAGGCAGTAAGTTTTCGAAGTTGTCATTGCAGCCACATGGAACGTATGTCTCAGTTCTGATTGTGCTAATCAACTACGTGTTCGTTTATCTTAGCCCAATCGTTTGGGCCATCGCAGCTTCTCTCATCTCTGGCTGTTCATTTTGAAGTGGCCGTGTTCTCGAACCCAGCCAGTCAGAAGGCCATGCATGACTTTTTTGAACTACAGTTCGCCGACATGTTGTTGACCTCCGAGGATCAGGATTCATCTAACGAGGGGGTCAGCCAAGGTGGCGAATCGCTGCCTCACCTTTTGGATCTTCTCGCGGGATACCTTGGCAACACCAAGGAGCAGGAGCGATCGACTCGCATCTGGCAGCAGGTCATGACCAAGGTTCTCAAGGAGACTGACGAGGGTACCAACCAGGAGCGACAGAGTGTTATCTTGCGCGGATTGCTTGACCGCACCTCTGCAGTTTCTCCTGCCATTGATCTAAAGCTCGGAGCCATCGATGACTTTGTCACTACGATTGTCGTTGATCAAAAGTACAAGGAGTCCAAGTCCTATGAGGATCTCGTGACTGGCGCCTTGTGTTCGAACGCCATCATCCCGGATACCCTCAAGCTGGCAGTATTTGACACTCTTTCTCAGCGTCTGGACCTCTTTGTCTCAGATGTCATGGGTGCCCAGGCGATGGGCAAGCATGCCGAGGCTTCGGCCATCCTGACCATCATCCTTAAGTCCTTGAGCCATATTGTGCCCTTGTCGATTGAGAACAGTGCAGAGGTGCCCCTGCAGCAAATCACTAAGGCTGTGTTTGACCTCAGCTGCCAGTCAGAGGAGAATCTCAGCGAGGCTGCCCAGCAGAACCTTGATGAGCTGCAGAGGCTGTCGGAGGAGTCGGAAGATATCCAGTTTTTTTTGCGTGATTGCCTCACCGATCACATCTGCGACTGCATCCAGAACTTGCAGCGCTTCACCAGGTACGATAAACCGCCTTGCTACACAGCACAAATAAGTCGTACTGTCACGAACGCATTTTTAACCAATTGAATGCGACTCTTTGTATTAGCCCCGAGGACCTCGCTACCCAGGCTCAGAAGCTAGCAGATTTCCTCAATCTGTCCGACATCGCCGATCGCTTTGGACTTTTGAGCGCATTCTTCTTTGATAAGGATCACTGGAACTCACTGTACAAGACCCTCTCCGCCACCGGTGCCCATCGGTCATTGGTCATGCTGGACCCTGTTGTTGAGGCTTACTACGCAGATACCAAGACCCAGCACGTATCGGCGTCGGAACATACCAACGTCCACTACGACAGCTTTGGTCTCTCCGCCTACGGTCGTCTGGCACTCTTCACCTATGAGCTCTTAAAGAAGGAGGATGTGATGGTTTCGCTATTCTTGTCGTTCCCTGAGACGATGACCTGGGTCATGGGCGAGCTCCTCAAAGTTCGTCAGGGATGTCTTGATGCTTTCCAGGCCCCTTCTTCAGAGGCCGGCGTGTTTTACTCGCCCAACCTGCATAAGGATGCCAACGATGTTGTGTTCAGGACGTTGTTGCGCGAACTAGGCTCCATGGTGACAAGCTGGATCACTCTGGCGCTGGAGGAGAATTGGGAGTCGCAGTTGATTGAGGTTTTGACTAAGGGACCTCAAGCAGCAGTTACATCGAACGATGATGACGACGAGTCTGGATGCAGCCCCGTATATTTTGCTCGTGAAGCTCTTTTGGAGCAAGATGGATTCAAGGAGCGCGTCCTCGCTGATGTTGTCGATGCCCTGGCTCAGTCCGATTCCTCAGATATTTCTCCTGCCAATGCCAAGGGATGGTGCCTGCTCTTGAAGAGCGAAAGCGGTATGTTTATTTTTTGTGCATGTTGGTGGCGTGTGCAGTTCTCATACAATTTAATCGCTGGAAAACTAAACTCAAGTTTCGCTAATTTCGTATTGCTCTAGTTCCCTTGTCGATATCTACTGGATTGGTCATTGCGCTCAGGAAGAGGCTGGAGAACACCAACGAGTTTACCAACCTACTCAACCAGTGGGTCACTACCCCCGTTCGCCCCAACGAGCTTACTGTTCAAAACACCGAGACTATCCGTCGCCTCTCGCTCCTTGTGGCCGCTTTGATGGGTCCAGCGGACGAAGAGCCCTCAATCAATCTTCCTCAGTTGCGTGCCATGAACCTGCTGCAATCTATTCGTCGCTGGATTTCAGACTCGGACGTTTTGAAGGACTTTGATAACCAGAATGAACTTCTCGTACACTCGTTGGTTCTGCGACTTCTCAGAGCCTTGGCCTTCCAGGTGCAGGAGCTTCCCGGTGCACACTGGGAGATGATGTTTGGCCAGATAACCGTTGCCTTTGAAGGACTTTCAGAGACCGACTCTACTCCTTTCGGAATGCTCGTCCTTGAGAGGGCATGCCGCTTGACGTTGACTCTTATCGACCTTGCACAGGACGAGGCCGACATTATGAACGCCTGGGAGGAGCATAGTGAAGGAATCTTGGTCCGTGCGATGAGAGTTATCGGACGTGAGGATTCTACTCTGGAAGCCGCTTCGTTGAAGATGAACCGCCCTGTCCGTCAATACATGGGTGTCTTGTCTCAGGTCTGTGGCTATGCCTCTGACAAGCTTGTCTTGGCTCATGGATCAGTGGCGAAGCAGTGCCGAATGTTGATGGAGCCGTTGACATCTTTGCAAATGCTCGCCTACAAGCAGCTGCAAACCATATTGACTGAGGAAGTGCAGACCTTGTCCATTCAGATGGAGCTCAAGGCGCCCACTAGCCCTGTTGTCGATCCTGTCGAGGACAAAGCTGCCGACGATGCTACTACAGTCAGCGCTGCTACAGAGGACAAGATGACAGAGCCAAAGTTTCCCGCCTCGCTTTGGGCCATCATATCCAGCCCACCTGCCGGATTCCCAGCTATGGACGTGGATGTAGATGCGGATGACGAAAAGAACTTGAAAAAGGAGTTTTCGCTTCTGTCGACCGGGAGCAGCCACAATGACGAGGACGACGACGAGGAATATGGAGTCGGTGCCGGTGTCGCTGCCAAATCTGAGACCATCACCTCACACGCCGTGCTTGGTTACCTTTTGGCGTGGAAGCTGGCCTTTGCCATCTTTGAAAACACTGTAAGTTAGACCGCTCGTTTTTATGAAGATGGAAATTATTGTCCGTACATGCAAGTTTTTCCTAACACGCTATTAATTCTTTCTCCGCTTTAGACATACGCTGTCAAGTCTCGTTTGGTCGAGCAGCTGAGGACTTCATCGGCGATGAACGATTTCTTGCCATACCTGTTCCACCTCCTCGGTATCCACTCTGCATCATCCTTGGTCAGCGACTCATCTTCTGCCAGCCAGACAGCCTCATCAGCATCCAACGATGCTCAGGCCGTCGAGCTGTTTGATTTGAGCCGCTGGGATATCACCGAATACCAGGTCGTTGGCTTTGACCTGTCGTCTCCCGAGATTGGATTCCCACTCTTTGCAGGACACCTGTACTACACCTGCTTGGCGAATGTGCCCAGTTTGGTTCGTATTTGGTGGACCGAGTGCAAGCTCCGCCAGCTCAGCATTGCAGTCGAGTCGCTGACAGAGAGGTTTTTCTCGCCTTTGTTGATCACTCGCGAGCTTAATTCGCTTGTCAAGGCTCAACAGGCTCCTGCCCAGGGTGGTAATGCAGCAGCAGCAGCAGCACTTTCGGGGGTCACTGACGATTTGAACGAGCTCCAGATCAAGACCTCGAAGGCGACGTCGGAGGTCACGGCTTCGTTCCAGATTGACGAGGCGACCATGGAGATTGTGATCCGGTTACCGACCAATTTCCCACTTCGCCAGGTTGAAGTCGAGGGTCTGCAGCGTGTCGGTGTCAAGGAGGCCCGCTGGCGCGCATGGCTGCTGGCTGTTGCTGGTGTGATTGCCGCCCAGAACGGGTCGTTGATCGATGCGCTGTCGTTGTTCAGGAGGAATGTGGGTCTGCACTTTGAGGGTGTGGAGGATTGCACGATTTGTTACTCGATTGTCTCGCTCCAGGATCGATCGTTGCCTAACAAGACCTGCAAGACTTGCAAGCATCGCTTCCATGCTTCTTGTTTGTACAAGTGGTTCAGGACTTCCAACTCTTCGAGCTGTCCCCTCTGCAGAACTTTGTGGTGATGCATTGTTTTTTGTCTAGAAATAAACTGTTGCATGTTTTTTGTATCAGTCGTGTGCCAAGTGTTATTTTAGCAAGAGATTGGAGATTTATTTCAGCTAAAACTTCACCCGGGGGTGTGTCAACTTTGGTCAGGACCTGTGGTGGCGGACAGCCATCTGTGACACCGTAGTACCATCATCTCCTGCTGCTGTGAAGAACGTCCCCCCGACTGTCATGGAGAACATGGAGATATGGAGGTCGTCGCTGAAGAACTGAAATACCACACAATAAGCAGTCCGAAGAAAAAGACGTTGCTATTGTCACAAAGAAGAAAATGAATCTCATCGGTCCTAAATCGCGAAGCTTGTACAACTTACTAGATGACCAAAGAGATCTCACAGGCCTCATTCCACAAGAACATGACATTCCGCGTCTTGAACGCCAAAAAGACACCAAAGATGATCAAGAAAATAGGAACCACAGCAGGGACCAACAACCTCCAGACTCCCACCGATGGACTGCGACATCGAATCCACTGGCCATGGTTTGATTTGATGGTGTTGGTACAACTTCAGTGGAAATAGACAGCTTACTTCATTTCGCGGAGTATTTCAGTCTGCGTATGCCCAACAGACACCAAGAGCTGAATCCTTGACTGCGATGAATCGATCTTGTCCTTGATAAGTTGATACGTAGGAACGTCTGCTTGTCCTTGCAATCGAATAAGCTGATAGTCAGCACATTAATACCCAGTTTCTTTGGGCACCCTGAAAAATATCTTCGTTTTATCTCACAAGGAGAAGGTACAATCAAGCCCAAAAAAAATAAAGGTAGTCGCCATTGCTGCCATATTTCCTGGTATAGACAACGTATCTGCCTAGCCGATGATGTCGACGTCGAAGATGAGAGTGATTCTCTTCCAGTCCAATTTGAGAATCAAGTCTAGTGCTGCCTCCAGAATGACGTCCGTGGCGAAATAATCAGGGATAGATTGGTTCATCCGACAAGATTGTGTTGGCTACAAGAACAAAAACAACACACTCGACGAATGATTAACCTTTGCACTCTGCTCTGGTTGCTCACACAATGAGAGATAAGTAACCTTTTGCATGATCCTTACTTGACGCGTATGAACAATGTGGAATCTTGACACTGGAAGTTATCAATGCCTCGTACTGCGTCAAACCCGAGCTAATGTCACCAATGACCCCAGCCACCTGTTGATACCAAAAGTAAGTGGTGCAAGTTTGAAGCTCTGAACCCAGCCTCTCAGGAGTGAAAAATTGAGCGGAGGAGGGGATGGGTTCAGAGCTTCTGCAAGTTTACTCAAAATTTGGTGGCAAATGAGCCTCATTGTTTGTTACACAAAACAGGAATGCACAAAATGAAGAACGTTACTTTGGCACCGATCAAGGCCCCGGCTCCTGCAATGGCTGCTGCTCCTTCTGAAGGCGTAAAGAGATCTGAATTTTGGCTGTCCCGGAGGACAAGCGTCACATTGACCCTTATTACCAACACAAGCACTATTAGTTAAGATATCTTTGTCCAGCCGCCGTCTTTTGACATGATGCCTCCTCAAAGCTCATCATACCTGGAATGATCCGTTGCCTATTGATGTCGTCCACTGCCATCCTGATAGCCTATTTACAATAAACTCAACAGTCATTGAATGTAAGCACTCCGTGGCATAGCATGGCGGAGGTCATATCTCCGAAGTTACCGAGAGGGACCTGCGAACAACGGAGGCTTCGAGATAATGGTCAATCGCGTTCAAGGGTAGTAGCACTCCGAGCCGTATGGTGTCCGGTTGTGAATCTCACATGCTTGCGTACTCATAGTCTGTCAGCAAAGAGGGTTTCGTGGCTGGACGTGGCGTTGTTTGCGAACGGCTGTTTTGTGATTGGATGAAGAATGTGTTCGACTGTTGCAGGACTTCGTTTTTGAGGGTAATTCTTTTCCACTGCTGTTTCCTTGTTCTGTTGCGACGGTGCGGGAGTGGACCCCAGTTGAGATATTGTTGCTGGTGGTGCAGGAGGCGCTGCATGAGCAGACTCGGGATTATGCTGCTCAAGGACAAGGCGGCGATCGTTGGTGTTTGGTATAGATTCTGGATCGGGTTGTTGAAGTTGTGTTGCTGTTGTGGTAAGAGAACGGGTATCTGGGTGTGGCGGAGGAGGGTGTGTGGACATGGAAAGATATTGAGATGGAGATGGAAGACAGCAAGACCAGGAGAGCCAGTGCCCAGAGCATCGAACGATTGATCTTGCCCATCAAATTATTCGAGGCGTATATGAATATGAAAGGGAAAACAAAGCGTTGTGCTAGCTGCGGACACACAGCAAAGAGGAAAGAGGGTAGATGAATGACAAGCAGGGTTGCAACTGAGGACGAATGGAGGGTGTATGTGTATGAGGGTGAGAGAGAAGAGGGTATGTGGTGAAAAGGAGGAGTGCAAATGAAAAAAAAGGAGTGAGGCAAAAAAAGAGGTGATTGATTCTGTTCCGAAACCATTTCTTCTGCCTTCTGGCGTTTTGCTTCCACGCGTTCCTCCTTCCAGCATCAACCCTTTTATAACTGTTGCTTTTTGATCGCTTGTTTGTTTGCTTGTTTGGTAGAGGTGCGCTTTTATTTTAAGCACAGGAAGGAACAAGTTGAATGAGAATGATCTATGTACAAGAGGGTGTTTACATCCATTTCATTTACCCCATATCTTCTCGACTGCAAGAAGTAAAGGGGAGGGTCAACACAGCTCTCATTTACTGGATGCGCTGGTTGGACTCGTTCTGCTCCCACTGACCCTGCTGCTGGTCCTGGTTGCCCTGGGACTGGGCCGATTGAGCCTGGGCATAGGCGGACTGGTTCTGGTTGCGACCGGCCTGGCCAGTCTGCTGCTGGGGGTTCTGCTCGTTGCTTGACAGCTGCTCGTTGGCAAACAGCTGGTCGTTGGCAGACAGCTGGTCGTTGGCAGACAGCTGGTCGTTGGCAGACAGCTGGTCGTTGGCATACAGCTGGTCGTTGGCAGACAGCTGGTCGTTGGCATACAGCTGGTCGTTGGCAGGCTGGTCGGACTGGATGGACTGAGCCGAGGCCTGGGACTCGTTGTACTGACCCTGGGAGTCCTGGTTACGCTGGCTGGGGTTCGAGGACTGGTTGGAGGACTTCTGGATCTTGTCGCCCAAGGCGGGTTGCTGCTGGTTGCGGTCGTTGTTGAGGGACGACATGTTTTGAATATGTATGTGTGTGTGTGTGTGTGTGAGAGAGAGAGAGAGAGAGGAGAGGTTGCGGGAGTGTTTTATTGGGAGAGTGATGTTGATGAGTTGAGTGAAGAATAATGAAACCACGGCAAGCTTCGAGTTTTATAGCCATTTGAACACTAGGACTGTTGCAAAAGTGTGTCGACATCAATGGCTCTTAGTGTCGCCATCAACGGTAGCGAGGATTGCTGTATTCCACGACGCTTCGCGTAGAAGGACGAAGAAGGACAAATACATAACCAATTGTCTAGGACCCTAACTGGCCCGTAGGAAAAATGGCAGACGAGCGAGCGCTTGGTTTTGATTTTTCATTCATGCCTGGCTCCTTTTTTGCGGTGTCACTTTCAGTGCGCCATTATTATGGAGTATGAGGAATGTTGTGGCTTTCACGCTCGCTCAGTCCCATCGTAATCGTAGGTGGATGACCATTAGCCCTTTCATGGACAACAAAAGAACACGAGAAGTTTCATCGAGAAGAGAAAAGAAAGAGGGAGCGAAGGAGCAGTGAGGGGATACCAACCAGAGTGTGGAGAAAGAAACATTGAAAAGCATGTTTAAAAAATAGCGTACATTCGATGGCCAAAGCGGTGGGTGCGACGCGAAGGATCCAGTAATCCTCCCGTCATCCTTGTTTCTTCTTTTTCGCACAACATGGATCACGTAAGAAAAAAGAGAAGTGCGTAATGTCGATCATCATTCCCTCCTTCCCTAACATACCTCATTATCTCATTGAGCCGATGCGTCTTACTCCCCTTACTGATGCTCGCTCGGAGGTTAATGATGTTCGTCTTCAGACAACCTTCGACACATGCATAAAGAAAACAGTTGAACGAATAATGATGTGTTTCACTTTGCTCCATGTCGTCATGCATTCACCAAACAGACTAACGGATAATGGCCACTGCGCATAAACAATTCGTCAGCAAACTCGCGTTCACAGTTCACAATGTATTTGTATTAGGGTTATTCATTTGTTTTTTTTGTAAAGTAGTGCTAGCTTATTTGGTGATGCGGTTGAAGACCTCAACAAAGGTATCAGGCTCCTGAGCTCCAGAGAGGACATACTTGTCGCCAATTGTAATGTTGGGCACACCCTGGACACCCTCAGCCTTGGACCTCTCAATCTCATCCTGAACCTCCTTGACACCCTCATTCGAGGCCAAGAACTTCTCTACCTCACCACGGTCCAACCCAATCTTGACCGCAGAGTCAATCAACGTAGGAACCTCGCCACACTTGTCCTCCTCAAAGTAGTTTCGGAACAACTCCTCAACAATTTCGTCCTGCTTACCGCGCTTGGTAGCATAGTCGATAAGACGATGGGAATCCAGAGTGTTGACGACGCTGCCGTTGTAGCTGAAGTTGATGCCTTCCTCTTGACCGACTTGGATCATCCGGTCGCGGATCAGGGGTGCGCGGGCGGCGCCAAACTTGTTGGCGTACATATCCATCTTCTTGATGGGGACTCGCGAGGCCGAGGGGTCGAGCTGGTAAGGGTGCCAGTCGATCTGGAACTGAACGTCCTTGTGCTCGGGTGCTGCCTTAAATGCTGTGATTGCTTTCTATTACGTAGATGAAGGGAGAAGTCAGGACAAACCACTTTAGTTACTTTTCTTCCTTGTCCATTCATTGTAATTGTTCAGCAGAGTAGCTCAGGGTGCAATCCATGGGTGATGTAATTACCTCGAGACGCTTCTTTCCGACGTAGCACCAAGGGCAAACGGTATCGCTGACAATGTCGATCTTGATGGTTTTGCCGGTGGGGACGGCAGCAGCTGAGGTGGCGGGAGTGGTGGCGGTAGTCATCTTTTGGAATAGGGGAAAGGCACGTCTCATAAAAAGAGTGGGGTGTGAATGGTTGTGTGAAAAAAGAAATGGGAAGGAAGCGTTGGGAAGAAGGATGAAGTTGAGGGGGAAAAAAAGAAGTTGGAGCGCCTGCCTTTATCCTTTCCCGAATTACTAATGGAAATTCACGTATATTTCACTCACGTACAAGAATTCAAACAACTTTGCTGTTGGGCGGAAATAAAGAAAAATCATTGGCTCATCAATGGGACTGGACGCCATGTTTGCTGACCAGGTATTAGCTGAGCGATGCTTGATAATTTATTTACTTCATTATGGGTACGGAGGCTGCTGCTGCTGAGAGTGAATGGTCTGACGACGCTCATTGGGGAACAGCGAGTCATCGGCCCCGGCCATCCCCTGCTGCGCTTGAAACCTGAACATTCTGTCCGCATCGCCCAATGCCTGTCGAATTCCCACGGGCACATTGCTGTCTGGACAGAGATAGCTCGGGAACGAACTGGCCATATCTATAGGCTGGAACGAGTCGGGTGACGGACTGTCATTCATTATAGCGGGTGCAGCATATCCTTCCTGCTGGGGGACGGCATTGGTCGGAGGACTGAGGGGTTGAGCTGGAAACGTGTTTGGGTGAAGCCCAGACTGCTGCTGCTGCTGCTGCTGCTGCTGCAAGTAAGCTGTCGCAAAGCTCATTGCGCTTTCGTTGCTGAATCCATCCTGATAGCTCACTACTGACGAGCTGAGCATTCTCATGAGCTCGTTCTGCGCCTGGTCGGAGTTTAATTGTTGGTAGCTCGTCAATGATGAAAAGTTGGAAAGAAATGAGTTGACGTCTGCAGAGTTCGGCTCTTGTTGCTGCTGTGGCTGTTGTTGCTGTTGTTGCTGTTGTGGCTGTTGTTGTTGTTGCTGCTGTTGCTGTTGCCTCTGTTGATATTCTCGTTGGAGGTGCATAAACTGCCGTTGCTGGTTCAGGCGATGTTGCTCCTGGATCTGGGCCGCTGACAGTCGGTCAAGGGAGGATACTGGAGGCGATGAATCCAAGAGCTGAGTTGACTGCTTCTGTTGCCTCTGCTGTTCTTCTTGTAGTAATAAAAACTGGGCTAGCGACATCATAGGCGCAAGGGTAGATCCTCCTGGGGTCGACAGTGGTTGCTGCTGTGCCAGGGCGAGTCCATTGAAGTCTGATGCGTATGGTGCCCGGGCGGGGAACGAAGACAAAGATGCGTTCGTGCTTGGCAGAATCGGTGCTGTTGGTAACAAGGCGTGGATGGGTCGGTTTGGCACCTCTGGTGACGATGTCAGCTTCAGACGATTCAAATCATCCAACGAGCGATCTCCTGCCTGGGCCCAGCCATTCGCGATTCCACTGTTGGAACCACTGTTGAAAGTTCCTTGATCCTGCTGCTGAGGGCGAGGTAAATTATTGTTGAGGGAGTTACTGATGAGCTGGACGTTGGCCTTGGAGTCGACTGGGGTCGGAAGAGGTGCGGAGCTCGCCATGGGCTGTCCAACCTGTCCAGGGTTCGATTGAGTGGCACCTAAGGTGCGATCGTTGAAGCCTTGAGAACCGTCTGGATGTCCCGCAGCAGTTTTGCTCTTGCTCACTCCGTCGCTGCTTCCTGTCGCTGGGCCTCCGACCTTGGGCGAGATTTTCCTCATGCGGATGGGTGTCACGCCAGAACTGCCAAAGGGCATCCGAGAGCCATACTTTTGTGACATGGGGAGGATATGCTTGAGGGGTGGTCGATGGTCGTACTGTGGGTTTGGCGAGTAGGCATAATCGCCTTGGTAATCCATGGAGGAGTCCATAGAGTTTTTCAGCAGTTCGACTTCCTTTTCTATATCGGCGGCGGTAGACTCACGGAGGATGATGTTCAACAGGGCCAGGGATCGCTTGAACATGATTGGTCCGCTTGTTCCACGACGGATGTCGTTCGCTTGGATGGTGGCTGCTGCAATCAGACAGTAGATGACAAAGTAGCATCCTCGAACCGGGTATGTCAGGGAGACAATGCCATGGTTGGTGAAAAGGTCGTCCGTAATGACTGTGATATTGGTGGCCGAAACAGAGCAGGTTTCCCGGGAGTTCGCTGTCATCTCCGGCTGGCTGACTGATATATCATCGCAGAAGCTGCGTAAGGTCATGAGCAGACAGGCATGATATACCATGTGGAGCATGGCGCCAAAAGGTGTCCGAGCAGACATGTTGGATGCCAATTGGAGCCGAATAGGAAGGCTGGCTTTCCAGGCCACCATGGCGGAGGTAATGACGCGACACTGGGGAATGGCATCTTCGGCTCGGATGGCCTTTGTGAGGGATTTGCGGACGAGCATTAGCGCCTGGTGGTTGATTTTGGAGAGCTTGATGTATTCGATGAAGTTGAGAATGTTTTCGACCTCCTGGGTGTCGTCAGGGTCTTCGTTGTTGATGCAGGGCATGTCCGCTTCCGGTTCGACATCTCTGAAACTCATCGACCTGCCCTGTGAGACCGAGATAAACTGGTCCAACACAAAGATGGACCAGAACAATCGCCGGCGCACCTCATGGCTCTCCTTGTCCAGTTTCATGCTGACAGGAGACGTCTTGTGGAGTTGCAGTTCCTGTTAAAGTACGAGAGTGTGAAAGAGAGATGCAAGGTTTGGTATACATAACTGAGCAAAAATAACCAATATTACGAATTTGGATCACTGATGTAATTCTTGTCTTCCACTTACCCTGGCGAGAACGATGACCATTTGGGCGTACATGTATGTGCGAAAGTAGAATCCGTTGTGCTTGACGCTCTCCTGGTATTTAATAATCAACAACAGCGCCTGAATAGTTGCCAGTCGAGGTTTGTCGAGGGTGTCATCCAGGCGACTCAGCCAAAGGTCAAAATATCGACGACCGTCCTGAACTCGCCCGGGGGAATATTGAGACGCCACAGCATAGATGGCAGCCAGCAAAAAGTCGGGCACAGGGTCCTTGGGGTCGTATAATCGTCGGAGGAAACTGGGCTTGTGGACGATAAGGAGAAAGGGATGGACATGCTGAAAGTAAAGGTCGATAAGGTCTGGCTGAATGTCGACCAGGGGCTCGGAGCGACCTCGGGTTCGTTGCTGTGTGCCTGGGATAGCATCGCTAATACTACGACGTTTGTGGAACGGCTGGTCGGGGTCGTGTGTCACTGTGGAGGTGGCGGGCTCAGTGGACTCTGTTGCTGAGGATTCACCGGAGGAGGGCTCTGCAGAGTCATTATCGCCTGCGACTTGGCTGAAGCTGCGGAGGGTATGGGGTGCGATACCGTAGTTGTCAATCTGCAGACGATCCATGACGTGCGACAGATCCTCGGTGGATGAGGACCGGCCAAGCATACCGCCGGCGCTGTTGCTCCTGTTGGACCGTGTTGCGAATCCACTGGAAGGGTAGGACGACGACAATTCGGCCTGGAGAAGATCTCGCTCCCGTTCTCGCTCCTTGGCCCGCTGCTCCTTTTCACGTTGGTGGACGAGGTGTGGGTTGTTTTCCTCCATGACCTTATCCATGTCTAGGACGACTCCATTCTTCTGGGAGAAGATGCATGCGGTCCCGATCCTGGCACATGTCGAGCACTTATCACCTTGGCCGTCGTAGTTGCATCTTGTCTTTCTACGACGACATTCCTGGCAAGAGATGCGGGCGATGAGTCTGGGTTTGATCTTTGTCATCCTGCGAGGGAGATGAAGAAGAAGGAAAGGAGATGGGGGAGCGGAGAAAGGAGTGGGTGTGGAGGAGTGCTGGAGGGAAGAGAAATATGAAGTGATTGGTAGTGGATAGGGTATCAAAAAAGTCGTAAGAGGTAAAAAAAAGTCACTGGAGAGAAGAGTGGCGACTGGTAATTGGGTGGTTGAAGGGAAGAGAGGAGAAGAGGAGGAGGAGGAGGAGGAGGAGGAGGAGAGGAGAGAACGGAGAACTGAGAGAGAGAGGGAGAGGATGAGTTGGAGGAAAAGGAAAAGGAAAAGAAGACAAAAACAATATGTGAGATGTGGAGACGAAAAGGGAAACGTTCGTTGGATGAGAGCGCAGAGGGAAGGAAGGCAGGGGCAATAAGCATCAACCCCCCCGGGAATGCCCACAGGATGTCCAAGTCGTACGCCCACTGATAATGGTGCTCTCCCCCAAAGAATTACTCCTTACTCTCTCTCTCTCTCTCTCTCTCTCTCCACACATGTCGGTACTCTTTCCTCGCCTCCCCAACCACCTCATTAATATCGCTGTCGTATTACCCATTCTTCCTCGATGAACGTTCTCAATATCTTTCTCTCCACAGGACATTTTGCCTTTTTATTTAATACGCTCGATGGTGCGTAACCTAATAGGCTTCTTGGAAGAGCTATCCCATGTCAACGGGCGACGTCTATTTTTCATTTCCGCTATCACAAGGAGGCAAGCACAGTTCTTAGCTCATCTACCCCAACAGGCAATTTCTTAATTGTCAACGGTCGCAAATCTGTGTGGTTCCTTCTTTATCCACAAGAAAGTTCATGAATTTTCGTTTCTTTTCGCTCGGACACCCCTCGTTTCTATCACTTTGCCGTATCAATTGCTCAAAAAGCCCATTGTTATCTGTCGTTCTTTCTTCTTTTCTCCTCACCTTGGTGTTGGCTGGGATGAGGGGCAAGGCGAGAAAGAAAGACAGCCAGCAAAAAAGACGCAATCTTTTGGTTCATACCCCTCTTCTCCCCCATCTATTTTGTGTTTGCCCCGTGCTAACTTGTCCATCTGTCTATCGAGACATGCAGACGCACAGAGTCGCGTGTTTTACCTTCGCTGATTTTGGTTCCGTTCTTTCCTCTCATCTTGTTTCATTCGCTCCTTCATAAGAAAAATGAGGGTAAGGAGCCCGTTCTTACCCTGTTCCTCCACAAAAACAAGCAAAAATCATTGAATGCCCCACCTTCGAAGAAAAAAAGCGAAGAGAATGAATTCAAAAAGTAAAATTATTGGAGAACCTGGGCATCGATCCCAGTGCCTCTCGCATGCTAAGCGAGCGCTCTACCATTTGAGCTAGATCCCCGACGGTTGTTACACCTCGGGTATGTTTAATTTCGGGTCATTCAGAACTCCTCCGTCTGGTTCCCGCTACCTAATTTTTGCGACGCCACCAAAAAAGGGCTGATAAAAAAATGCTACTCTAGGATTTAAGGTGTAAAAAAATGTAGGGAGGGGACAGTAGGAAAAAGAGGGAGGGAGGATCCAAGTTGGAAGTTATAGTACAGGGCGAAGGTAAGGATGGGGGAGGGGGTGGATCTCGGCTCGGGGGGGTGTTAGAGCTGTTGGGCAGGCATCGCCGCCTTGGTACGGTGCCTGTTGGTCTTGTGTGGGCCAAAACAGCCGTTGACTGCTTGTTCAAAGTGTTTCCGCTGCTTAAACGGGTGAGATCCATGTCCTCTGTGTCTGTGATCTGATACGGAGGTGAGCATGAGCGTGTCAGGCTCGAAGGTAATGACGTTAAGGCTTGTGTGTGTGTTTGGTGTTTGTGTGGGTTTGTGTTTGTGGGTTTGGAGGAGAGGAGGGGAAAAGGATAATAGAAATAGTGAAAAAGAGATTAGAGATAGAAAAAGAGAAAGAGAAAGAATAAAAAAAATAAAAAAAAAAAAAAAAAAAAAAAAAAAGGGAAAAGGTCAAGCGAAAGGCGAAAAGGGGGGGTATATAGACGCTTGACGTAGAGATACAGAGAAATGAAAAAGAGAGAGAAAAAAAGAGAAAAAAAAAAAAAAAAAAAAAAAAAAAAAAAAAAAAAAGAAATCTATACTAATTAATCCTGCTGGCTGCCCCTCTCGTTCTCCTCCTGCTCATGTTATGGTGGTTGGAATGCGTCTCCGAACTGAGGTCCCTTCTTGGTCACCTTGATATGTGGTGTGTGGTGCCACACCTCATAAAAGGCGTTCTTGCCCGCGTGCGGGTCCATCGGTGCCTCATCTTCTCGGATCGGCCTTGTTGCGTTCTTCTTGTCCTGCTGCTCCGCTCGAATCCACTCCTCCATGCCTCTGGTACGGCAATTCTGGAGAAAAATCGACTGTAGCGCGCCTGGCTCGAGTTGCTCTCCTGCTCCCAGCTTGGAAAAGGTAACATATATCGACCAGAGTGCTGCTGTTTGCAGGTGGTATACAAGAGGGTAGTCATTCATGTTGTCTCGTTCAGGCCAACAAAAAATCCTGTCCTGGGCGGTGCGAGACAAGTCGTTGAGGTCAGGGTAAATAGTCTTGATGAGGTCATGCAAGCTGTCCCAGTGTGTCGCCAACTCTGGACAGTCGTGAAAGGCATGACGGTTGTCTTCACTCGCTCCTGTATCGCACCGTCTACATGTACCGTCCGTATCCGCTTCCTTGTAGTGCTTGCGGATATTGTTGGTGGTCACCCTGTTGTAGGCCAGCTTGTATAGAAGGTCGTGCTCCTTGCGACGTAGGTTCGTGTTGTGTACTCGGTCCCAGATCAACTTCCACTGCGCAGCCGTCCAGTCCCATGGGAAAGAGGCTTGGCCCGGGTTAGCGAGCTTGTCGGCAATGGTGATGGGCTGGGGGAGCTCAAGTCCGCTGACGATTGTGCTTCGTGCTTTGCGGACAGAAAATTCTTTGAGGGGTGACTTGTGTTTACCAAAAAGAATGGCTTCCCTTGGATCCGAGTCTGTAGTGGTTCCGTCCTTGAGTAACGCCTTGACCTTTGTCCATGACATGAGGATGTGGTGGGTGAGGGTGTCGGCTTTTCTGGACTTGATGGCTTGGGGTGTTGGGTTTTGTTGCATCTTTGTTGGTGGTAGTGCCGCAAAGTGTGTGATAGGTGTGTCTTGTTGAATAAGGGGGCGGGTGTACTGGGCAACAGTCTCAAAGGTGTGCTGCCATTTTACTCCTGGCCGTTCCGTCTTCCAACGAGCAATCCACTTTGCCTTGAGGGCAAGGACTTGAGAGCGAGGGTGTATAAGACCCCATCCTCCGTCCTTTTTTGGCTTGAAAAATGTATCCAGCGAGATACGGACTTTTCTGCCATGCCACAGCACGTCCCTTAGGATATTTTCTATTTGGTCGTAAAAATTGTTTGTAAAGGGGTAGAACGGTGAACAGTGCCATAGTTTGGATAACAGATATGTGTTCAAGACAGTGACTCTGCCCTGAATGGTGAGACCGCGCAGCCGCCAGGCTGCGGTCGATCCCTTCAGGTCATTAATAAGTCTCTTTTCGATCACTTCCAGGTTAAATCCATTAACGGACAGTTCTACACCTAGATGTGTGAATGGTGCTCCATATCTTTCCCAATTTGTGAGGTGATCAAAATTGAAATAGTGTTGGGCCCAAGGTTGTAGTGGTATGAGTGCTGTCTTGTCCTTGTTTACCTTGGCTCCTGATGCAAGTTCATGTAGAGCCAAGGCCCCCATCACTACTTCCTCATCCCCTCTGGAGATGGACAGGGTGGTGTCATCTGCAAAAGCGTTCACTTTGGAGGCGTCACCGTTCGGGAGCAGGGTACCACGAGCTCTCTGGCTGTAGTACCTAAGAAAGGGTTCAAGAACAAAGTTGAATAGTAGTGGTGCTAGTGGATCGCCTTGTCTCAGTCCTCGTTCAATTTGAAAAGGCTGGGTCATGCGTCCATTGACAATGATTCTGCTCGACGGATTAGTATAGCATCGAGTAATCCACGTCCTGAAGCGGTCTCCAAAGCCAAAGGCTTTGAGCGCTTCATGAAGATACTTCCATTCTACTCTGTCATATGCCTTTTCTTGGTCGAGACTAAGAAGGGCATCAGCAGGGAGGTCGGGGCGTGGGTGTCTCTCCATCGCGTCATTCAGATCCAAAAATTGGAGAATGCGATGTTGTGCCAACTGTTCGTCTGTGATTTGTTTCTGCACATGCTGCATCAAAAGATGCATATTAAGTACGTTGTCATGACCCTGCCTGCCCTTGACAAAACCTGTTTGCCAGGGCTGGAGAAGGTAGGTGGCGACCTTGTTGACTCGTTCTGTCAGTGCTTTTGTAAAAATTTTGTAGTCGCACCCAGAAAGGGATATAGGGCGATAATTTTTGCACAACGATCGTTCTCCTTTTTTAAAAAAAAGAGCGACGGCCGACTTTTTGGTCGACGGGGGCAGGTCAAAATCCTCTTTCGTTGCCTCGTTGTATACTTGTGTCAGCAGGCCGGATAGCATGTCCTTGAATGTCTTGTAGAATTCAAAAGGTATACCGTCCTCACCTGGCGCTTTGCGGTTTGCACTCATATCAATTGCTTTTTCTATCTCGACCGGGCTCAAGTCACTGTCCAGAATGGCGACATGCTGGGCTGTGACCTGAGGAAGATCCCGGAGGAGAGCTGATCTAGCCATCGCGTCTGAGCCTTGTGATGTGTATATGGTCTTCCAAAAGTCCCTGACTACTTCTTCTCTCTCCTCGGTTGTGGAGGTAAAAGTGCCGTCTGGTTTCTTTAAGTGTGGAATTAATTTTTTCGCTCTTGATCCTTGCAAGACCCGTGTAAAGTAAGGAGAGGGGATCTCTCCTTCTTCTATCCACTTTACCCTGGCCAAGATAGCGAGACGCTCTAGAGACTGTTGTTCGAGATCAATAGCCTCCGCCGTGAGGCGGGCATAAGTGTCTGCTGCGTCCTGGTCAGAGGGGTCTGCAATCAATTGCTCGTTTGTCTGTTTCATTTTTCGTTCAATGGTGTGTTTCTTTTGGATTTG